GGTCTCTTAAGATCATCCACAGGTACCTATACTGTAGATAAGTCTTAGTCATCAGGTCTACTCCACTTCCTTGTTGCCTGCTTAGACTCTTGGCACTCTTAGGTGAGCAGACTTAGTCAGCCTGTGTTGCCCTAACACAGTCCCAGAGGCCTTCACATTGCCCATCGTGGAAGAAGATGCTTGGGAAGATGTCAAGGATGTGGAAGAACTTGATTCTGGGGAAATCAATGGTGATTTACTTGACAAGTACAAGCACCTGAATGAAGTCTTTACAAACGTGTCACTTGCAGAATAGATCAAGAATTTATATACTATCATTTGTGCAGGACATCAAGGAAAGCTATTGGATGTCTCATTTATACCTTGACCAAAAAGCATGATTGAGTACATGGGCATGTCTCAATCAAGGCAGACCTCATGGACCAGGCCAAGCACATGGCCAACATCAAGCGCATGAACAAGGACCTCCTTGATGACTGGAACCATGCTGTTGACAGGGCCAGGGCAACAGGCTCTGCCATTCCCCAGAAGCCCATCTTGCCCTGCACCAAGGTCAAGGAGCACGTGCTCCCCTTGGATGATTGCAAGGTCTTGCTGGATGACAATCCTATTGTTGCATATGCCAAGGCGTACCAGGAGTGGTGTGAGCCACAGAAAGCCCTCCCCAGAATCTTGAGCATGCCCTCTGCCATGGCCAAGAATAAGGGCAAGGCCGTAGCCATGCCCACTGCTTTGACTTCTCATTCCTGTTTGATGACGCCCATGAACATACCCATGAGTCATGGTTTGGCCGAGTGAAAAGCTCTGACTCTTTTGCCCTCTCCCCCTCTCCCTTGGCCATCACCATGACGCCTCGCACCACCGACTCCTTGTCCTTGCCCGTGAACATCATTGATGTGGACAAGATGAGGTGTCTGGTGCATACATCTGCTCATGGACTGGTTATCATGCCTGGCCCCATGAACTCCTTCAAGTGCTTGGTCTTCCTCTGTCCAAGTGATGATGCTGGCTTTGCTATGATGCATGAACTGCCCTACAAGACAAAGCAGACAATGATTGACATGGCAAAGGACTTGGGCAGGGCCTGCTATGATGAGATCGAGTGGGAGCTGCAGATCTTATACAACTTTGACCACCCCAACACTTGGACTGAGAAGATGGAGAACAAGATCTCCTCCATCTACTGGAAGGCCATCTTCCTGGTCATGTGCAAGGATCAGCTCATGGACCGGGCCAACGGCATCTTCTAGCACAAGTACTTCACCCACCACATCCACTACTCCTGCATGGCCCTTGCATGCTCCCGTTCCATTCCTGTCTCCCATCCTTCCTTGTGAGCATGGCCTCCTGCATGCCCATTAGTCTGATTATAGTAGCATGAGCCTGCACATGCTCAAGATTAAGTTCCAATATTGTTTTGTCATGTAGTACAAACCTTGTCATGAGTTCTTATAGCACATGTCAATGAATACAAACCATGTTGATGCATGTGACCAAGCACAAGCATACATGTGTAGTTAAGGAATGTGGCTGACCTTCTTCACCCTCCATGACTTGACCTTGATCCCCTCTCTTGTACTTACTTGCCCTGCTTTCTTCATCTTGAACATCTTTTGCTTGGATTCCTTGGCCCTGCATGAGCATGGTGGCACCAAGCAAGAAGGAGTGGTCACAATGCAAGATCATGCACAATGTAAATTGCATGCAACATGAGAAGGCAAGCGAGATGCTTGATGTTGCTGAGCAAGCATGGGAACAAATGCTTGACAAAATCATCCTGGAGACAGGCATAAACAAGGAAATCTTGAATGGAAACATGAAGGGAAGAAAAGCAGGATATTTCAATACCAAGCATTGAGTGAACTTGTACAATGCAGTGAAGCATGTCCTTGCAGAAGAGGCCCGTTCGAAAGGTACATCCTTTCATCTAGTTACAAGTGCTTGGAATTGCTTCTTGACCTTGTTCCAGGTCAAACCTTTTATTGGGCTCTTGGAGAGAACAAGCCCATCATCAATGCCAAAGTCGAGTTGCTTCGTGCCCACCCCAAAGCTGCCTTGTCCACAGAGCATGCAGTTATGGCCAAGCATGAGAAGGCATGCTGCCAAGTGCATCTACCTGCAAAGGCATGCCTGGCAGATACTGTTCATGTTCAAGACTCTTTGGAGAAGCAGGTGCATCTTCCTGGTTCTTGTTCATGGGCCCATGCTCAAGAGCCACCAGGCAGGTGCCTTCAGTACTTGAACAGGTGGTCATGCCTGTGGATTTGTAGTTCACGGCACCATCAAGGACTATGCCAAGCCCTATTTCTTTGGAGATGACTTGTGCAAGCAGTTTTTTGAAGAAGTAATGGGGTGCCCTGTCTTGCACATTGCCTTGGGCTTGGAAGCATATTGCGCAAGCAGAGGGTCACAAGGTCTGGGTGACTTCTGAGATGGCATGGGATTCAAGCTTATGAACTTGGACATAGGAGCTGCAGACATGGTCAACAACAAGGTAAATGAAGTCAAGGCTCACATTTACTTGGTCTTGACTGAGTCACTTCATGAGTATCTCAGTCTAGTCAAGGGATGATGGTGGAATTAATGCTCATGCAGACAAGATCACCAGCCTCAGCTCCTTGGCCATGTCATACAAGAACTTTGGCTGCAATATTGAGGATTGGCACAACATCATGTTACAAGGTTGGCCATTGCCAACCTTGGTCAACCTGTCATACATCACCATGCTACGCAACCTGCAGAAGGTACAGGATGCACTTGCCAATGGCTCCTGCTTCTTCCATTCCATGACTGAGTCTGATCATGCTTGCTGGGCAGAAGAGCATGCTTGTGAAGGGCCCATGCCCAAGTGGAAGAAGAACAAACACACTGCAGCTGAACTGGAGGAGGTACATGATCATGTACTTGCCCAACCTCTTAACATAGATGGTGCCTCTGCCAAGCATGCAGGCAAGCACAAGAAGCTAACTGCCCAAGCAGCAATGGACCAAGTAGCAGATCATGCACATGCATTGTTGGGTGGGATCTCAGCGCTCCCAACCCACAACTTGCCCTCATGGCTGGTTGAGGGCAGCCATGCCTTTGGTCATGTGCTTGTGTAAATACTTCAACTTGTACATATTTTTAAAAAGTGACACACAATAATACTATGGCATTTGTGGTCATTCCTTGTGTGGAAGTGTGGGGTGTGCCAAAGGTTCATGTTCATCAGCAGACACGTGGGCAAGACCAAGTGCAGTGAGAGACCCTTTGGGTCTTGGACTGTGGTCATGCTGGATTTAAGCTGGATGAGAAAATCAGTCTGTCACATCACAAAAGTGTGGCAGGGGCGAGCATTGCCTCTGCCACATACATGTGGAAGACCCAAAAAGACTCAGGTGCATATAGACCCCTCTTGCATCCCACCAAAAGCCTCTAAGCAGAAGCTGATTTGCTTCCGTGGTGCTCAGAAACACAGAGCCAAGGGACTCAAAGGAAAATAATTTATGCAGCAGTAAATATATGATTGTATTAATATTAGTACCACCAATTCATATGCTGTCATTGATTCCGGGGCTGATCACACGGGTACGCTCGCACAGCCACAAAAAGGAAGCAATTCCGGGGACTTCTAAGTACCTTCGATAATATTAATGGTTACTTATACACCTCTAATGACAGCTATGTAAACATGTTACATTGCGCTTTGGTGATGCTTTGAAGCAGAAAAAAAAGTCACAAATGATGAAACAGATATATATTCAGACTTTTGCACTGCCGCACCTATTTGATTCCGGACCCTCACAAATTATATGTAATATGGAGATTCTCATGGGCAACTAGGCGGCATGTTCAGGGGTCCTCGATGAGCGCCGTCCAAAATCTGAGCGTAATCGAATATCATTCCATACTCACCCGCACTGCTTACTTTCTCTAATCATCATCCAGTAACGTCTAGAATCGTTATAACAATATGTCATCATAGGGTACACTGCTTCTGCCCCTCTCTTCAGGCTGAGGCTCGGACAATCATCAATATCAGCATACCAACACTCGCCCCTTCAGCGCCAGCCCCTGCAGTTCCTCTCTCTGCAATGGCATGATTTACGACCAGGCGGACGACCAATTCTAGGGTCATATTGAGGATAGTAATCAAGCGTCAGCTCGGTTCCGGCGTCGATTGACTTGCTCGTGACAAACACTAGCTTTCCAGGGTGCTCGCTCTATGCAAGGGGATGTGTAAGGTTCCAAAGGACTACAATGAGAAAAGACTTGGGGCTTACCATGTAGGGTGCATCGAATTGCACCGTGTACGTCTCCAGATTGGGTGAGCATGAATGGCTGATGAACTTCGTCAGTCGTGAGGTTTGGTACTTCCAAGTGTCACTCTCACTTGATGAATCGAGTCCAATTTCCACACTCTCGCGCGTCTACTGACCACCCTGAGGTATTAGTATCATCATCCTCCCCTTCATCATGATCCAGGTCGAAAATGTACGATGAATCGGAACTTGCGGCTTCCCTATCCTCAGCAATTGCGCGAGTTCTGAGGAAAGAAATGGCGAATCAGTAAGCTCAGATACCAGTGGACCCCGCTTACATCAATTCACCAGTAAAGATCCCCAGAATGGTGCCACGGGGTAGATCTTTCGGAGTGCGAACACCCCATCCGTAGACGCCAGTGTCAAAAAGCTCAATTACGTGCTGCCGTGGTCGCTGTGAGACAGAGTGGGGGCAAATCTTCTTATCACACTCGCAGAACTTGGAGGGCTCAGGCTCAATCTCGAAGTTTGGCAAACCCACTTACCCTATTGCACTCCAAAACTTTGACGAACTTGTCAATCTTGAATCGCCACCGTCCCTGATTATCGTACGCCAATGATGCGTCCATGTTGCGCTTTCTACGAATACAGCAATCGCCCTCTGGTGGATTTTTGCAGTCGGTGCCATGATGGCAAACTGAGAAGTCGTCTTCCGCAAGATGCTTGGGATCGATGTCGTATGTCGATGCTGAGCTAAAGCAGGCTCATTAGAATCATGTTCGCCGAGGCGAATGAAGGCGTACTATATGTAATCATTCTCCATGTAAACAAAACGCAGCGGGACGTCCGGTATACTCTCCCTGTCACGCACATTCTTTCCGCAGATCACAATCTTGGCAGCCTTCGCTCTCACTGTCTTCTTGTCCCACTCAGGCTGGAGTTCGGCTCTGGGACCCGCTGGACGGAAATGATGGGGTGACATCTCGTGAGACGAGTTCGAGTCCCGTCGGGTTGTCTTCAAAATTGGGACCGCCGAATGTTGGGGCTTTCGGCGGTTGCCCCTGCGGATACCGTCTTCGTCGGGCACGTCAATGTCCATGCCTTCGTCCTCCGCATTATTATTTTGTTCCGAGATGTCCAGGTGATCCTCATCGGAATCGATCGAATCGCCCAACGAAATCACCTCATTTTCAGCCGCAAATGGATCCACCTCGCCAGGCAGACGGGAGGTTCGAAATCGTATAGGAGTATCAGGAACTGCCGCCAATGTGGATTCAGCAGGACGCCTCGCAGTGATATCTTTATACTTGTGTGTGCGAACCGGGTATGGCATGCCTTCGGGAGTGGCAGCTCGCCCCTCAAATTTGGCCTTCGTCCCATTATTCGAGTACACTCGACGTCTTCTGGCACGCGACCCAGTTTGTCGGTTTGCCGCACTCGAAACTGGCCCTGGGGTCCTTGTCGTGCTTGCGCTTGAAGCAGGGGCTTGGTCGACGGCATTCTCATTTGATTGTGGCAAATCAGCCCAGATCTCTTCAGGATCGTAGAAAGGCGCAGTATCCAGTTTCTCCATTAGAGCAGCCTTGTGCTCCCTATTCTCGATGGAGTGCCAAACGCGAGAACAAACTTCAGATAATATGATAGAAGTCGATTTGGCGGCTATGTCGAGCCGATCCCGCCTGTGTTTATTCTCATGATTCATCACAGCCCGCGGCGCAGATTCTCTGAACTGGCTCGAGTTCACCCATGTCGACTGCAGACCGGTCTTTTTGCTCCGCCAATCGTACCAAGTGACCTGAATATTGTATGAGAGGATGACCCAAGTACCAGATCAATACTGTTGACATGCCTGATACCTACATATTCTATATGTCAAATACTTCTTTTGCATCCCGATCCAACAAGACGAAACCTACCACTTATTGCCTTCATTGTCTATGAACTCGCCCATGTTCTCATTGTCGAATTGCCATTCGCGTCCATCGTCTTCTTCGCTCTCAGCATCAGAGTCTTGGCGAACTTCATAGTTCCCATCTGGCATTTCGTCATCATCCACGTCTGGCGTCGACGATAGCTCGCGACGAGAGACGCTTGAATACGACCGTCTGGGAGGAGGACCTGTTGCTTTTGACCGACTGCCAGAGTTGCCGCCAGCAATGAACGGAGGCGCCATTACTCCGTTGCGCGAGATGGGAGATAAAGCCCTTGAGGAGGAAGCAGAATCCTCTTCTTTTATTCGGACGATCATCGGTGCACGACCTTCTCGACTTCTTATATTTCTTCAGTCTTCTGAGTGTGGGATTGATACGGGTGGGGTGCAGGAATTGTTGGCTTGCCGCTCTCTATTGTCCATTATGAACCTTTCTGTGCTTGATATTTCAGCGTTGGCCTTCCTGTCGGCATTGGGCCTGTACCTCTGTTATCGGGCCTTTGCGTGGACGGCAACAAAACCAACCACACAGGATGTGAAATCAGACAAGCCCTCCGGCAGGACCGAGGCGGAGAGGACATTTGGTGGTAACTAGAGCCGTTGACCAATCCCTCTCCAAGCGCTCATGTCATTGGGTTAGAAAGGGCGCCTATTCCATTTGACTTCCCCAAGTTTGAGCCGCTCCTGGATTATGACTTCAACAAGACTCTCCCTATACCGTATCGTCCATTCAAATGGGGAGCTTATCAGTACGCATCTGCATGGTTGATGTTGACAATCGCTCAGTTCGATGAAGTGTAACGATGGGCATCAAGTCGCTTGAATGGCCCGGCTGGCTAGAGCTCGATAATCGATTCGGGGAATGGCATGCTATCAAGGCTGCGCGTGCTCAGAATCGTGGCGAGAAAGTCGTTCGTACGATGCCGCCTCGCCCTGGTGTGCCAGGCGGCGCTGCAGGAGGTATGACTATGCTTTCATGCCATGTTATGATCTTCTGATTTGGCCGATCCGTAGCGAGGGAAGCAATGTATGAGGTCGCAGAGTACATGGCGCGTCGTTATCCGCACATCTATCATGTAGAGCGGCTTCCGTATGAGAAAGGTGACTATGGTTGGTACAAGGAAGGTCAAATCAGCAAGCTCGAGATCATCCCTATTAGGGCCAAGTACGATCTCTCAAAGGATGACCCAATTTGGGTTGTTGGACAGATGTATGTATTAAACAGTTCGACGGGGAAGCTTAGGCTGATATAGCCGCAGAACATCGGACGATATCGTTGTCATGGTCGAAGGCGAAGATGGGTGTTACTATTTCCAGGCTGGTTCTGTCTGTGTTGCCGGATCATGGCGCCCAGACGAGAAGTGTATGTGTCTCGTATGTTTTGACACTCGGACCTAACGATGATTTTAGTCGGCATGCCTCTCGAAGAGATCCATGTCAGCGGTTATGTACCCCAATACGCGTCCCGGCTACATCTATCCATTCACCGCTACTTCCAGCGCCTTCCTGTCGACAAGCTAGTAGTGCGACATAATTACTCGTTCCAACTGGGCGGCAGTCTGGCTTAGGCAGAACGAGGGCTGGGGGACGAAGATGTGACGTGGCGCGGGCTGGATCCGAACGAGCTGGGCGACGGATTTAAGGGTTTCCAGAAGCCTGCACCGGCAAACGGACCAGAAGAGGTGTACTTCAGGAGTGAAAGGCAAGCACTGAGGAGGCTCCCAAGGAGCGGCGCAGCGCTCTTCTGCATCAAGACGATCTTAGAACCTGTTGTGCGTGTCACTTTGCTCTAACGGCGAACGGTTCTCAGAATGTCTTTAGAACAAGCTGGCGCAGGAGCCGGGTATCCCAGGAAGAATGGCATCTGCGATTCGCAGCTGGCCAGATGATGTTGCGCAGTAAGTAATCCAATTGCAGTTTGGATCAGGTGTTGAACCTCTATCAACAGGTACAAGGGCAAGTCCCACTACAAGGACGCAGTTCTCGCTATGCTCGACCGCGCGCACGCCGAGCAAATTGCCCAGGGGGTCATATTCGAGGACGATAAGCCGTCAACGTATCCCTTCTAGGTACAGGTTGACTGTGCCTATGGCGACTAGGCGCCTGGGCTACGGTAGTATTTGGTTGGCACGAACGGCATGGGGGTGATGGTGGCTTTGCGCGTCTTGTTCCGCACTTGGACGAGGACGGAGGTGCCCTTCTTGTGGAAACCGGACTTGACATAACCCATGGCGATGTTCTTGCCCAAGGTTGGGGATGGAATGCCGGATGTGACAACACCTGAATGAATGTAAGAAACGATAGAATCTAGAGCAAAGAAAAGAAAATGTATAACGCACCAATGGGCTCCTGTGTGTCGCTGAAAATCTCAGCGCCCTCCCGCGCTGGCGCATCGTCAATGATTAATCCTACCCGCCGCTTGATGGGTCCATCCTTCAACTGCTCGAGCACCGTACCAGAGCCGATGAACTCGCCCTTCTCGCGCCGGGATTTCGCTGGAGCAGTGCTTAGTGGATGACTGCATACAGAAGGGCAAAGACGCACGGATAACCCAAGCAAGCGCGGCCTCGATGGGAGATATATCCTCATTCAGGTCATGCCCATACAAGCACATGCCTGCCTCCAACCGTAAACTGTCACGGGCACCGAGACCGGTCATCTGTACCGGACCCTGCAGCAGTGTCTCCGTGATGCTGACCGTATGCTCTTTTGGGATAGAAATCTACTTCATGTGAGTGGAGATGATCACTGGCGGGAAAAATATAGACGAACCTCAAAGCCGTCCTCCCCTGTGTAACCGCCACGAGCAACGTGGCATCGGACACCCGCGATGTCGGCATACGTCGATTTGCCGAAGTGTAACTGGGTGAGATCGTACGGTGTGAGCTTCTGCAGGACGGACGGCGCCTCCGGCCCTTGAGACATGTAAGCATTGTAGAGAATTGGCAGGTGTTTCGACTCTTACCTTGCAAGGCAACCAGGCCTTGGTTCTCGAGCACCTCCATCTCGACCTTATCTGCCCTGGATTCATTCCACTGCTCAATCTTCTCCTTGAGCCACGCGAGATCCTCTACCCTTCGACCTGCATTCGTGACAACGTAGTACGTGGTGTCATCGTGCCTGCAGATGACGTTGTCGTCGATAATCCCACCGCGATCGTTGAGGATCACTGAGAGCTGTGACGAGAAATGCGGGAGCGAGGCGAAACCCGAGGGAGTGATCCATTCGAGGAAAGCCGGAGCGCTGGGGCCGCGGATACTGTACTGCAAGATCAGAGCTGTCTAGTAGGTGGGTGCAACTGACACACAAGGATTGTACCATGTGACCGACATCGAAGAGACCGACTGAGTTACGAACATGGTTGTGTGCAGCAACTAGACGCCAGCGTGAGGCAGATGCGCCGGGAAGATAGACTGTAACATACTTTGTCCGACGCTACCATAGCTCAAGGGCATAGAGAACCCGGCAAAAGGCACCATCTTAGCTCCATGCTTGACGTGAAAGTCGTACAGTCCAGTCTCCATCAACTGTGTTTGCAGCGCATCTTCCTTCAGGTCCGTGCATTCCAGTCGCCAGCTTGACACATACCTCCTCCTTGGGTGCGTCGCTCGCCATTCCTCGCCTGCTCATCATCCCCATGCCCTTCCTCGCTGCCCCCGAAGCACGAGAGACGGTTTGCCTGAACATGGTGGAGCTGAGCAAGGAGTGAAACCTGGGCTGGAATTAAGCCCTTTTAGGAATGTGCGACTACCGCCTAGATGGAGGTGGAGGTATAGGGACCAACGCGTTCTTCTCCGTGAATCGCCGTCGCGGTTTCTTCTGTCCATTCTTCGAATTCTCTATGATAATTCAACAATATCTGCATTGATTATTTTACAGCTACCATAGGAGGTACCGTAGCTACTGTATTGGATGAAGTTAATGACTGTTGGCTAGGCTGGACTGCACGGCCATCGGGTCCTCAGGGTGAGGAACACCTTTCGTTGATGTCTCCAGCACACGAACTCAATATGCCAACCTCGGCATGCCAAATTTCGGGCACAAGAGCAACATGATCTCCTCCTTTGGGAGAGACGGATTTTCTGCATCGAGCACATATTTCTTGAAGGCGACCTGAGCAGGAGTCGGCTGCTGATCCTTGCAGTGAGGCCCGCAATTCATTTTGTGGTTCTGCCAGTGAGAAGCCTGACAGTTCGTGCTACAGTAGACAACCTAAACAAGGACATCAGCTGGCAATTCTCTCGCAATATCCAATCACCCACCATTTTGCACTGGCTGCATCTCATCATCTTTGGTTCATCGATGTGTTCTCGTTTGCCGCATCCTGCGTCGCACTTGCGTAACAGTGCTCCTCCAGAAAGCCCCACTTTCAAGTGCGCTGAAAGTTCGAAATCCGACCTCTTATCACCGCTTTCGAAGATGTAGTAATCGACAGCTGAGTTCCACATATCACGTCGCCCTGATTGACAATGGAAGCGAGCCCTTCTTTTGTGTTTCTGAATGAGGACCAAACTCAATATCTGGCACGGCAGAAACAATTACACCTACAATGGAATGCTCTTGATATGACGAACCACAGACAAGAAGCTTGGATCAATGAATCCTTCCTTGCACAAGTCTTCGAGCCGTGCAATGAGCTGACGGCTAATCTGCTTCACTTCCTGACTGTCTTCGCTGAATCGCCTCTCGATCAACACTGGTTTGATAAAGGCGTATCCGTCTTCTTCAACCCAACGCTCCACCCAGTTCCTACTGGCCACAAGCAAGCAACAGTCCTCATATGACATCCCTTTGCCACATGGACACAGGAAATCTAAGGGATATGCGTGGTCTCGAGCTTGATGACAGGCGGCCAGCGTTTTTCCGGAGAAACACGGGCACGACCGAGGAGGCTTTGTTGCTGAACCAGTCCAGTCTCGTTTGGCTATCTGCATCAACTCATCGATTCGCGAGTTTGTTCCAGCGGCTTGAAGCACGATGGACGTAGGATCTGCGCCATGCTTCAGGAGAAGCTTCACCAAATCAGTGTGGCCCCACTCGTAGGCGAGCGAGAGCGGCGTCGCATTGTCCTTCCCTCGAAAATCCACTTGTGCATGCTGCTCGAGAAGGAATCTGGCGATGGCGACAAGACGTTTGTTCATTGAGGCATAGTCAGGGTACAATATCCCCATCATCGTGCTGACCATGGCGTACATGTCGGGCGTGTGCTTTCCTTTCTGGCACAGAAATCGGAAAACCAGGAGCAGTGCAGAGTTCCCGTAGTCGTCGACGATCTCGGTGTCAACGCCGAGCCTGAGCAACTCACAAACCATGAGATAGTCGGTGTTCGAGATGATCGCCACATGGAGGAAAGGCCTCGAGTTTTTCTTGTCAGGAAAGTATACGGTGTCCCGTGTCACTGCACATTCTTTATTGATGGTCGTGGGGCCGCTGTGCTTGATGAACTGAGAGCGCAGCTCGCCTATCTTTGGTTGATATTCTAGCATCGAGGAGAACAATTCTGCGTTGGTGGGGGGTAGGTCAGACTTGAGATACTGTTTAACGAATTCGTTGGTAGATGGGGTTGGCTCATCGTGTGCAAAGTCTGTCAGGGATGGACGTTGTGCAGGGAGGCGAATAGGACGGGCGTGGGCATAGAGTTACCCCGTAAACGACAGCGATCAATTTCTGCCATCCTCCTCGGTCCACTGAACAACCCCTCCTCCGGTGGGGTGTGTCAGGCCGGTATTCCCACGGTTATTTTCGGGCCTCAGAGACCGTTGCGCAGCACTACGGACCCTTAATGCAGACAACGCACCCCAGCAACAAGTCTTGACCCTACCCAGATATTCGGCATGATGACTGCGAGGTTTCCCATGCAACGGGACGACCCGGATATTCGGCATGACGACTGTAGGTTTCCTCTGCAATGGGGTTGACCCACACGGATATTCGGCATGCCAACGCCTGCCTAGGAGAGGTATCCAGAGACCAGATTAGTATAGAGTGCGGTTTTTGGTAGCTAGTATAAGTAGTTTCCAGAAACTCCTGTATCGAGCTTATTCTGCCCCTTTCCGTTAGACTTATACGGATCTGATTATCCCCTTGCTGGATAGGCTGATTTGACTTGACTTAGCGGATTTGACTTGACTTATCATGACTTGACTAGACGGACACCGAGCTCCGATTATTGCATACCGACTTTTGATAGCTCAGCTACAGGCTGACTCCCGCATTTCTACCGACTTTCCCCATCTCTCCCCTCTTTTCCGAGCGAGTTCTCGCACACCACCCATCGGACCGATATTTCGGACACCTCTTGGGTTAGATCACCACATGCTCGGTTCCCATCGGCTTGTGTTTGCTTGTTAGGTGAGATGATGTCTTATTGTGGACAGGATCAACCTCCCTGAAGTGTGGGATGATTCCCCAACCATAGCCCTACTAACCCAAATTGAATCAATTATTACCAAAGCGGGAAGAGTGCCTTATCGGAGTGGCACCACTTTCTTACTGAACAACCACCCATGTCTGTGTTCCCCAGGGACGGACCAGCTCCTCTGACTCATGTAACTGACTCTCACAATAAACAGCTCAGACACCAGAAACAATCTGTGTGCAGCCTCAGTCTTCACTGTAATCTAAAGTATATCGTTTCACTCACAACAGCAGGTTTCAGCATCTTCTCCTCCCTCCCTCTCCCGAAAGTGGCGGAATCGCAAAACGAACTTGAACTACTCTCAGAGATGATACGACGATTGGGTGTCTTCGCTGCTCGAACGGGCGGCCGGGAGCGGTGTTCCTCTCATTCCTGCGTTCTCAGCTTCATAGCTGGGTATGGATTGGTTTTTGGGGCGGAAATGAGTGCGCTACAGCATCGTTTTTGAAAAGCACTCACACCGTTTTTCGCATTGAGCACCATATTTGCTGTCAAAAGATCGAGTGCAAACTGCTCGCGCTTTCATATAGCAGGCTTAGAGCGGCGACAGGTTCCCTCGTACGGTACCGTCTTACACTTTCGCCCCTCTCAGGAAGACAGCACCTGCCCCAAGTGGTAGAGCTTAGAAAAAAAAATCTTGTCGGATGTGAGTCGATGGCTCTTAGCCATTCTCGCCTTCCGCTCTCGTAAGCGTGTTGAAAGGCATGCTGAGCCTGGGTCTTCGAGGAGTAGATGGATGGAGGTTACTGCAGGTGCAGCCGTAACAGTCATCGGCTGGCCATCTACAAAAAATGTCTCAATCGGGAACATCTATCAAGGGTGTCAACGGGCAGAAATGGACGCAAAGGAGCTCGCACACTATCACAGACCCTTCTTCCAGGCACAAAACACGAATGAGACACTGTCGTTTGTCTCACCTGTCGAAGGCAGCGGCCGGTAGTGTACGGCTTCCTGAAGGACGTGATAGTTGAAGTTCCTGTTTGTGAACGAGCGTCCTGCAGACTCAATTGCTGTCGAAAGGCTGACGAGGTGCAAGAAATCAATCCATCGGCACGCAAGAATGGGACAAGCGGATCCTATACCGAAGCCCATCAGAAAATTACCCAAATTGCATGTTCGTCTTTTCCGGTCGTCACAAGGTCGTTCGTCTTATCCTTTGAATATTACTTTCCGCGGTCCCTCTGCATTCCATAGGCAGGCTGTCGCTCTCGCTTGAGTATCCTGTCTGATCCGAACTAGTTTCGGATAAAACAGACCTGTTACTCCCCCTAACCCAGAAGAATTCCTAGCAAACCCGTGAGCACGCTGCTCACGACGCAAGTTCTACAACGCACCCTGGCCAAAGTTGGACCTGCAGTCCGGCTGATGGTCGCGGTGGGCACGTTTCCCCATGGAGTTCGACACTCGCCTGATGGAGTGGAGCGCGAAGCCGATTTTCGAGCTGCTTAACACGTTCCCACCTTGTTAAACAGGTGCCTTTATGGGCATCCAGTGACCAAATATATCCCATCAGAAAATGACGCGAAATCTGGCCCGCTTTCCGCCGGGGATGATACAGTGTGTATCATCAAAAGCAGGGACCTGCTTGCTCATCATCACATCGCATATCGCATCACATCATGTTGCACCCACATCTTCGCGCGCAGCTATGCGCACATACCAGAGAACTGGATCTCCGAGCCACTGAGTCGCACAAAGACCCACGCGTATCCGGCTTGGCGGCGGGGGCCATGTGCTCCACTCAGAGGCTTTCGTCCAACTTTCTGCCAAGCATCGTATCTGCCTCCGTCCGTGTGTGCGAGGCCACGAGAACACCCGTCCGTTGCCACCAACCGTCCTGGAACCTCAATGAAGCACTAGCCAGGTCGTCGACAGGGTGCGGTCTATGGGGTCCTCCGAAATAGGCATGTCGACGAGCCTCGTGTTGCGCACGTAAGAAAATCCGACCAGCGTAATGTCGAGCGTGTAACCCGTGCCAGCCGTGCTTTTTCTGATGCAGCCTAGTCATCGCCCTCGAGACGCATGAAACGCAACGTTTTGCTGGAATGCGGCTAGGGAATATCGGGGAAAGCCCGGGTGAGCCGAGGCTGGCAGAATCCCTGTCGTATAAGCCCCAACGCGGCTGAGTTCATAGGGACACGCTATGCCTTAATGAGCCTGGGTTCGTGGATGATCATGAGATATCCTCGTCGATGGTAAACCACTCACACTCCCGCACCTGGCGGACTTGGCCTTTCAACCCCGGTCGCCCAATATGGCGGGGTGGCCGTCTCTGTAAGTCGGCCGGGCGCTAGTCAGCAGCCACCGCCCGGATTGCAAACCAGCCGCGAGTAATGCCCTAGAGGGCGAGCAAATCAGGGACATCAAAAGAAGTTCGAGCGTGAATCATCCATCAGACCCAGGTTACAGCATATTTTTGCAGTGCTCCGGGTTGTCAACCTGACAGCTTGCGCACAGCTGTAGACTGCAGTGGAGGAAGACTGAGGTCATAAACACAGGTCTTGCTATATATCCATTTTCCGACTGCAGCGCCTATTTCCCAAGGCGTCTATAATGTCTCGAATATCAATGAAAGCATCACTGTTGGAAACCCGGGACACCAACCATATTCTCATAGCGCCTAAAAAGGGTTTTGACCACCAGAAAGCGGGTACTGCCACCGATGTTGACAGACAGGGTAGTGGAACACGTTCCAATTCGGCATAGAAGAAGCGCAGGTTTGCTTAAACGCCCAGCGGCTTTGTACACGTCGGCATCGTTTGTCTCCGCCGGAATGTACACAGCAAACCCGAGACCCGTCCCTTCTTCGGCCCGCGGCACGGTTTTGACCGGGCATTGTCGCCATATCCCGATGCAGAATCTAGTTGTTGCATTCAGTCCTTGAAACGTCGTGAGTTGTGGAGCCGTCACGACCGTCAGCGAAAATTGTAAGGATCGAAAGTCGTTGGCGACTGGACAGTGCGCTGTCGTATCCATCAATCCGATGTGGCTCAGATTAAGACCCGTCCTTCGACACGCGGGAACGCCGTGGGTTCCTGAAGCACTGTGAGCCGGCGGTCAGCTTTTTCACTCCGCTTTTCACCGAATTTATGACCGAGCATTGCTAGAAACCCTATCAATCCTGAGATAGTCGCCCCAGAGATCGGGCCCAAGGGGACCGGGAGGTGGGAGTTGTGGCCTGCAAAGTTGCCTCCCATGTGTGCGTGCCCAGGGTCTACCCCGCTGTGGCATTTGCTTTCTGCTTCCACACAAGCCACGGGGCGTCATCATCGCCCTCCGAACATACGACATTCCTTTGTTATCCGGCGGCGTGCTTGCTGACCAAAGGTTGCCGCAGAGAGCAAAGTTACGTTGTCTTTTGCGCAACTTTTTGGCGGACGGAGCTTGAGGTGCCTGCGTACGCCTTCCCACATTCGTCGGTTGCTGTTCGGTTCCTGGTCGCGCGCTGGCTGGCAGGCCTGGGTCTCCCTTGCGGGGGTGGAACGACACGGTTGTCACCTTCCATACCGCGTCGCAGTTTATTTCTTTGGGTCTGTCCCAAATTGTGCAAGTCACGGAAGGCGACGATGGGAGATCTTGACCCGCTCGGAGGGTTTGTCGCCCCGGTGTGTGGTGTGCATATCAAGTTCTTCGTAGAATACCAAGGCTATGCGCTGTTTTGAAGCTGGACACCAGACAATGGAAAGGACAAGGCTCGCTCAGATTCCCGCCGCACGGGAGGGAAACTGGTGGTGAACTTGCTGGACATCACAGGTCAAGGGTCCGAGATTGTAAACCCAACCGCCAAGCGGTGACCCGGAAGAGAGAGGTCACTGCCCTCCCTCTGGAATGTTACCAGCACAGGTCAGATGTTCGGGGGAGATACAGCCACTGTACGTCCACAAATCCGTTATCGGGCTCCCGGGGGGCCGATAGTGGATAATCAGTTCAAGATTGCGGTCGTTACCAGATCTAGGACAGGCAGGCACACACCGAACAAGCTGTTTGCAAGTTTTTTTTTGTCACAGTTTGATGCAATTGAATATGTTGACGTGCGGTTTTGCTCTGTTCGGAAGGGGCCGAAAGGCTTCCGTTGTCCCCCTTGACTTGTCAGGGGTAAACGGAAAGGATGCCTGGGGTACCGTCCAGGGGCAGGCAGACCCCGAACGTGTGGACCAGCCGGGTGAAGATGCATCTGTTGACGAGAATAATAAGATGGACTCACGTACTCCTTCTCGCGAGGAAGGGTATCATTTGATGATGGCGGCGTATGTCCAAGGGAGGAAACAAGAAGCTGTCAAAGATGTCGTCCGGGATGCCGGCCAGGTTGCACCCTTATGCCTTCGCGTTCGCCAGAGTCACCAGTCGGGAGTTGGACATCGGGACCCATGCATCTCTCCATTCTCTGTCCTCATTGCCTTCTCCCTCCAGATCGGGCAATCCCCTCAGGGCCACACGCCCCTCCTCACCCGGGAGTCTATATATCCTAAGTAACGTCTTGATTACCTCCCCCCCCTCGTCCCTCTTGTGCACCGTGACATCTATCCCCCGGACATCCCCCTCCCTCCTCCTCCTCCCCATCATCGAATACCATGTCCCGCCCGAGATTGCTACGTAAAGCCAACGTCGCCGCAACCGCCAAGATGCATGCTCTCGCCGCGCAGGGTGCACTCGATGACTCGGATGCACCGTCCCCTACATCCTCCGTCATTTCCCTCAGCTCTCCAGCACGCAAAACCCGGTCATCCAACGCGACCAAGAAGTCGAAGAAGGCCGCCACTGGTACACGTACGAAACGAAACGATACAGGCCGCTCCAAAACTGGATGCTGGACGTGCCGCGTCCGCAGAAAGGTACATATATGCGCATGATTAAAGCAAGTTGTGTATTAACTTGCGCACAGAAATGCGGAGGACATTCAACGGACGATCCTGATTCGGAATGCATCGATTGCGTGCGACTTCACATCCAGTGCCTGGGTTGGGGAGACAAGCGTCCCGCGTGGCTGAGGCAACCTGTAAGTTTGTGCCCCACGCGTTCGTCAGGACCCTTCTTCTCACTCCCATACCACAGGGGGCCAGTGTCCTCGAGCGTAAGAAGATAAAGCAAGACCTCCTTACTCGAGGCAGAGTCAAAGGTCAAAAGAGGGAAGAAGAAGATATAAAGCCCAAGATCGACCGACGCACTGCCTCGCCGCCCGTCCTTGTTTCCCCTCCCAAGCTCGCGCTCAACGACGAGGAGTTCGAGCTTGTCTCGGACGACGAAGAAAGCGACGACCTGGGCTTCATGAATGAACCCTCCAGCACTCCTGCCAGCACTCAGCACTCCGAAAGGGACAGTTCTCCTTTCGACGACGACCTCCCCGACTTCGACGAGCCTGCGGAAGAAGCCCCGATGCCTGTCCTGGTGAAAGACGACGTGGCCGCAAATAACGACCTCACATTCCGTGGCCCGGAGGAAGAAACACTGCCTATTGAATTTTGTATGCGCATATATTTACCTGTGCGGAAAAAAAAATGACCTCTCTTTTTCTCAGCGCAGCCCGGTTGGGGAACCTCGTGGGACATTCAACGCGACTTTACTGGCATGTATCCGGGGCTTGGAATTCATTATCCCAACATGTACCCCAGCATTCCCCTGGACCACATTCAGCCCTCAGCCCAGTTAGATCTGATAACATCTGAAGAGTTTGACCCTTCAGTGTTCAATGACATGTCATTGGATCTCAGCGGCTGGGCTCCGGACATGCAATTCGACCAGGAGCTGTCTTCGGACCAGTCGAGCCCTATCGGACCAATGCAAGATGCTTTCGTCAACCTGCATACCATGGATGGCCCACTTTCTCCTGGGACAGCGTCCACGCCCGACACCTACGTTATGCCAGAGGTTATCACTCCGGCCAGCACTTGTGCTCCTCTCTCGCCCTACTACGACTTCAACCCACCGATGCCGCTTCCGATCACGCCTGTCTCACCTGTCAACCAGGTTTCTCAGTTCAGCCCCCAGGAGGTCCAGTGTTTTCGGTACTATTTGACCCGGGTCCTCCCCCTTCAGCACGTCCTCAGTTCTGACCAACACAAGCAGGAAGTGGTGCGCGAGCTCGTCCAGCGCTTTCCCCGCTCTTCAACAACGATGCTCTGCCTCGCGTTGGTGCATCAGCTGCATCAACTGAACAAGGACAAGACTGTTCCGGTATCTACGCGCGAGCAAATCTTGCACCAACGCAATGTATACTGGTATGCAGCGAAAGAGCAGCTGTTCTCTTCCCCTCAGCTCACCCTCGAGCGGGCTGTTCTCGCGGTCCACATGCTGGATTGCTCACTGTTCACCGCTTGTCAGCCGAACATCGAATACTTCCGCTACCGCTCCATCCTCCGCGCGTTCTGCCTACAGATCAACGTCGACGGCAATGCCCACTCCCTTGTTGCATTGATGGCGCGGGACCGGATCATGGACTACGTTGTCAAGTCGGCATTCTGGATGGATGTCGTCGGTGCCATTTCGAAGAAATCGAGACCAATGTATCTTGATTATTTCCAGGCTCTGTCTAAAGGTCCCAGGCACCAGATGCCCTTTGACATGTGCGTACCCATTGCCATTGTCCGCTAACTCGCACTAATCCACGTCTAGGAGTGAGATGGTCGGCTGCGACACCGAGATCATGTTCGCTTTCGCCGAAATCGCCGAGCTCGAGGTGCGCAAGATGAAGCACCACGCTTCCATGAGCTTGCAAACGCTTTGCCGTGATGCCTCCCGCATCGAGGCCCAGATCAAGCCGGGCCGGTACACAGTTGTGCCCAGCGTTCCCTTGCTCTTCCCCCATCCAGCTCACGAGACGCACAATCCCTTCTCAGCTGGGTACCCCATCCCTCCCACCGGTATAATCCAGACACCACTGCAGCAGTACATGGCCCAGACAATGGAATCCAAGGACACCCAGCTTCGTCGCCTCGTCTCCGACGCCTTCCGTGGAGCCGCTTCTGCCTATCTCTGGGCGGTCGTCAACGGCTGGCGCCCACGCGTGGATGAGATCCGGACAGCCGTCGCAGAGACTATCAATGCTCTGCGCGACATCTCCAGTACGCATGAGCATCCTGTTGACCGCGCACTCGTCTTGCCGTTCTTCATGGCGGGTGTGCTCACCGAGGACCCATCACAACAAGATTTCATTCGTGGGAGGATGAACAACGTCCTGGACCGCGAATGCGGCACGTTCACCAAGCTGCTTGAAGTTCTGGAAGAGGTCTGGCACCGCCGGTCGCAATGCCGTGGCCACGAAGTATGCTTCAGAGAAGTGATGAGGGACATCAACACCGAGTGTATCATGCTTGCTTAGGAGGAGCACGGAAGTGGAGTGGATGGCGGGAAGGAAGGTCCATTGGTTGGGGCATTGTATCCTGTTATGTCTCTGTTTTCTTGTTTTGGGTCTCGTGTTTTCATCTGTCGGTTTCCAGATCTTGGCTTCACTCTATCCTACATTTCGAATGCGCAATTGGTACGTCATTTTTCTACAACCCACAAAAACATATTCCTGTTCATACGTTACCCTTCTTCGTGATTTTTCTTCTTGTCACTGTACGGACTTATAGCACCAAAGTGCATCCCATGAACCCATTAGGCACAGGTGACCCAAGTGATTGTTAGTTATAGTAGTTAAGTAGTAACAAACTACGTCTCAGGCACAATGCAAAGTCTTGTTAATGTCAATCGCGGTGATTTCATTGGTCCACCTTCCCTCATGATGAACTGTGCAAGGATACTGGGTGCCGGCCTTAGGCGCCGGGACCGCAGCCCTTTGGCATCTTAGCGCCAGGCACGACAAGCTGGGTGATCTCCCCGTTCTTGACCCTTCTGCCGCAGCCGTGCGCTCTCCAAGTCATCGGTCATCGGGCGCCGGCGCCTTCGGGGCTAGCATGTCACCTCAAGCTCCGATGTGGCTCTTCTGGCTGGACCGGCAGACGCCCAGAATTACGTATAGGAGATCAGCGAGCGCAGGTGGTCCTCGAGACAGAAGATTCGGTCAGGGTCAGGGGACGGTCTGGGTCTTATCACCCCGTTGTACAAGAAAGAAACGTGTCAAGATTAGGTGTCAGTCTCGGAAAACCCAAATCCAAACACCCAAATATCCCCCCGGCCCTGCCCGACAGCCACGCGCCCCGAAACCTCGCAGATGCTCAGCCCCTCAGAGGGATAGGAACGGCGCAGGGGTGTGTGGTACAGCAGCTCCTTGAACGAGCGATTGAGGTTGTGCGAATCTACTTGTTCTTCTTCAGACTCGGGGGAGCAAATGGAGTCCCAAGCACTAGCAATCGACGAGGAAACCCACATCCGTAGCCCGTCTTCGGTATACAGGAGTTTCAGTCCACCCGAACGAGCGGTGCAGAAGGGCCGCTCGCCGTACTGGTAATGGACGAGGTCCATTGGGAGCTCGTCTTCCAGTACCGGCGGAAAGAGGTAGGGTGCTTGGGCTGAAGCTGGATCGGCCGAAATCGATGAGCCCGTTTCTCGGGTTCCAGCATGGGGAGCTGAGCGGGTGATGAAGGACTCTCGCAGACGGAGCCGGAAATGGTGAATTGAACCCATCTCCTCGTCCTCCAGCATCAAACTCAAGGGTTGCAGGTTCTTGATGCTGTGTCCTCCGTCATGCGAGCTGTAGGGGGAGGACCATCTTGCCCGATCGACTCTGAACGGAAGATGCCACACCTCGCCCTGGTTCCCCGCACGTCCTTGTGGTAGGTTTGATGCTGTAGCATGTGGACCTCCGGTGACCAGGGAGCTGTCGGGAAGGGGAAGCAACTGCAAACTTGTAGGCTTTAGGACGAGAACATGGTTCGGAAGGAGGAGCAGGGAGAGTATCTGCTCGCGGGACCACCCTTGCGCCTGAGTTCCATAAGCAACAGATCGAGGACACAGAGCAAGGTACGCACCACATTAGTCGCGGGCGAGGGACACCAAGTTGAGATGACTCTGTCTTCACACGTATCCCAATTGAATACTCTCAAGAGGCCGTTAGAGTCGTCCACAACTGCCATGCGTTCATTCAGAGAGATAGCCAGGCTCCGTCGTGTTGAAAGAGCATTGACAGAATGAAAGACCTCGAAATCTCTACGACTACCCCAGTTAGAAACACTGGAACTGAGTCCAGATTCGGAAAGTGAGACACGCAGGAAATCAGTCGAGGTTCTGCACAGTATCAGATTCTGGGAGAACGTGTGCACGAGTGGGATGACAACCTCTCGCCACGCCAGCTGATAATCACCCGGAGCTCGTCTTCCTGTAGCCAGCTCTCAAACGTGCAGAAATCACCGACACCGCCTGCTCTTGTGAACACTGAAAACTTCTGTGCTTTCTTGAATACTCGCATCGGTTGTTTCGCCCTCCTTTTGGGATTCTGTCCCTCAGGGAACCGACCTGTCGCGCCGCCCACCCGCTCTTTGCGAGGAAGCAAGTCATACAACACCACTTGACGCTCATTGACCAGAGCAAGCATCCAACGCCCTTCTCCCAGGAGCTGAATCTTTTCCACCGAACGCGCACCTCTGATAAGCCAGCATTCGGTCGGCACCGGCTCGTCGGATCCCCAGTTACGCGCTAGACGCACCGCGTTGATGCAAGACTGCTCGTACTGGCGACGAAGGGTGTGCATGGAATCGGGTATGTCGGAGGAGATAAAAGAGGGTGCTCGGGCGAGGGGAAGGAGACGTGACAGCTGGGAGTAGATGCTTCGCCATAGGGACAGAGAGCAGGACAAGTCGCAAAGATACTTGGATGTCTGGACTAACAATGAGCGTTAATAACCTTGTATATATGGCCATGACGTACCCGACGAACACAAAGCACATCCTGCACGTTGAGGTGGTTGAAGATGAGGAGGAGAACGTCCTCTGGCAGCTGGTCAAGGGATGCCATTCAACTGTGTGGGACATGACGACGACCCTGACGAATCACTTCTCCTCATATGACCATCACGTGCATCTCCATTCCATTCATTGCGGGATTTATGCAGTCCTTACAAGGTGACGTAGAATGTGCAGAGAGGCCCTTATGACACCTGCTCCATAACATGAGGCAGGGCGTGAGCAGGTGATGGTTATCCTCCCTCCTTCCTCATTGGCGAGGGCATTTCCGGTCCTGCATCGTGCAGAGGAAGAGGCACACCGCCATATTGCTTGTCGACGGCGGGAATCCTCTTGAACCTTCCACAAGGGATCGAAGGATCATCGGTGCCCTCAATCACTAGCGCAAGCCAGCAGGCAGTCGGCGCGCGTTGGGGGGGATCAACACGAGGCAGCTTGCTTGTGATGCTAAATTTTGCTCAGTTACGAGGGATAAGAAGTCTTGTTCTATTCGCGAGCCCCGTCCGGCCTGATCGGACTACCTTACAGTCTCTCTTGACGACCTCGAAGACCATACGACCTTGACACCAGTACGATACAAGCAAGGATGGCTTTTTTTCATCCTCGTCACGCCTACAATGCCTCATGGCTTCTTCTCATTGTCGCGTTCATATTCCTGTACGTCCTTCTCAAGACCTGTTGTGTCAGATACTAACCCCAGGGTACAGGCTGCTATGCTCAATCTCGGTCCCTGTGGTACATTCGCTCTACTTCATGAGCAGTGACATCTCCGGCGGTTCCCGATATGGGATGTGGTACGTTCTCCTCCCCTTCCATCTTCATCATTTCTAATCATTGCTCATCCTCCACAGGGGCTGGTGTGATTATGATCTTGGCTACTGCTGGGGAAACTACCTCTACTGGGGGTTCGACCCCTTCTTCGTCGTGTGGATGACAAGAGTCCTCGTTTTCTACCCCATCTCCTGCATTCTCACCTTCCTCACCATCCTCGCCCTGATCCCCGCCTCTGCCCGTTCTGAAGGTCACGAGCCCAGACCCCTTGCGATCTATCCCGCCCTCGCAGGCCTCACATGCTTGTGCACGATCGTCGCATGGTGCTTTAGCATGGCGATGTTTGCGATCGCACGGGACAGACTGAGGGCGGATGGGTTTTCGGCGGACTTTGGCGCATGCATGTGGCTGGGGTTGATTGCTATGCTTTGCATGATCGTAGTCTCTTGGTTGGGGTTATGGTCTGGGAGGGTGAGAGCGTTTCCATTCTAGCCCTAGCCAACTACTCGGATGTGCTAAATTGGTTGCAGGCGAAGACTACCTACTGAGCCGGTTGGGACAACCTAAGGACGTATTCCAACACCGGCGGTTCTTGACGCGTACTGTTTCTCATGATCATACAGCTAGGCTCAAGACTCCATATCACCTGTTTTCCGAGTACATTTGCTCATACCACATACGCAACGCTGTTTAGACACGTTGTCGGACTGTACCCTTATGCAGAAATTTGCAATATTCAACGTTTTGTGCTGTGAAGAACGCAGATGATGAATGCCTCCCTGCCACACAAGGACCATTGAATTTCGACTGAGCGACATGTGATCTTTGTTTTCATATTTGCCTGACATTATGTCTTAGATTGCTGTGGTCTCGGCGCGGACAACTCACGAGGCCGCGACCATGTTGACCATCCATCCCCAGTAGGTAGACGAAATAACTGCAAGAGCTAACGAGTAGCTCAAAATTCCGACAACAAAGCGAACAACGAGAACAACAAGTCTATCAGCAGACATTACTAGATATTTCTATGATCTAGTTGCCCACGGTCGCTTTCAGGGGCTCTCCATCGATGGAGAAGTTATGCGATCTCACCTTCCTTTGCGAACCACTCCGTTTCAAACTTGGCTTTGGGGAACTCCGTTGACTTCTCCCTGTGCTACGCCATGGAGTACAATACCTTCACTGGATTCCTCGTAGATGTCATACTTGCAGACTTCCTGGACGTGGAGGATGCTGATCGATTTAACGATTCCTCCGCACATTTCAGAACAGCCGCTTGTCCCCTGGCATGTCGATCTTCGGATCGAAGTTCTAGGCCTGCTGCTTGCATCGACTAAGGCACTGCACATCTAGTCTCAAGGAAGGAGGGTAAAGGATCGTCACATGCATCCAATAGTGCACCAAATGGCCATGAAGCGCTTGATCAGGCACAGAACATCATTTTTGATCATCCGAGTGAATGGAACTCCAACAGCAGACAACATGAATCCTGCGGTGCCGCCCTGAGGCTGAGTCGGTGGAGAGGGCGGACCTGATGAGGTACTGCTAGCGAGTATATTCACCGTCAACACTTCGAAAAGTGCCTGCATCCGCTCAGTGCGGGATGGGGGAGGATGGCGAACGGGGTGCGGACGCCTATCATCAACATGAAGCAGCAGTCGTGCAAACATTGTTGTTCATGATTTCTCCACGACATCCCTATACCACTCGCTGTCAAGGACACCCATATTATTGGTGTACGTTATGATTTGTCGAAGCTTGCATTGCGTCTAATGCTCGAGTCATCTCGAGCCAATGAAACGGATCAGATTTGATGGTGAAGAAGCAAGAAGAACGGAGAACCTGGGCACGCGATATGCCAAACGCGGGTCCCTTCCTCGTTCAATCATCGTGTTCATCTCTCTCTCATACCACTAACATCAATATATCCACACAATGCCGCCCGAGACGCCTGCTCGCTCTCGCATACCTGCGCCGACGGGGTCTCGTATACCTGCCCCTGCTAGTAAAGTCTCTGCTACACCATCGCGGCTTGCACCTCCTGGAACGACACGGACTGTCGCGCTCCGCACGCAAAAGTCCGCGTCTTCGCTGCGACCGCCGCCGTCCCCAAACAGAGCAACGTCGGCGAAATCTCCTTCTCCCACACCCGGAGGTACTAGGGCGCGCGCCAAAACACCTACAGCCGGCTCTAGACCGAAAGTCTCGCAGCCTGACCCTCCTTCGCCGAGCCTGGAACACGGGATGTCAAAGATGTCTGTGAAGGATCAGATTGCCCAGAGGCGCGCTGTGATGCGCGACCAGACCACAAAGTCACGAGTTGTTAAACCTATGGATGAAGAATGGGGGGATGGAAGCGGCCTCTCGGGAAAGAAAGACGAGGAGGATCTCTTGGGTCGACAGAGCATGTTGGTGGATATCACTAGGGCACGGACAAGCGGTAGGCTTAGACCTACGCATATATGCGCCTGTCCTCACATCAACATATTCAGGAAAGCTGGATCTCTCGTTTAGGGAACTTCCTTGCCTACCATATGCTCTTTTCAATCTGCATCTGGCGATGGAACCATCTTTCCCGCCGCCGCCGCCCGTTGATCACACTCAGAAAGAGGTGAAACAGCCAGCATTTTACGACTGCGTCGACTTGGTCTCGTTGAAGGCTCGTGACAATTCGATCGAAGGATTGCAGGCGGAGCTGAGCTATTTTGTCAGTCTCAGGTTGTTAGACGTACGTGGAGTTATTGGTGTCGTACAAGTTACCCACTCATGAAAGACAGTTGAACCGCAACAAGCTGAGCAAGTTGCCACCCACTTTCGTTGAACTGATAAATATTTCAAATTTGGATCTCGCGTACGTCGAGTGCATTCTGCATTGACCTGTTGCTGACGCATACATCAGCCACAATGCATTCACATCTATTCCCCCGGAGCTCGCTTCACTGACTGCCCTGATCAGCTTGGACATGTCGTACAACCCGCTGACGAGTCTTGAAAATATCCCTAAGAATGTGGCGAATCTAGCGGTATCCCATTGTCAGCTGACCCTGGCTTCTTTAAGAAGTCTCCCGGCCGGAACTGTCCAGCTTGACGTATCTTACAATGCCTTTGGTATATTTCCTTATATATTTATCAACCTTATTTGTGGTCCTGATGTTTCTTTAGGAGCCTCCCCCCTCCTTTCAGGTGTCTTGGAGCCATTTTCGAAGCTCAACAGCCTGACGGCAAAATCGTGTGACTTGGATCCGAATGACTTTCAAGGGGATGGATGGTGGTTGACGCGATTGTCCACGGTCGAACTCGGTGGTGTTGTCAAAGAAGCCTGGGAAATCGAGGCAGAACAGCGCGGCACGCGCCGTCGACACCCCACATCCTCCACGTCCCAGGACAGCAGATCCGCCAATGACGTGGAGCGTAAATCAACCAAGGAAGCCACAAGCACATCACAGGAGGAATCAGGCGCGGCGCAGACTGGGGCAACCGAATCCCACATACTGGATCCCTTCTTCGATGCCTCAAAGCTGAGCCTTATAATGCCATCATCCCGCAGTCGTCCGCCGCCGCCCGCATATATTCCTACGAATACGCTGCCCTGTGATGTCATTCTGCGGCACGGTTGGATAGATGACCTCAAACGTCTCGTCCTAAGCGGAAGGAACGCCGACCCATTATTTACCCTGCCAGCAGACAATGTGCACGCGGTGTTCAGCACAGTCGAAGACCTCATGATGGATGACTGTGGACTGGCCGAGATCAGTCGTGTTCAGGTGGACAGTGTCCAAAACGAAGAAAACACGTTTGCAGTCATTGCTCGGCTGTTTCCTCGTCTTCGCAGCCTCGATCTCTCGTATAATCGTCTTCCCTCGCTCCAAGGCATTCGCCAACTTCTGGCGCAGCGAGGCGATGCGGAGACTACAGGAGTGCGGGAGCTCAGGTTGAAAGGATGTGGCGTGAATAATGTGGATGAGCTGGTCAATCTTCTGGAAGATGGCGGTGTAACGCCAAGCAAGACAAACTGGGCGCTGCGAGAACTTGATCTGAGTGACAACGAGATCACCAAGGTGCGGTGTTCAGTTGCATCGGGATCTTGAGTAAAACGTGTTAAATTCTACACCAATCAGCTACCTCCGAAGCTGGGTCTGCTTCCTGTCGATATCCTCCTGGTTGATGGTAATCTGTACGTGAGATTGATTCATCTCGTTGCGGTTTTTCCCTATCATTGCTCCGAGGTCTCGGGAGATCGCCGGCGGCACCGTCACCTCTTTTGCCACTCTATTCTATTTTCGTATCTAATCTTGCTCCCTGGTTCCTCAAGATACTGATGACTCTATACGTAGGTTCCGAATTCCGGCGAGGCGTGTATGGGAGAAGGAAGGTGAGAGGACCCAAAATTTGTTGCGCTGTGCATTTCCTGTTGCAGATTCATTCTGCCCACCGGGATGCACTCGTGCCACGTTTGCAAACCTGCATGTCGCTTGTGTCGAGGTCGCTCTATCCGCATGGGCCAAGCACAGGAGGCAACAACCACCGGTAGCACGACTTCGCTTCTTTTTTTCCTGTTGTGTCGCACGGCTACCGCTTTTGGTGTGAGAAACACTTACCTAAGCGGCACACGTCTTCGAACTCCAGACCCTGCCGCTTGATTCTCGGTTTATATCTTGTCCGACTTTTGCTTCCTTCGCTAGTTTCACCGGGCAAGCCCGGAAGCGACGTGGCCTGAGCTTGGGTGATTCGGGTGATTGGATCATGAACTCGGCGATGCCTACGGGATTGAGGTCCGAACAATTGCTGACCAAATTCATTTTCCTGCGACAATTAATGCAGGTACGAAGGGGCTGCTTGGGTGGCTACGCGAACGGATGTGAGGCGAGACCGGACGGGAAAGGAGCGGTCGGTTGGGCGTGTGGTGGATGGAAGGATGGGGTATTTCGCCAGCGATCGAGTGAGGTGTGTTGTGGGGGAGTGTGTTTGAGAGAGAGGGGTGTGCTGCGTGTGATTGGACGGGTGAATGCGGATCGGGCTGACGCGGAACGAAGCTGATTGTGTGCGGGGGCACAACGGCGAAGAGTTCGGCCAAGCCACCACATTCGCGTCCCTGGCATGAAGAGGTCCTTTGTCGGCCAGATTCGGTACGATCTCTTGGACGAACTCCAGCGCAGTTTCGCCTCAAAGTGGAATGGCTAATCAAATCTTTCGCCCAAATGCTTCTGTTGCATGTGCTGAGCGGCCCATTCCGTGCGGGGTACGGCAACTCGAAGCTCGTGTTTGTCCGAGCGGGACGGCGGGTGCGTGCGTGAGAGGGGGAGGGGAGAGGGTGATGGGCGAATGGGATCGAGAGTGGGAGAATCTTGCCTCCTCCTACATCGGGCAGGGCAAGGTCCAATAGGCGTATTATCCTGCCCCGCCCCTCTCAATTGCTCACCCCCGGCAGACCCAGCGGTAAAGGAGGGATACGGGGGAGCGAAAGTGACGATACCACCTTCCCCGCATTCTACTTGCTGGTATAATACCCCGCCCGTGCCCGAGGAGGGACGAGCGCTCCCCCCTTGGTTCCCTCCCCTCATCTCCCTTTACTCAACGATTTGAGGATTTCGAGGTAACGAACGGATTATCGCTCCCATCTGGTGGTTCATCAGCACCATCTAACCCTCTCTCACTCTTCTCTCTCCCCTTCCTCCACACGCAACCAACTGTCACTCTAATTTTTCCCACCAAGAAACGCCCCTGCAAGCCAAAATGAGTATCATTTCTGTTCCCTCCTCTGCACCGTCTGCACCCCCAACGCCATCCCCTTCGAGGCACCCGAGCGAACCCGAGGGTGGTCACGCTGCCATTTCCCACCCTCACGGAAGTAGGCTAGTGGGTGTGACTGGGACAGGGACATCGACAGGACAACCCCAAGGCACACTTCAGCGCCGTCGACATTTGGCTGTTCCTCACTTGACTCTAGACAATACCCAGCGCCGGTCAACGTCGAGGACGACAGCTACAGGTTATACACGTCACCTGACCAGCACTAACGAAGACAAGGACAAGGGGAACAAAGACCTGTCTGACACAGACGCCAACCAGGGCTCGCAGGATATCGAGATCGAAGACGCGGACAACGCCGGGGACACCAAAGACCCCCAGGAGACCCAACCTAGGGTTATTGCTCGCCTTCCCCACGCACTTCCCACCGTTCACGTCCATCACCCGTCCCAATCACCACCCCGGATCTCTTTCACTCACCAGGCGTATAACTTCCCCTTCGCATTCCTCATGTCTGCCCCCGCCACCCCTATTGCTATCCGCCCAGGACAGGCGCAGTACAACGCCGCCCAACTTGCGCACAAGTCTGCACATTACCTCCACTCCATTCCCCCGAGGGAGAAAACCACCCGAACACTCATCCTCGACCATGTGCTCTGGAAGCACGGAAAGGCTCGTTTTGCCCAGGCACGAGCGGAGCTCGGCCTCAGGATCCTCAAGGAGGACGAGGATGAGGACCTTGAGGATACCACGGACGAAGTGGACGAGGTAGATGCCCTTGGCTACCGTCCTTCTGGTCGCCCCGCGCCCACCGCCTTCGGCCCAGGCGACCCAAGCAAGGCAAAAGTCTTCAAGACCCATGCGGAGGGACACGAGAATGTGCTGAGCGCGATGCTTGAGCAACCCCCAGAGCTCCCCTACCATCAATGGGACGAGGACAGCTCAGCTTCGTCGACGGTCAAGGCACCTCCGCTCCCCAACGGCGTCCGGCTCCGCCTAACCCTCACCAGTCTCGTCAACGACTTCTTTGCGAGGGACGAGGATCCTGTCATCGTCAGCCGTGGCGCATACCCGCCCAGCATCTCCCAGCTTCAGATGATCAGTAACCCCTGTGCCCCTGCAAGTTCTCTCCCTACCCTTCCCAGCCTCGCAGACTTGTTCAACCCTAGTTCCACTGGTCCGGCTGCTACACCCCCTTCTGCTCCGTCTTCAACTTCAGGGCCTTCCCAAGGCGGAGCCAAGCCCACCTCCATCTGGGCTATTGTACCCCGCGGACTCGGCCCTGAAGCACCCTGGACGTTCGCAGGTACCCTCCAAGCACCACAACCCCCGTCTTCGGGTACCGGTTCCACGAGCCTACCTCCGCAACCTGGTCCATCTGAGTGGCCCAAGCTCAACGCCCCCACGCCTGCCACACCCGCTGCGCGCGCCATAGCACTCTACAATGCCGGTGCCCAAGCACCGCTCAATCCCATCCAGTGTGCCCGTCATCTGACGCCCTGTAACTGTTCCACCGGGCCAGCGACAAATACCCATGCGAGCAGGCACATCGGTGCTGGCTTGCGTCGTCCGAGCCTTCGCCTTCTTCGGAGGAGGAGCAACTTCCTCTCCACACTGGGCGGCGAGCGTGCCCTTCCCACAAGCAGACTCACCGACCTCTTACCACGGTTCATCCGGCTCTCAGCACTCGTCGCTATCGAGCTCGGGCGGGAGGCAGCAGGCGAGGAGTCCACTCGACCCTCGGCTACGACTAGCAACGCTGGCGACACAACAGACAGCAGTGCTGCGTCTCCTTACACTTCCGATGCGGAGGGAGACGGCGACCGACCGCCCGTCCCTGCGCGGCCAAGTCGTGCATGGTATGCTCTTCTTTGCACGCTATGCACGCGCGCTTGTCTCGAAGGCTACCTTGCTCGTGGATGGCGCGGCACCGAGGGCGTCGAGACGCTCTTCGGGCTTGGGGTCGACTTGGGCATGTCCCTCGATGGCTTGCTGGACGATGATGCTGCCACTGCTGCTGCCGCAGGGAGCGACGAGAGCATGACGGACACTGAGGATGGGCAGGAGCTGGAGCCTGATGGTTGGCCGACGATGGAGGAGGCGGCGAGAGTGCTCTTCCCTGGGTCAGGCTCGGCTGAGGACGGATACCCAGCCGCGGTCGGGAGTGCACAGGCTGAGTACGAGCAGGAGATGCGCGCAAGGCGGGATATGGTGCGTCGGTTTTGTTCCCAATGCTTATCTGAGAATTGACTTGTTCTTCAATAGTTCTTGGACTTCCCGCCGAATACCAATGACTTGAGGAGCCATCTTATGGACCTTGCGGGTCGTTTCCCACCCGAGCCGATGGAGCGCTCGGCGCTCAGGTTTTGTGAGGCTGTTTCTCGTTGGAGGGGTAGACCAGAGCTGCAGGCTAATGTGAGTTTCCTTGCGCTGTGCCATGGTGCTGTGCTAACATATCTTTGCTCAGCCGCACAAGAGTCGTCTACGGAGCATGTCAATCGTCTCGCAGACTTCTCAGTCCGCGCTCTCCATCGCATCTGTTATTCACCCCTCACCATCGAGTCGTCCGGCGATTGATCGCTGGTTCGTTGTCCCCTCCCGCTCAGAGCGCCGTCGTTCGTTAGCCGTCCGCGCCGCGTTGGGCACAGGCAAGCGGAAGCGCACTGAGGGGAGTGGAGAGGCGGGGGCGAGTTCGCGCAAGGGCAAAAAGGTCGATAGGACTGATTCGAAGGGGTATGTCGAGGAGGATGACTGGGTCGACCCCTACGGCATCCCAGGCTGAAGCATTTGACGGGTTGTTCGGTTCTGCTTTCCTCGTTGATAGAAAGCTGCTGATTGTAGGAGCGCGAGCGCAGGACAATGTAGCAAGTCGCGCTGGTTTGGGAGGAGCACTACTCTGTTCTAAATGGTTTCATCGTTCTGTTTGAGGGGATAGGAGAGCAACACTGACGTTCTCATGAGTCCCGTTGGTTGGCGGTGTGGGTGGGGGACGTTACACCGAGAGACACAGCTCCGTACTTGTTCTATTTGTTAATGGGAATCGTGATTGTATGATTTGTAGTCTGCCTTTTCCTTTTGTTTGATTGATATCGTTAGAGTAAACAACGGATTATGAACAGCATAAGAAGAGAGTGATCATGCGGCTGGATATCAGAATATCAGAAGCTTGTAACCTAGGTCATGTGACCTTCAGTTGAACCCTTCCGTTGGCCCTTCGTTGCTAGGGATGGCATCGGTCCTAGACCGGACTTTGAGGACCGCGGTCCTGCCGATCCAGTCCAGGACTGGACCGTCCGAAGACTGGACCAGGACCAACACTTTTGGAAAATCCGGTTCAGTCCTGAACTACGAAGGACCGGTCCAGTCCGGTCCCACGCAGCCACCATTTCGCCATGCAATTGGGTGCAGAGTTTGACAGTTTTGGCGTTGCAGGGATGGTGACCGGTCATGTCATGGTGTTGGAAGAGGTCGGCATATCATCTGACTGACTGGCATGTCGTTTCAGGTGCATGATGAATCTCGCGTGTGCTTCCTCCCGCTCAATGCCATGACCCCACATTGACTATTGAATAGAATTATGTCAGCATTTAGTGGACTGGACTGGGACTGGCGGTTCACGGTCCTGGGACCGTCCAGGACCGGACCATCACAGGACTGGACCGGGACCGACTATCGCCAAAAATCCGGGACCGTCCAGGACTGGACCGGACCGGACTGGACCGTTGCCATCCCTATTCGTTGCACATTCCCCGACGTTCTACGGCCAACTGTCCCAATATGGTGCGGCGATAACCTATTCTTATGCGGCGCTAAGGCCATCTTGGCTCCTCTGGTCGCTTCCTGCACCGCTCGCCGTGGTTGTGGGGAGTATGGACACGGTCTCGTACATATGGATGCCTTCGAGGCAGCGACGACGTTGCTCTGGACTTGCCCCGAACGACAGCGCTTGCGGCATTTTTATCCTCGTTCATCTCTACCTGAGCTGAGACAACTTAGTGGCTACTGAACAAGAGGAATGGTGAGGAGGCTTGTCTCATTTCATTCCTGACGCGCAAACCAGCTGAGGCCACCCCTCAGATGGCTGGCAATACGCGCTCTACCCCCGACGACGTCCTTCCACGCCGACCCAGCTCCATCTCTCATATTCAACAATTCCTACGCAAACGGTTCAGTCTAAAGGAAGACTTTCCCGTTCGTACTCGACGAGCGTCTGGGCTGACTGAACACTTCAACTTCTTTCGATCCCGCGGCCCGTCCAAGACGGCACCATCAGCTATGGAAACTGTCGCTTCAATGTCACCTATCACTCCGAGCTCGCCTATGACAGCTGCTGACATTAGTCTTCGCCGAAGGAGTGTATCGTTTGCGCCCAAGACACCGAGTCGGCTTGCTCAATCAATGCTGCCGCTCTCCCCGCCAATTACACCGAACAAGGAGAGTTTTTCCGATGCCCAAGTAGACGATCGAATTTCTATTGAGCTGCCTCATCATGCGACTGCTCTTTCGAACGCGCCGCGGCCTTTGTCATTTGCGGCATCATCGCTGAAACGAGGGCGCAAACCGTGAGTCCGCGAGCTTATCCGATCACTTGAGTTGACGTTCCGCTAGTCCGCCTGCAGCTTTGGACCTATCGCCCAGGAAAGTATTAACACCCGCCACACGGACAAAGCAAGACGTTGCAGAGAAGAAGAAGCCAGGCCGATTGAATGTCAAAATCCTTGAAAGTATCGCGCGCCGGGGGGGCCAGGTGCCACCCGCAGCGGTCGCCGATCAGAATGCGTTATCTGCTACATCGCCTCCAAACATGCGTCCTGTAGGCACACCCAAAGAAGAATTCGGCGCGCAAATAGGTATGCTCGGCCTGGGGATGGTCGCTTCTCCGCTTCCGTTGTCAGCCCTCTCACCTCGGCCGCCCGCCGCCCGTTCTGGAACGGCCAATGTCTCTCACGGGCAAGCCAGTGCTGCAGCTCCTATCACCGCCATTCATATGGGACGACAGATGACCTTCGCGCCGCTGCCACCGGAGCCTGACGAGCTAGGCCGTTGCACACTCATTGACGAGGAGGGCGAACCGTCGATGGTGTTTCCGAGGGAAATCCAGGACTGGATCTACATGCCGTGGGTATACTGGGGAATGATTTGTGGTCGTCCTTTCAACTTATGGTTTGAGCCTAGGAAGTAGTCAGAGTTTACACTGTATACATGTGTTTCATTATATCGAGCTTGTTCATAAATAACACGTGTGAGAGTACACTTATAAGTTATAACCTTCCTTAAGAGTAGTGTGAAATAAGATGTATAAAAAAATGGTCCAGCAACCCTGCTCCAGCGTCAAACATCTCTTCATCCCCCCAGCTCAGCCAGAACCACATTTGTGGCTTTAAGCGTGACTCCATTGCCCTGCAAAGTCCTGATGCCATCCTGCCACGCATCTAGAGCCGTGACCCTCGCCTCTGGCTCTCCCCATGTAGCTGTCGCATCCGGCACCACTACAACCTGATATCCACGCAGCTGAGCTGAGTTGGCGGTCGCATGCACATCTCTCTCGGTCGTGTACCCAACTAACAGTACGGTTCGGATTCGGTAAAGTTCAAGCACAGCTTGGAGGTCGGTGACGAGAAAAGCGTCTAAGGTGGTTTTGGCGATAACGACCTCTCCGGTCGCTGGGGTAGCCCAAGTCTCGAACTGATGCCCGGGTTGTCCAGGATGTAGAAAAGATTCGGGATCTGATTGATCCTCTCGGACGTGGACGATACAACTGCCGAGATAGTGGCGGAAGGCGGCAAGAAGTGCAGCGACACTGCCTGCCAATTGTGTGTGCATTGGCACCATCGGCGCTCCTTGATGGAAGTTCCGGCAACCTTGCTGCAAGCCTACTAATACGAGGGCAGTATCGCCAGGGTTGACGGTGATTGTTTGAGATCCGGTGGCCATGAGTGCTCTTGGTGGTGGGGAGGGTGCTACCGGAGGACCTGTGTTTCGAACGAGCTTGAGTATTGAGTGAAGTGACTTTTATAGAGAACACAGCACAGCGTACCTGTGTCATCATCCACACAGTCATTTCCCCACTCCTGTAAGACTACATCATCTCAAGTGGCATCTGTGGGCCAGCAGACGTTTACAGACCTGGAGGCGCGTGGGGCGAAAGAAGATATCGACCCTGTCGAAAGGAGTCTCCCGCGGCTAGGCTTGTAACCCCACAGCTTCTTTCTACTATTGAAGGCACCCCCAGGCACTGGGAGTATATCTGGCTCGCATGTGGGTATTCACGGAGCGGAAGTATCCGGGCAGCTGGACCAATACAAAAAAACTGCCGCGTTGCACCCAAAGGTCATAATTTGTAAGGTGTACCACCCAGTACAGCAAACAATTACACCATGCCTTTTCCACGCTTTGGGTAACTCCGGCCCGAATTACTCCATTTGTCTCGGATTCTGTTGAATTCCTGTGTCTTAATTTGTTTCGCACGTGCCATCAGCCTCCGTAAATGTGGTCGCCTCTTTCTAGACAATCTGCATGAATGTTGATCATTGAGCTTTCATCTCTGAGCCTAAGGTAAATTGAGACTTCAGGTTTTGACTGGAGAGGCTTCAATGCAACTGTGGTCACCGAGAGAAGGGATGAATGATTAGCAGCAGGCATCCCACCTCCACCTGCTATCTCCAATTCACTCTTGCCATAGAACAGAACGCAGGGCAGCGATCTGCTCTAGGTTCAGATTGTCGGGATATATAAGGACCCATTCAATGATCAAGTCTCCCTTTCCGATGATCTATAACATTGGATGTCAGTTTGACCTTGCGTACGATGGGTGTAGCCAGAGACACGAACCTTCCCACCTTGTCTAATGGGCATCCCCTCCCCGGGCAGAATAGCTCTGTCACCATCCCTAATCATCCCTTTCGGAAGCTGTATTTCTACCTCTCTTCCATCTATCGTCTTGATTCTCGAGAGATGATGACATCCGGCCAGAGCGTCTACCAGGTTCAAACCGAAACGAGCGACGAGATCTCTTCCTCCGACACCTTCTCGGCCAAATCGGTCATCGGGGAGTTGACGGACGACGAAAACAAGATCCTGGAAACCACCGGGCTCGACTTCGCTACCTGCGCCCGGATATGTTATCCGCGTTCCTTTCTTCCATCCCGGCTGAACGTCGATATCGATGAAGCCTTCAAGGCTCCGACCGTTGAGAAGACTGCGGGTAACGCTAAAGCGTTTTTGGCAACCCGTATATAATTCTCCAAGGGTGAGTCGAAGTGGATAAACCCAAGCTTTCGGTTTTTGTAATGGAGCTGGTGGGTGAAATGCTTTCAGCGGTTTATAAAAGGCTGGTACTGATGCGTCGGTGTCGGAGGTGACAGCGGATTCCTCCTTGGGCAGCGGTGGGCGAGGATGTGAACGGGGCCGAGCGCGGAATCGGGATGGGGGTATGTGTTGGGGTCGAAGAATGCTGCATTCATTCAGGACTTAGTCGGGTTAAGATCACAAAGCGCACTCACTTTTCATCAAAAGAGTTTCTAGAAGAGTCTCCAGGACTCGGTATATGCTCCTGTGCAGGAGGCTCACCAGCAGTTGCGGATGTCGCGCAGTTGTTACATGGGAAGGGATGGCAAGACTGAGAATGGGGCCTTGAATCAGGGAGAGGTATGTTGGGAAGTCGTTCCATTGGAGATGGAGGTATCGGAACGTTCCGCGGGGAGTGTTCGGAGGACCGACAATGGCTCAAGTCGGAGCGTGACATACTGGGAGACCGTTCCATAGGAGAGGGAGGAATCGGAATACTCCTGGGCGAGCGCTTTGGGTCAACGGTACTCGATGATACAACTGACGTCGACAGCGCGGCAGTATCGATTTCGGGCACAGGGGCAGGCACCTGAAGAGACGGCATACCAGGGCAAGGGACCTGTGAAGTTGGCAAATGGGGATGTGGAACACGCCAATCGGTCGAAGGATAGGGATCGAGGTAAGGATACTCCTGCATATTGGATGGCTTTGCTGGTTCTTGAAGTGGAGGGAGAGGCTCAGCCGGTGCTGGTGGTTCGGCGGACGACATTCTTCTCTCATGGTTGGTGTTGTTCGCTCTTAATCCGGCCTCTGACTTCCGTCGTGCCATGCCGGATCCATGTTCGCCTGTCGAAGCCTTTTCGGTGGCTGCTCTATCGATATCGTAGAATAGACGATCGTATCGAGCACGTCGTACAGGATCTGCGAGGTAACGATATGCGTTGTGCAGCTAAACCTGCCGTTAACGACGTCGAAAGACTGCCAACTCCAAGAGAAACGTACTTCGATAAACTGAACAGACGCGTCCTCCGTCCTAAGTCGATCAGGATGAACAAGCAGCGCCTGTTTTCCTGTGAGCACAAGATAGTTATGCATATATAAGAGTATACTGTACTCACTTGTCGCCGGAAGGCTAACCGCAGCTCCTCGGGATTAGCATTTTTTGAAACCCCTAGAATTGTGTAATAGTCTCTTGCGAGAGATGCCTTTGCTTGCTCCATGGACAATTAGGTTTAAGAAGTTGATGGCGGAAACGTTTCTAGATATTTCGCTTCCGGTCTAGGTGATTGAAGTGGATGAGGTCGAATCGTCCATCCCTTGCGGCATATATTGGGAGAACCACGTCGTGCGCAGCTTGTTCCATACGTGCAACTTTCGACCAGAACGATCTGGAACGGCGTTTGTCCAAGCTGCGCAATGACCATAAGAGCGGATGCCTCGTGTTGGACACGCATCCTCCAACCGTTCGGCGCGTTTGAACTCGAGTGAGGCGACGATTAAGCATGAGGCTAGACAAGGATATGATGCCACTCCTAGCGAGTTTGCAGCTAGAAAGGCGTTGACGGAGAATGACTGTCTGGGGCTGTTGTTCGGGACCCGGAAGGCGAGGAGAGTTTGACGCAAGTGCCGGGGCGTCAAAGCGACATCACTCGAGTTGACGTAGCCGATGAAATCCTTCTCCATCAGCGATCTCCACCGGATTCACGCCCCCTGACTCATACCTTCTCTCCACCAATCGTCCCAGCCAGCTTGGCGGACCATGCTGCCAATATCTGACATCTTCTCGACCATTTGACATCCAACGGCCTTCCCGTTCAGCAGCCAGATGTCGGTGTCGCCACTCTGGTTGATAGTTGCGGGATCTACATCAGACGTCATCCTGCGCAAGTGACACGATGCCCACGTGAGCTTCTGTACGAAAGGTCAGTTTGAAGCTCCTGAACGGAGAGAACAGCTCCATGGGCGTACCTTGACTGCTCGCACGACAGCTTCGCATCCTTCCTTCTCACCAACGAGTACAAGTACACCGGGATGTCCGATCTTGCAAATACTGCGTAGGTTCCATAGTGAAGATTGCTCGATAATAAAGCGCTTCTTTTTGGGAGCGCGGATGTGATGGAAGGTCATCAACGCTCGAGTGAGTGGTGTTACAGAAGGGACCTTCATCGTCGCGTCATCACGAGCTTGATACTGTAAATTGGTAACTTTGTACAAACTTTGATTTCAGAAAGCAGAAGTTGAGTAGAAAAAAAATCAAATATTCAACTACTATAATTTGCTTATGCGAATAACTTATGACTAAGTTGCTTTATCGGTCTCAGTGTCATTGTCGGCGTCGGCTAAGTAACCATGCCTGAAGTGTTCCCATCCTTTTCAAGACATACAGACAGCATTTCAGTCTTTATTACAAATCGGTATCTTCACGACCGTACACCCTTATGCAGCATCCACTGCACATTCATGTAAACCCGGCTACAGTATTTACGCCTCCTCGATCTCCTTGATGAGCTGCTCACCCTCGGAGGTGCCGCTGGCCTTCAGAACCTGGAACGCACTTTCTCAGCATACGTAATGACAGTTTGTGGTTATCACTGACCTTGAGAAGGAGTTCCACGTACTCCTTCTGCGCCTCTTCCTTTGACTTTCCCTCTAGCTGCTTCCAGGCGTCCCTGAAAAGGTATTGTGTCAATCGGCAATACCTCCTCCGACCGAGTGAATACGCACCACTTCGCCTTGCCAACGAAGTCCAGCAAGCCCGGACGCGTGGTGTTCACGTCGCCGATGGTACCTATCTGCACGTGAATGGCCGATCTTTTATCCCGCATTGATGGAATATGCACCCTGTTTGTAAAGAGCGTAGAACTACAGACCCCGGTCAGACTTATAAGGAGTCACGAGCCCAGCAAGACGGGGTACCTCAAGCTGCTGCTCCTGCGATACCTTGACCGGACCTCCCTTCGGGAGTCCCTGCACAATAGCGACAGCCTTCTCGAACTTGGTGTTGGACATGATTCAGAGGTAGAGTGCTGGTGCTTGGAAAGGAGAGGAAAGGGGAGATAATGAAAGGCACAGGGGTATTGGGGATGTGACTTGACCAGGTAAGTACTATGCGGAATGTCCGCCCGAAGTGGCTGTGACTGTGTCGTAAGTTGAGAAGCGGCATATTGAATCTCTGCCGTCATCCTTGCTTTCTCCTTACCGTCTCTCATTTATAAGGTCATCGCTGGTCTGGATATCCTCCAATACCAACATCATTCCTCATGGATATTATAGGCGCTGATCAAATTGGATCACATTGCAGATAATGGCAGCTTATCCTTGGACTTGGCTCGACTTCATTGCTGCTTATCTCTTGGTGGTCCTGACGGTCTCTCTTGTGTATCGACTCTGCAGCAAGGCTTCTACTAAAACAATGAGAGAAACGAATAGCTCTGTCTTGTCGCTATATGGCAGCATATATCACACAAATAAAGCTGCCTGTTCGTTACCAATTCGGCCGGCAAACTCCTATCTTGACTGAACGGAATATAGCAGAAGCTATCATCATCGCGGAACCAACCCCGCTGTATGACTTTCACCTCGAGAATGCTCGAACACGAGACTATCTGTATGCGAATAAGACGCTGCGCTACCCATACTATCAGACAATGGGTTAGTCTCCTGTCCATGCAAGACGGGCCTCGAGGCGCTGATAAATCCGAACCAGCGCATCAGCCCATGCACATAAACGATTGGCTGGAAATCAGGTAATCATTACAGCTTCCGTACCAATGATTGTCAGCTGACTCGCACGCAGCTCACAATACGAACATAACCTTCAATTGAAGAAGGCCGTCATCGCCGAACACGTCAAGGTTCCTGAAATTTCTGAGTGTACGCTGACTGATACTCGAAGCAGGGCGCTAAAGTCCTCGATTCTCTCCCCGAAAATGATGCGGCTTGTGCGGAACTGCTTGAAATGGCAGTGGACTACTTGCCTAAACGTTACCCCACCCTTTTTGAGCGGCTTCTCCACGGAGAGAAGGACGGCATTCGCAACGGCGTCACGGGACATGTCATAGAGTGGCCGAAGGCCGAAGTACCGGTAGGAATCGATGCACTTCGGCATGTTAGCTGGTAGGTGATATATTTCCCGTGAAGAAAACGCCCCATTGACGCACGTTTCAGCCTGACCGAGTGTGACTTCCTCATGGCCCGTGAGCGGGAAGACGGGCACGTGCACTTCACTGGTGGTCTAGTGGCACTACCAGGTCTGGATTTATTGTCTCATATTGCGCCCCGATCTGATGTGACGTGGCAGGTTCATACCTCCTGAGTGAGAAGATCGGCCAGCGGATGTCCGAGGTGCACGGTCCGGTGCCCCAGTTCAACGACAAGCTGCTGTTGTCCGTGGAGAGGTGAGATAAGGCTCTCCGACCGTCACCAATCGGGGAAATGACGCAGACAAGAACGCTGAAACGCATGCATCCTTCGGCACCATTCGAGCGCTCCTCATGGGCGATCGTTGATGACAAGAACCTCTTCTGGCACAATATCGCATCACTCCCCGTTGGAGCGGAAATCACCCGGCCGCCTGCCGAGCTTTTCTTGCGTATTGACCGGCGTGAGCACTTATATTCTTTCTTTCGATCATCACCCGCACTAACGCCTCGTGCATTGGCGGATCACTGATAGAAACATTCCGAAAGCTTCCCCGCACCAAGGCAATCATATTCGGGGTGCACCCTTTCCTGCGCCCGATGTCGGAGCCGGCCAGCCTGCCTCTCATGCCCAGTCTGTTGCTTAGGGTTCTCACCGAGTCAAACAGAGCTATGCTTGAGTACAAGAGCATTGCACGATTTGAGAGGGCTCTTATACCCTGGTTGAGGCAAGCGGAGGCGGAGCAGGTGCGGAAGGGGCTCATCAGCGGCACGGAGGGCGTTCGGGATTTTCGGGCCTATCGTGCTTCATGAGCGCGAATCTAGGCAACATCAAGAAGATGTGAGAGTATTCAGTTGACATGCGGCGGGGTAAAGAAGCCTTAGATCTAACTAAGCGAGCTTGTGATTTTGTCAGGAGTCTTCACCCCTGAGGGCACGCGGTATAAGGCATGCATCGGGAAGTCGTATACTGAAGATACCCTTTCTCATTGCGGTTGGGGCCAGGAGGCGCCCACGGTCACGGGTGCGTATACCATGGAAATAATTGAATTTCGCTTATCGGCGGTATTGACTATCACCGGTGCGATCGTCGGCGAGTTATACTAAACCCTGGACAGGAAACCCTTGCTTCTATGTGAAAGTTGATATGGCTGCCAATCACAAATACTTAACCTATCGGGAGCAACGTGTTTGATGATAAGCCGATGTCTAGACCGTTTGAACTTTACCTAAATGTGACGATGCTCATTCTCCGCAATTCTGCCCGACCGCGGGTATTTAAACAGCGGATTTTTGGCCAAAGTTGGGACACGGCTAACCCCGTAAACCCCATCGAGCAATCCGCATCTGCGACCATACACCTCCGACGCCTTGACCCCGCCAGAGAATGACCCCTAGTGCAAATATTATTCCAGTTTCTCCTGTGAACGGTACCACCACTGCAACCACCGACGGCCATAACCCTGTGAAAGCTCCTGCGAAAGCCCTCAAACCCCACCCGCTCGATCCCCTCAGCCCTGAGGAAGTAGGTCCCTTTCGACTGTGACGGCATCCCCCACAAATACCTAACTTGGTAACTCCAGATTAGCGCCGTCTCCCTTGCGCTCCGCCATCACATCGCTTCCAACACCCCAGTCAAAGCTGTCAAGTTCACTAACGCTTATGTCCTCCAGCCGCCTAAACGCGATGTTCTGGCTTACCTTGGTATCCCCCTCGAGACTGGGAAAGAGCCCGAGCCAGCTCCGGAGAGTATTCCGAGGCGTGCGGAAGCGGATTTCATAGACGCCGTCACTGGGTGAGCAGAGCGGTCCCCTCCCAGACTGCTCTCTTGCTCACCACCATCATCATCTCCTCATCTCATACAGAGATGTATATGTTGCACAGCTCACCTTCGTTGAAGGAGAATTCAAGGTCGATGATTTGACCAAGCTTCCAGAGGGCACCCAGTCAATCATTACCCCCGAAGAACTCTGCTTGTGCGAGTATGCGCTCCGCAAGGACGAGCGCGTCTGCAAGCTCGCCGCCGAAGTCGGTACGTACGACATCTCTCGCCCATTCAAGTCCTCACTGATGAAAACTCAGGAGTGACGCCTGACCAGCTCCACGCTGATGGCTGGGCTTTAGGCTGGGACGACCGCTGGCCTACCAAGACCAGGGTGCAGCAGGTGTGTCACTGTGATCTATCACCTACCGTCACCATTTTCTAAATGAACATCATTAAGTGTCTGCTCTATGCTCGTTACGGAGAGCATGAGAACATTTACTGCCACCCGATGGTAAGTGGCCTCTGGCATCCACTCTTCCTTATTGATTTCTTCCACAGGATTTCTTCCCAGTCATCGATTCAAATTCGTTCGAGGTGCTCGCCGTCGACTTTGCCCCTCACCGTCTGGGAGGCATTCAGCCGTCGACTCGGGTACCTCCCCTCCATGCGAAGCTTGAGCGTGAGCGCATCCCGCCCCCTCAGACAAAGCACGAATACCTGCCGGATTTGCTGGAGAAGAATCCAAACTTCAAGGGCATGAGGGATGACGTCAAACCGCTCTACGTCGTCCAGCCTGAGGGAGTCAGCTTCACCGTCCGTGGAAGGGAGCTCGAGTGGCAGAAATGGAAGATGCACGTCGGTAGGGCCATCCTTTCGACCCCATGCTAATGCGTCTCACCTATCCTAAACAGGATTCGAACCTCGTGAAGGCCTGGTGCTTAACACGATCACGTACAACGACGACGGCATGATCCGCCCCATCGCTTACAAGGTCTCTTGCTGCGAGATGGTCATCCCGTATGGCGATCCCCAATTCCCTCATCCACGCAAGTTCGCGTTTGATGTTGGCGAGTACGGCATGGGCACGGTGGCGAATGAGCTCAGTTTGGGCTGTGACTGCCTCGGTACGATTTGCTATCTCCCCGGCTGCTTCGTTGGAAACAACGGCGAGCCTATCAAGATTAAACACGCGGTTTGTATCCACGAAGAAGACGCGGGCCTGCTGTGGAAGCACACCGACTGCCGTGCCGGGGGACGTGCCCACAGCGTACGCGCGCGCAAGCTCGTCGTCAGTTGGGTCGCCACTGTCTCTAACTACGAGTACATTTTCTACTGGAACTTCTTCCAGGACGGCATGTTCGAGCTCGAGATCCGCCTCTCGGGTATCTTGAATGTATATGTCCTCGGCGAGGGCGAGAAGCAAAGCCGTTATACGACGCAGGTCGCCCCGCGTATCGACGCGCAGTATCACCAGCACCTGTTCTGCATGCGCATGGACCCAATGATCGATGGTATCAAGAACAGCGTCATGGAGACGGACGTTGTCCCCTCCGAGTTCCCTACCGGTTCAGAGCAGAATTTCGCCGGTAACGGGTTTTACACCAAGAATACGATCATCAAGCACACTGGGGAGGGTGAGCGTCAGTACAGCGCTGAGAACGACCGCCGGTGGACGATCGTCAATACCAGCAAGCCGCATTACTCGAGCGGCCAACCTGCCGGGTACAGGATCGTCACGCACTCATTCCCACGGCTGCTCGCCGCTCCCGGAAGCTGGGTGCGCAAGCGTGCCCCATTCGCCCGTTCCAGCTTGTGGGTGACGCGCTACGCCCCCGGGCGCGAGTGGCCCGCGGGAAAGTACGTCCCTCAGACGCGCGCTGCGCCCGAGGACTCGCTAGAGTATTGGATGAAAGGCGACGAGAACCTCGACCAGGAGGATATCATCGTCTGGTTCACTATTGGGACGAATCATATTCCTCGCCCCGAAGATTGGCCGGTCATGCCCGCCGACCACCTCAAGGTCGTCTTCCGCCCCCAGTCGTTCTTCCAGTGCAACCCTGCGCTTGACGTGCCCAGCACTTCGGCCGTCGGCAGCTGCTATGCGTTCGGCACTGCTGCTGCGCCCGTCCCCGGGACGCACGCTGTTGCTGTTACCACCGAGGGAGAAGCGGTGGTCGAGGAGACCGCTGGGCACCTGAACGGCGGCGCGAACGGACATGGGACCAACGGCAACGGCACGAACGGGCATAGAAGCAACAATAACGGCACGAACGGTGCCGCTTGCTGCCACTAGATCATTGGGGTACATGGGGACGTACGGGTCGGACTGCTTTGATTTTCTCGATTGATGCAAACTGATACTCTGATGCACTCACTGTACTGTACGCAATTTTTGTGTACAACCGAACAACCTCATGTAACTGTTGTCATGTCTATCCTTCATATCCATGTACGCGCAAATGCGCTTGTTTACCGTTTTGACTTATGTGCACCTCGTTAGGGCATCATGGCTGCTTGGAACTTAGACTATGGAGAGCAGCATCTCAAATGGCAATCCGACTGCTCTAACTGGTCATCTGAAAGGCTGATGTTGTTGATCCTTTCTGCACGTAAATGAGAGGTAAGAGAACAAGAACAGAATCGAAGGGTCCATCGGAGTGGTTAAGATGCCAAGGGTCGACATTGATAACCCTTTGTGTATATCAGTGATCGCTAGACGAAGACCATGGGATCAGTTATCAACGGACACGCTGGCGGTCCAGGATACAAGCTTGCTCTTCTACCGTCTCGTCTCTATTCTTGTATATAACATTCTCGCAATTAGCAATAGGAAGGCAAGCGCATCATGGCACCTCCTGCTGTCGACGGGAATGGGACTGCACCAACGGACAACATTGGGCAGATACCTGCGAAAGCAGGTAGGCAGCACCCGTTGGACCCACTGACATCCGAAGAGGTAAGTTCCTATCCTATTGCCCTCCCAGAGAGCAGGCTAACTTCGCTCCTAGATGACGGCCGTCTCCCTCTCTATTCGCCAGCACACCGCTTCTCAGACAGAGATCAAAGCGCTCAAGTTCATGAACACTGCGCTCCTCCCTCCGCCCAAGCTGCAGGTGCTTGCCTATCTAGGCATACCGCTCGAGACTGGCCAGCCGCCGGAGCCTAAGCCAGACAAACTGGAGAGGCGGGCAGAGTCGCAGTTTATCAACCCGGTGACTGGGTGCGTTCCTGTCCAACAGAATGGGGATGCGTGTACTGACTGTGGCTCAAAGGGACGCATATAACGCAAACTTCACTCTGGTAGATGGAGCGTGGAAAGTAGACAGCGTCGAACTGCTGCCAGAAGGCACCCAACCTAGCATCACCCTCGAAGAACTCTGTCTCTCTGAGTCTGTCCTACGGAAAGACGCCCGCGTGTGTGCCTTGGCTGCTGAGGTCGGGGTGACACCGGAACAGCTGCATGCGGATGGGTGGTCGATCGGGCTAGACGAGCGCTGGCCGAGGCGAAAGCGGCTGCAGCAGGTGCGTGTTCTCCCTGTGCCACATACCCTCAGACCGAGGTTGTACAGTGCCTACTCTTCGCAAGGTATCATAAAGATGACCACTTGTATGCGCACCCACTCGACTTCTTCCCGATCATCGACTCCAACCTGATGGAAGTAGTACACATCGACTTTGCGCCTCACCGGCTCGACCCATCCAACCCACCTTCCAGCAAGGTTCCCCCACTCGATGCGAAACTCGAGCGGCCGCGGATCCCCCCTCCGCAGGAGAGGCACGAGTACCTTCCGGAGCTGATGCAGGGGCAAGAGGGGTTCGAAGGCATGCGAGAGGACCTCAAACCGCTGTTTGTCGTCCAGCCGGAGGGGGTGAGCTTCAAGGTCGAGGGAAGAGAGCTCGAGTGGCAGAAATGGAAGATGCATATCGGTTAGTTTTTTTGCAGATGGTATTCGGCGCCGAGGCTAACCGTCTATTGAGGGTTCAACAGCCGGGAGGGCCTGACGCTGAATACGATCACGTACACTGACGGCGGGGTCGTCCGGCCCATCGCATACAAGCTCTCCCTAGCGGAGATGGTCGTGCCCTACGCGGAGCCGCTCTACCCCCACCCGCGCAAGTTCGCCTTCGACATCGGCGAGTACGGTATGGGCACACTGGCGAACGAGCTTAGCCTAGGGTGCGACTGCCTCGGGACGATCTGCTACCTCCCTGGGTGCTTTGTCAGCCATTCCGGCGCTCCGGTCATCGTCAAGCACGCTATCTGCATACATGAGGAAGACGCTGGCCTGCTCTGGAAACACACGGACTACCGTCCGGGCGGGAGAGCGCAAAGCGTCCGTGCGAGGAAACTCGTCGTCTCCCTCGTCGCTACCGTCGCGAACTATGAATATATCTTCTACTGGAGCTTTTACCAGGACGGGGCGTTTGAGCTCGAGATCCGCCTTTCAGGGGTGCTTAACGTCTACCTCCTTGCTGAGGGAGAGCGTGCAGGTCGGTACGCAACAGAAGTCGCCCCGCGCATCGATGCGCAATATCATCAGCACCTGTTCTCCCTCCGCCTCGACCCTATGATCGACGGGATCAAGAACAGCGTGATGGAGACGGATGTCGTGGCTTCGCCCTACCCGACCGGGTCAGAGGAGAACTTTGCCGGAAACGCATTCACCACCAACAGCACTGTGATCCAGACGACCTCGGAGGGGGAACGGCAGTGGAACGCAGACACAGATCGGAGGTGGACGATTATCAACCCGAACAGGAAACACTACGCGAGCGGCCAGCCAGTGGGGTACAAAGTGATGAACTGCGCTTTTCCTAAGCTGCTCGCTCAGCCCGGCAGCTGGGTCCGCAGGCGCGCGCCGTTCGCTCGGAGCAGTCTGTGGGTGACGAGGTTCAAGGAAGACAGGAACTGGCCCTCGGGCAAGTATGTGCCGCAGAGCGGTGCGGCACCTGAGGACTCGCTCGTCGGGTGGATGAAAGGTGATGAGAAGGTCGATAATGAGGATATAATCCTCTTCTTCACTATTGGGACGAACCATATTCCCCGTCCGGAGGACTGGCCGGTCATGCCTGCGGATATGATGCGCGTGACGTTCAAGCCCGTGTCGTTCTTTAGGCAGAACCCGGCGCTGGATGTCCCCAGTACCTCGGCTCAAGGGAGCATGTACGCGTTCGGCGCGGCACAGGAACATGTTGGTGTCAGCTCCCACTCAGACTGAGGTATTTCGTCTATTTGGGATATGTCATTAGGGCAAAGAATCAAGAGGATCAAACAGTTGTACAAGTTCACGTGTTCGGAATGCAATGCGGAGGAATCTGATGCCAGGTATGAAATATCGCAGAAAGCCAGATCGAGATCTATGCAGTCGTTACTTCTGCTGCTCGTAGTGTCGTAGCTTTCTGCTGTAGGTGTGCTCGTAAGTTCGTGCAGTCGTACGGTGTTCGGATGCGTGTCGATATTCTTAAATACAGATGATATGATGATTCGAGATGACTTGAGATAAGATGCCAAAGTCTATCGGCCATGGGCCATCTTCCATCGGTGGCGGTCAGCGGTCGGTCCAGTTCCATTTCCACTTCCACTTCCAGTTCTGGTCAGAGACTGATAACCCTCAACCCTGCATAATCCGCCAATTGGAACTTATGACCCGGGGACAAACAGGAGATGAACATCCTCGATGGGGGGATGTCAAGTTTCGAGCTGACGGCTTGAACGAGCTGGGGGAACGTGGGCAGTGCAATGTCAGATTTGGGCTGTTCTCTGGAGGAGGGGGGGCTTACGATAGGGGAGAATGTGCCTTGAACGAAGACTAGGCTGGGGGGACGTCAGCGCGTTCTTGGGGAAAGAAGAGCGGACATACTCGATCGTCAACGAGGGAAACGCCTCGTCCACAAGCTTACAATTGGCTTCCATCTCCGAGGGGATATCCCCCGCTGCTTGATACGCGTGGACGAAGACGATCCGCGTCGTGGCTTCGTTTTGCTGTACGTAGAGTATGGATTGGATGAGGCTGAACATCTGGGGATCCCATCAGCACTAAGACCAGGACCAGGACCAGGATCAACAGCAACAGCAACAACAGGAGCATGATCAGTTCCGCCCTTGGCCCTTGGCCCTCGTAGGTGCACAGTAGGGAAAAGGGAAAACGGGAAAAGCAGGGGAAGGAAAAGACCCACATCATCCGTCTTGACCCAAACCCCCACAGCCCTAGCCCTCAACCTCCCCATAAGCCTCCCAACACCCCTATCCATCCCCCTCAGCCCCGTGAGCCTATATAGCCCAGCTTGGTCGTAGACCCACAGAGCGAGACGTGCGATCAGGACTTGGGATTTGGAGGTCCAGAGTGTGAGCCAGACGAGGCCGAAGTAGCCTGCGAAGAGGCCTATCGTTTTTGGGCTAAAAGGGGGGGGGGGGGGGGGTTAGTTGGGTGCTGAGGCAGATGGGGGGGAGGGGACGCACTCTTGGATTATGTTCCCTACCCAGAGGACGACCATACACCCCACGGCTAGGACACTGTACCCCAAGCTAGCCCTATACGTTCTCGGCAAGCGATCCCTATTAAACCTGAGCAAGACATGCGATATAGGATAGAGCGCCAGAAGGAAAAGGAAGGCGATGGCGAACATCGAGCTGAGGAGATCGAGTTGGAAGCCGCAGGAGGCGTAAAGGATCAGGGAGAGGAGGAGGGAGAATAGGATCGAGGGGTATTCGGATTGCGTCAGTGGGAGACGGCGGAGGAACAGCGCGGGGAGGGTGTGGTCGCTTTTCCGTACATACATATGTGAGTGGGGAGGGAGGGAGAGGGGGAAAGACGTACTGCGCTAACCGGTCTACTAGCCCGCAGAGCATCACTATCCCCGCCAGCACCCCGCCTAGGAGGACAGCGACCGCATCTACGACAACGACGATCCTTAGCCAGCGGCCAGCGACGCGTTCTGCCAATAAGCTGAGCACGTTCGTCCCCCCCGTTATCTGTTCCATTGGCATGCAAGCGAGTACCAAGAGCATGAGCGGCGCGTTCAGCAGCGTGACTGCTACGATGAGGTTCCTCAACACGTGAGGGAAGACACCTGGACGGAGGGACTCGATGTATGTCGGTGTGCATTCGAACCCTGTCACGCCGAGGAAACCGATACATATGCCGTTGAATATTGTGCGCAGGGTCTGGGAGAGCGTGGGTGGGTGGAAGGTGTAGTTGTAGGCTAGGAGAGAGGAGTCTGTGCGTGCCCAGTGGATGAGAGCAGCGAGCATGAGAGCGAGCATGACTAGGATCTGGGAAGAGTTAGCTAGGAAGAGAGGGAGGGGAGAGGAGGGCATACGTGCACGGTGAGCATCGTTAGTGCTACACTGCCGCTTTCTCTCAGTCCTGCGAGAGCGATAAAGGCTATGATGACAAGGAAAGCCACGCCCAAGAGGATCTCTACGAGCCTTGAGTTCCCTACAGTTAGCTCGCCGACGAGGTAGCTCCCTGCCGTAGCGGCAGAGACGGTGCTAGTGGACACAGCATCGAGCATGGTTGCTGCTGCTCCTACAGCTGCTAGGCTCTTGCCCGAGAACTGGAGTAGGTAGGCATACGTCCCCCCGTTGAGCCTGACAGCAGCGACAAGTTCGAGCAGCACAGGCCTGAAGAGGAGGAGGATGACACTGCTGAATAACAATGCTATAGGACTGTATATCCCACAAGCTGCTGCCACTGCTGGGAAAGCGTAGAAGACTGAACCGATAATGTCGTTCCCCGCCAGAGCAGAAGCGATGAATTGTCCCATCTTGGGTGTGTCACCACGTGAATCTAACTCCTTTTGAGCACACGTGATGTCAGATTGGACTAGCTCGAGGTAGGACGTCTGTCCCCAGCCCTACAACGAGTCATAGTCAGAGCCGCAATCGACATATAAGGCAATCTGTTCCCAGAAAGAGGACTTACTGCGAATTCCCAGTCATGGTCCAAGTTGGGATACCGCGTGCGGAGGTTAGGAGGTGCTTTTATATTGTGTGGCCTGTTATTCCTTTGACGGCGTATGATAGTCTCGAATTCTGACTGAGCGAAAGAGGGAGGATGAGGAGAGGTAGGAGGGTCATCTCCTATCGTTACTGAGAGAGGTGAGTGGTGTCAATGGGGGTTAGAGGATGGAGGATGGACATACGATGTGCACGATGACGTCGACGTGGTGTCACAGGCAGATCGGGCAACATGTCTTTCCCTTCCTCACTCTTCGGTTCACTCGATGACATGGCTAATGTCGGTGAAGTCGGAGCGGCGGCGGATGTCGGACTTGTAGAACCCATAATGACCGATCACAGTGGATGAACGAACGAAAGTGAAAGCAGCAAAGGTCAGCGCTGTCCTGCACGTCACACACTCGAGTAAAGTGGCGCGCCCCCATCCCATTCAAGACACGACACCAAAAACTGAAATCAGCGACAGAGCGTGACAGACCCTTTTCTGCCCGTATCCGACACTTCGGTTCCTACGCGACTTCCAATTGCTCCCGCTCTCATGCCTGGCTTGTTAAAGTCGGATCAGCGCTGTATTTAGGGAATGACGCCCGTGCGGTAAGATGTTTCCCTTCTCTGGGTTACTGATCTCTATCGTTCCTTGGCTGATTGGGCGATAAAGACCCTGAGAAGCGGCTTCTACGTAGCTTTCGAGCTTCTGGGAATTACCGGCTCTGTGATTCGTCCATCTTTGATTCTACTCCGAAACAGCGTTGGGCCCAGCAAACAACAACGTTTTATCGAAGTATAAATCGCTCGACTTTGATCAAATATATCACAGATCGCTCATCATTCTATATGCAAGATCATACCGCTTTGGCGCAATCCGATCGATCTTCCTCGACATGGATTCTCAAAAGCGCCATATAATACCTCTTGGCGAACCCCGCACACATAGATACGCGTATATATCATGTCCGCAAGCTTCAACTTTGGTACGCATTGTGCCAGTCAGCTTGATATTGAGAACTTCTGGCGGGTTCGGGAATCCGTCGATCCCCGTCAGCTGCAGAGAGATCAATCGCAAGACCTCAAGCGCACAAGAGCATTACACCCCTCCGCAGTCCACAACTCATAGTACCTCCATTCCCCAATCCCAGTCAAGTGAATACACCAGCTTAATTCCTTTGACATCTGGAGCACACAGCCCAGCCCGTCCCGGAAAACGATCCTAGAGGATCCTCTGCCCGGTATTCCCCTTTCCCACCTCCCGGAGAGTCACTCCAGGGGTCAATCCGATCCTGCTGACAACTCTACGTCATCAGCATTTCCATTTGCACTTGAACTTGCACTTGCACTGCTTACCCGCGCACGGACACCCCGCACCGCCTGAGGGTCTCATCTGCGGCGCAGTCGCCCTTTCCTCTACTCCAACCACCCCATCCTCAACCTCCTCGAACGTCAATCACAGTATGTAAGGAAATTCATCTCAGATGTGAGTCTGAAATAGAGGGAAAATGTCGGAAACACAGTAAGGGTTGAGGGGTTTCTGGACAGTTTGCACAAGGACTGCACTGGTCTGCACAGTCGGACATCCTCAGCGCATGCCCCACCATCCAAAGACACACAGATCGGCCGCAAGTGTGTCGTCGCATGCATATGCTAGTTTGTACCGCCCTGGGAGCCTGGGTGCTAATGCAGTTGTGGGGTGTTGGTTGTTGGATAGGCGCCGAAGCACGAGTTCATGCGCGGGGTTGAACTGTCGTAGGAGAAGCGTGACTGATGGGAGATATGGATGTCTGAGCCTTCTTAGATGAAATATATGTTTGAACGCTCTAGCTGTAGGATTTCCTGTCGAGTGTTGTATTCGAGCTGATATCCCGCCTCACAGGTAGGCAGGGAGAGGGCCGATTCAACCATGTGGAGGGAGGCTGATCCGTTGCACGTGACTACACAGCCCCGTTTCCAATCTTCCCAGGGTCGGACCCTGGCGCCTCCCGACAGGTTGAGGAGTCCCCGCAGAGTTCCTCACCCCCTGCAGTGGCGGGGGATGTGAACAGAACGTGCCTCTTCTGCATCTGCAGGTGCACCGCTCCTCCCCCAGAGCGTGTGCAACAGCTCAACCCCACACGTTCCCCAGGCACACACTTCCAGCTGCAGCTCGCACTGCCGCGATTTCCCCAGTCTGCGGCGCAGCGTTCTCCGAGCGCCTAAATTGTCCGAAAGCCTGCAGTGCTAGGGAGCGTCATTCAACATCAACATCCCCTTGAAACCCTAGACTCGGAGGTTGATTAAGATGGCTCATCGGTCTACGCCGTCAGAGGCTCTCCCGCTCAAGCAAAGGATGCACGAACCGAGAGATCCAGACTTGACTGCTGCTGCTGCTGCTGCTGCACCTGGCTCTGAGGCCAATATCGACCCGCATTCTGATCCGGACGTGTCGCCCTTTGCCGATCCAGGAGCTGCGAGCGCGAACCCTTTTTCTGATCCGCTGCACGCGCCTGTGTCTGCGCATCTGCAGGACAATCTAGGACACTCGAATTCCTCGCCGTACGAAGAGGAGTTTACGCAGATCCCTGGCCCGGAGACGCCTACCCCAGCGCAGGATCCTGACGATACATTCTTACGCCGGCGGCTGAGGAGGAGGAAATGGATCATCGGCGGCGCGGTGATATTCGTCATTATCACCAGTATCACTCTGAGCACTACGCTTGGGATCGTCTTTGGCGGAAGGAGCGACTCGTCTTCCTCCTCCTCTACTCCTACGAATACCCTCTCCGGCACAGTAGGAGCAGTGACATTCACCGACCCATCAAATCCGAGCACCTACGTTCCCGACAGCAACTTACACAACTCATTCTACGGGATAGACTACGTTCCCTTCGGAGCTTACGCGCCAGAATGCGGGATATCCCAGAACAACGTCACGGAGGATGTTGTGCTCCTGAGCCAGCTGACGACCCGCGTGCGGACGTATAGCGCCCAATGTGGGCAGGCGGGGATGATCCTAGAGGGGATCAAGCAGACCGGGGTGCACCTGGGAGTGTATCTCGCCGTCAGTACGTGCTGCTTCTGGTTACTGTCCTTACTCGTGCTGTGCTGATCAGCAGTGTTTGTAGACCTGACTATGAACGAGACGGCACTTTATGAGGAAACGAGCGCGCTCGCTCAGACGCTCGAGCAGTACGGCACTGCCAACGTCCTAGGCGTGATCGTAGGGAACCGTACGTCCTCCCTTACTCCCTACTCCCCTACTCGCCTGCCCGGTGCTAAAGAAACCAAAGAGTTCATCACCTCCTACCTCTCGGAACACAATACCACGGACCCGGCCAGCCAGCCAGGGCAGAACGCAGCCGGCTACGTAAGCTCCCAACTAGCGAGCATGCGCGCCACCCTCTCTGCGCTGAACCTCTCCCACGCGGTACCGGTGGGCATCGCAGACGGGGCGAACGTGTTCACTCCTTCCCTGTTGGGAGAAGTGGACTTCTTCATGCAGAACGGGATGCCTTATCGGAGTAACGTATCTCTGCAGAATGCGGCTCAGTGGACGATGACGACCTACTCCAGCACCACTAGTGCACTCGTACGTTTCCTTGTCCTTCCTCTCTCCCACAGCTAACTTCAAACAGTCGAACACGACACACTATATTGGCGAAACCGGCTGGCCATCTTCCGTCCTCCCCGGGGACACGCAGGAACCCACCGCGACCCCGCAATCCCTGCAGACGTTCCTGGACGGGTTCGTCTGCCAGGCTAACGGGAATGAGACAGGATATTTCTGGTATGAGGCATTTGATGAGCTTTGGAGAGAGGGGATGTATGGGGGTGCGGAGGGCGGGTGGGGGGTGTTCACTAGCGAGTGAGTGGGCTTCCTGTTCTTGTCGGACGAAGACTGATAGGTTTGTAGTAAGAAGCTGAAGAATGTGCTTTTGCCGAATTGCTCACATGTATGAGGCCTGTGAGTCTGGTAAGGAACAGGTGGTCGAGGCTGTCTTCTAAACGCGACAGGATGGAATGGTGATGGCGAGATGAATACCTAACATAAAGCTACACGAATCTTTCCCTTTCTGAATTTATCTGGAGCTGTATTTTTTCGAGCCGTATTCTTGCTGCTGTTTGTATGATTAGTATGATTAGTATGGGCCTGTTATGTTTCACGATTTGTGTTTGATGCACTCAGAGACTGGCTTGCAATGACAAGAACAGCGAGGTTGTACTGTATGAAAGGGAAAAGCAGCCAGACGGGTGATGACTGATGGACTATCAAGTCCACAAAAAATGAGGCTGTTAAGAAAACCGATGCCACCCAAGCTCGTGACCGTCAGAGCTGGCACATGATAGTCACACCTTCACAATCGTCGTTCGGACACATGTTGAGCGCATTTATTCCGTCCCATTCGAAGACCAAACGAGAGCACGTATGCATTAGTTTACAGCACCAGCAACCTCGGGTTCTGAGCGACTCAGTTCCCCATCTCTGTATCCTTCCCCTGTGAAGTTTTCTCGATCTCCACCCTTCCCGCATCCAGTCAGAATTAATCCACTCATGCATATAAAGGGGGGGCACACCTCAACAACTTTGAAAAATCGTCGTCAACATCGTCGTCATCCCAGTTCTCCTCCCACAAGCTGTCTGGCTGTGCCGAAGACCCGGAAGCGTTAGGGGGAGCAGAAGGATCCGACTTGAGGAACGCTAGGTCTGTTTCTGGGTCTTCCCAGTCTGCGCATGTTCAGCTAATTGTGTGATTGAGGGATGAGTGAGCGAACCTTGGGTCTCGAACTCCTCGAACTCGTCGTCTTCCTCCAGCGCTCCGAGCTGAGGTAGAGGCTCCTTCTCCTCTTTGGGCTTTTCAGCCGGTGTACTGCTGCTGGCGTTCTGTGCTGGTGTGGTAGATGACATTGTGCACGAGATGTATGCGGTTGAGGTGCGTGTATGCAGAGTGTCGAACTGCAAGAGAGAGACGCGTCGCCCTTTGAGAGTGGCTCTATACGGAGCCGATGAATGTCCGGTGGCAGTGTTGCGCGCTTCGATTAGTTAATACCGTTCCGTCTTCCACTGAGCGTCTGGTGGCACAACACCTCAAGGGACGCACGGACCACCGCCGCCACATTCTCCATCACTTACTCAACGACGACCACTTGCTCAACGACGACGACGACGAGCTCGTATTTCTGGTGAACGGACAGCCCATCTGGCGGCCATAGCTTGCCGCCATACTCGGACGACCACCGGGTCGGGTGTTTCCTCTTCCAGCTGGTAGAACGAACATACATGAAACGATACCTCACATTCCCTGCCCAGCACTGACTCCCCTTCCTCCTCCCCCCACCCTCACCGTCCTCTTTCACTCAACCATGGGTCCCAAACCACCGCCAACAGCACACATCCACATCCCCCCCGCACCGCCCTCTGCAGTGCCATCTCACGCCAAACCGTCCGCTTGTGATCTGCGCGAGGTTGCGCAAGCCATTGCCTGCGGAAAGCGCGTAGTCGTAGTATGCGGTATGTCCCTCTCTCCTTTTACATTTGACCCGTGGTAACGAGACTCATGTATGCTCTAGGTGCGGGCGTGTCGGTCGCTGCTGGGATCCCGGACTTCCGTTCCCCTGCTGGATTGTTCAAGACTCTTCGGGATGAGAACCCCTCCGACCTGCTAACGAGCGGGAAAGACGTTTTCGACACGCGGGTATTTCAGGTGTGCTATTTCCCTTCCCATCTAGTACACAGCACTCGAGACTAACTACTCTTAGTCACCCCAGTCCCTCTCCTTGTTCAACCGTACCATGTCTGCTCTCGCTTCCGCCTCCGCACATGCACAGCCTACCTCATTTCATTCCCTCCTACGCCATTTAGAAGACCGAGGGAAGCTCTTAAGAGTCTACACGCAAAATATTGACGCTCTAGAGGAGAAGGCTGGACTAGAACTAGGCGTGCCGGTTTGGCCGAGGAAGAAGCCTAGCAAGCCAGCGAACAGAGGAGTGAAGCGGAAGGCGAGTGCTATGGACTCTGCACCTGCTGCAGGGGCAGACGACACAGCCTCAGTGTCGAATAACGACGATACGCCCACTTCTACCCCGCGGCATGCGCCTGTGCCCCTGCCGCATCCTGCGCTGCACGGGCTCCTCACCCCGCCCAAGACCCCCAGCCGGCTCTCCCCCTCCACCCAAAGCTCCGACCCCGCCCACCCCACACCCTCATTCCATGCTCCCAGGTGCATCCCGGTGCACGGAACCCTCCGTTCGCTATACTGCGTCTCCTGCGGATACAGCACTCCCCTCCGCCCGCACCTTTCTGTCCTCTCCACGGGTACTGCTCCCTCCTGCCCTAAATGCGCGGAGATCGACACGGCGAGGCAGGAGCAGAACAAGCGTTCTCGCGGGATTGGCAGGCTTAGGCCATCAGTGGTACTCTATGGAGAGGAACATAACGAGGGCGAAGTGGTGGGAGAATGCGTGCGGCGCGACCTTGTCGGACTGGGAGATGCAGGGCCGGGCGAGCGAGCAAAACAGAGCCGAAGACCGGACGTACTCGTCGTCGTTGGCACGAGCCTTCAAGTGCCGGGAACACGCAGGATCGTAAAGGAGTTCTCGAAGGCTGTTAGGCCTGTACAGGAACAGGGGAAGCCAGAGGGAGGAGGGGTAGAAGTGACAGAAGCAGATATATTCGGCGCGCCGGATTCTCCCCTCACCCCGCTCTCAGAGTCGGACCCCTCTAGCCCAACGACTCCTACTCCCAAGCCTACTCTTACGCCTACGCCTTCCCCCACACCCCGCCGGCGCGCGGGCACGGGGAAAGCACAAGAACCGATCAAGACCGTTTACGTGAACTTTGATTACCCCACTCCAGCCCGTGATTGGGAGGGCGTGTTCGACGTGTGGATACAGGGGGATGCGCAGGTGTTTGCTGCTGCTGTGCTGGAGGCTGTTGGTGCTGTTGAAAGAGAGGAGGCTGAGGGAGAAGCACTCAGAGTGAAGAGGGAGGGGCGGGGGAATGTCTTGCTAGAAGAGGAGGGGCGCACAGCTGGGAGGAAGGAGAAAACTAAGGGAAGCAGCTCGAAAATCTCGAGAAGACAGTCTGTGCCCTACGCTCGAACACCAACGAAGGCAAAAGCGAAGGCGAAGCCGCGCCCCTCCCCGCGCACACCGAAGGGATCTGCGCACTTGCTCCCTGCCACACCGGAGTCCCTCACCCGTACACGCTATCCTCATACGCAAGTGCAGCAGCGGCCCATGGTAACTAGCTCCCCTACTTCACCATTGAGGCTCAAGATCCGCTTTCCTCCTGGGTGGGAGAGCGCTCGGACGTCTATGGCCCGACGGGTGGAAGTGCAGTTCTCTGAGGATGATACCTACGATTCGGAGGAAGAAGAGGAGGAAGAAGAGGAACTGAGGAGAGCACCATCACAGAGTGAGTATCTGAGGAAAGTGGGATTGGGACTGAGGAAACGGACGGAGATGTCGGTGAACTATCGGGGTATGACAAGGTGATTGATACGCATATATACTACTTGCATTCTATTTATTTGAGGATGGTGTATGATTATGGACTGGTAGGATTGGAATTAAACGTCTGATGGCATGCATTCATTTTGGAATACCAGCCTTTCTGGTTGCCTTCCTAGTCTCCTGTTTCCACTCGGACGGGGTCAGTGATTAACACTTCGAAATTCTCCGGTATGCAAACGATAGGATAGGTGAGTCGGGCGACTATTGCTAGAACAAGCGAGTGTGCATAAGTGGCAGAGTTTTGTAAAAAGATAGTCCAATGTAGTATCCGAGATAAAATCCGAGTCCAGCACGTATCATACACGTCACTCCAACCCGCCTCAGGTCTCACAGGCCGCCAGAACAGACCCCAGTCTGGTCGGTTACGAATGTGTGCAGTCGGGAATCGTCAGATTCTTGAGCTGCTTATTGCTCGTGAACACGCCCCACCAGCCCTCGACGCCTCCAAACTCGGCATCCTTCCAAGGCTCATCAAAGTACTCAAAGAAGAAGTACTGAGTACCATTCTGGTTACTAGGGCAGACGAAATCGTTCATAAACGTTTGGAGGTTGGCGACGCTCGCTGTGCTCGGGCCGTCTGTCTCGTCTGCCACGCTGGAGGAAGCGGTCGGCCATCCAGTTTCGGCGATCGACACTGGGGGCTTGTTCGTTGTCGCCAGAGAGGGTGCGACGTCAAAGTCCTCGAAGAAGTCGTAGGTCCAACCAGCAGCTTGGTCGATCGCGACGTTCCCGAACCAGGGGTGTACGTTAGCCATCCCAAAGTCCGCGCCGGTAAGTAGGTGAGGTGTGATCATGCTCCCCGCATCGGCAGTGCCGACGGGGATCGTCTTGCTCAGACCGAGGGCTTGGATAGACTGCCGTGTGTCGGCCATGAGGGAGATGAGGTAGTCTGCGGCGGAGATACCGGCTGTGGAGTTGGGGTCGGAAAGGTTGAGATCGGTCAGGTTGTTCAAGATGAACTCTGTAAGGCTGGTCAGCGGGGAGTGTCAGCAGGGTGGAAATGGGACCTGCCATTTCCGACGGCGACACCTTCGACATGGTCGACCCCGTATGTGGTGATGGCATCAAGCACCTTCTGCTTCTGCTCCTCATAGCTAGTCGTGTTATCGGTAACATCTGTGTTTGATCAGCTCCAGCTCACGTCCTCCTCACTTAACTCACAGATAGCCAAATAAACACTCAAGTTGACCTTGCTCTGCTGGATCCCCTCGAGCACGAGCGCGCTTTGGTTACAATCCGCACCGTAGAGCCTTATCCGTGTCGTGAGCTGGCTCAAGAGGATCACGTCTTCCGTGACATTCGCTTGTACGGCGCCGCACCATGGGAGCTGGACGTTCATCGGGGTGTAGGCGAACCCGTAGAAGGAGTTCTTCAGCCGTGGATCTTTGATGTAGGTGCTTGCGTCGTTCGGATCTGTGAGCTGTACGACACCTGCTGAGCCCCTGAGCACGCCTTGCCCCGCAGTCCCACCTCCCGAGCTTTCGGTGTTCGAGCCACCAGAAGAAGAGCCTCCACTGCTTGTCCCAGAAGAAGAGGACGAGGAGTTGTGTTTCGAGATCACGACACCGGCGACGATGCCTGCCACTACTGCGATGACAACGACGAGAATACCAACGATGATGAGCATTTTGTTCCTCTTGCTGCTAGCCTGTTGTTTCTCGAGCCACTCGCTGTTGCCCGTGTCGTAGTTCCTGTACCCTCCTCCTGCACCCCCGTTCCCCCCAGCACCGCCAAACCTCTCTCCGTACATTGCCCCGGATTCCGCACCCCTCCCAAGCGGTGAGTGCATCTGCGAGTCAAACTGCGGTACGAGGTCTCCGGACGGGTCGGCAAAGGGCGACCGGTCGGAGCCGGAGGGATATGCCCCGCGCATGCTTAGGCTTGTTTGACTTGAGGTTGGGCGGAGGGGAAGAGCTTCGGTTGTTTCTGCTCCTGCGGAGTTGAGGTAAGGCTGGGAGGAGAAGGGGTTGGGGGTTCCTGTTCCTGACAGGCCCTGTTGTGGAAAGTGAGTAGGTGGTGGTAGGAGAAATAAGGAAGGACGTACACCAGGCTGTGGGTGGGAGTAATATTCCCCTGTGCGTTGTTAGCCAAGATCATGTGCTGTGAAGCGTGCGCACCTGGTTGTGGGCCTGGTGAAGAGGGCCCGTCGTCGTCTCTGTACCTCCCGTATGTAGACATGGTTACGGTCAGTTTCTTCCTTATGTGGTTGCAAAGAGATGTAGGAGAAGAATCAAGGATCGCACTGCGATTTCTTCTTGTCAGTTAGCAATAGTTAGCCAGATGGTGGTAAGGAATGAAATGGGGATAAAAGGTCGAGGAGGAGGTTGTAATACAAGGTGCGCAGCTGTGCTGTTGGCCCGAGTGCACCGCCCTCTATGCATAACGGACAGAACGCGATGTGTGGATATTCAGGGTCTTTGTCGCTAGGTCCCTGAACTAGTACTCGTTGCGGGAAAAAGGATAGCCAAGAATAGAATAAACATCGCATCGGGAATACTACATTGATCACTAATTATTGTCAAAACAGGGTACAGACATCGTACATTTCATCAACATCTCGACCTGCTTGACCTATCCCTTCATTGACCAACTTTCTTGCGTGTTTTACCGAGTGTTGTATGACCCCGATTCCCGACATGGTGATATATTTGGAATCCCGATCTTCTGGAAAGGAAACACAGAACTCTTTCCGCCGTTCCGCCCGAAATAACTTGGCCACAACGACATTTGGCAAGAACTTGTGGTCCCAGTTGGATCCCGAGTGCCTCGCTGGCGTTTCAATTTTTATTGATAGTTCGTACTCACATGCACTTAGTGGGGCTTTCATGGACCGGAAATAGTGGTTGTGAAGAAGTTCAGCAGCTGGTGTTGACCGAGTGGCTTTCTCATCACATTTGGCCGAGGATCAACCCGCAGCACCATTTTCCATCACATTTTCAAACACAGCGTAGACGATATCAGCAATAGGTGTAGACGGCCCAAAGGTCTGATATCCCATTCTTTGTGTTCAGACGCGAATATCTTGTCCGAAAAGTGCCAATTCCATGAGAAGGGCCCGTTGGAATAATGAATCACATGTGAGGGGCCCACTTAAATCATTCGACGCGTTGCGGCAGAACCCTATCTAGTGGCTGTGTTCCTACTTCTAAATTATGACTTTTTTTGTGGAAGAATAATATTGGCCACTCTTACCTGATGGACAGTCCTCCACTTCCCCTCCTCTCCTTCCCACAACCACAACAACCGCCCCCTCCCACATCGTCTGAACTATCTAGGCAAGGACTCGACCCTTCTCTACTTCAAGCCGAACTCGTCCCTTCCTCCCTCTCACCCTCGCTCTCCGACCCCGACGCAAACTATGGGCTAAACGAGCGTCTCCAGCGCAGACTCGAGGCGCTTGGCGTCGACAACCTCTTCGCTGTGCAGGCGGCGTTGTGGCCCTGGCTCCTCACTGGACCGGAAGCGAGAAGGGGACTGTATGAACCCCGACGTGCCCCGAGAGACGTGTGTGTGTCTGCCCCTACAGGGAGTGGGAAGACGCTGGCGTACGCGGTGCCTATTGTGGAGATCTTGAGTGTCAGAGTCGTCACTAGGCTCAGGTCACTCGTCATACTTCCCACGAGGGATCTTGTCCAGCAGGTGAAGGAGACGTTTGAAGCGCTGTGCAAGGGCACAGGGCTAAAAGTTGGGAGTGCGACGGGTGCACAAAGCTGGGCAAAAGAGCAGAAGGCACTTGTAGAAGATCTGGAGACGAAGTGCGTGTTTCCTTACACAGAAGCCTGGAGAGTGATTGACGGGAGAAGATTGCAGGGCGGGTCGAGTAATATCGATATCTTAGTTTGCACGCCTGGGAGACTTATTGACCACCTCGACGACACACCAAATTTCTCCCTCCAACATCTCCGATTCTTAGTATGTTACCCCCCATGAGTTAGCGCATCCCTAATCGCATGCAGGTGATCGACGAAGCCGACCGTCTCCTCTCCCAATCCTTCCAGTCCTTCCTCCCCCGTCTGCTGACCGCGCTCACCCCCACGCCTCACCCCGTTCCCCCCTCCTCCGACCTCCTTATCCCTGACGCGCTAAGCCCAGCTTGGCTCGACCTCCCACACGAATTCGGCTGGGCCCCTATGTTGCCTAGTTGTCAGAAACTGTTGTTTAGCGCTACGATGACGCGGGACCCGGGGGTGTTGAAGTCCCTTGGGCTGAGGAATCCGAAGTACTTTATCGTCACTGCTGCGCCTGAGGGAGAGCGGGACGAAGCGATCATAAGAGAAGAGTTTAGCGTTCCTGACACGCTCAGCGTAAGCACTTTCCGAGGGTTTCCCAACATCATACTAATCCAAAGAGGTAGGAATATCTCCTAGTCGTACCAACAGACCTCAAGCCCCTGTACCTCTTCCACCTCCTCCACACGCATCCCATAACCAACGCTCTAGTATTCACAAAATCCACCGAGTCCACCACCCGCCTTCTAAAGCTGTTCGAGTTCTTCGAGTCCGCCCGTCTCTCCGTCTCCACCTCCGTCTCCGCCTCAGCGCAAGACGGAGGATCCCCCCAAATCCTCGCGCGGGCATTCTCGAGCGAGCTCGGAAAGGGAGAGCGAAAGAGCATACTAGACCAGTTCAAGCAAGGCCGGATACGCGTGCTCGTCGCTTCCGACCTCGTTTCCCGAGGGATCGATATCCCGGATGTGTCACACGTTGTCAACTACGACTCTCCGCTCGATATGCGTAAGTATGTGCACAGGGCGGGGAGGACGGCCAGAGCGGGGAGAGAGGGTGAGGTGTGGTCTCTTGTCGAGAGCCAGGAAGCGAGGTGGGTGAGGGAGATGTTGAAGGCTGCTGGACACTGGAGGAGGGTGAAGAGGGTCAAGTGGGAGGAGGGGGTGCTGGACCCCTTTAGAGGGTTTTATGCGGTTGCGTTGGAGAGACTGAGGGAAGTGTATAGTAAGGAATGAGAGCGGTATATTGTATGACTTGGTTAACATCGTAAAGCGTACGATTTGTCCGAACTTCTTGGACCATCAGTATGTACCACATGTGCAGCAGTGTCCTTAGATGCTGCCAAGTGCTCTGAAAAGACAACCCGTAGCTTGTCATTCACAACACATTTGCAAACCCAAATCGACTGCAAAAAAACCAGTTAGATATACAATTTTACACATCGTACAGAGCAGCCATATGTACCGTACTAACACGAAAACAAAGGAACAAACAATCTTGCTCTTGCCGTCGCCCCGAGAATAAAAAGGAAAAAAAGGGAAAAAAAAAAAAAAAAAAAAACAAAGAACAAGGGAAGAGAGCAAGATGAGGCAAAGGCAGAGGTAGAGGGGACAAGGTAGTAAGACTTCAAGGTTTGTCTGGCTTGGGATTTCATTCCCCTTCGTTGGAGGGAATCGAGGACCGAATACAAGAACAGAAAACAAAACAGGAAATGCAACAACGTTGACCACCCCAGAGGGTCATCGAAGTCGACATCGGGATCGTACACCACCACCACCGAGCGATCGTACATCGGTCCAAATTCTAGAGGTTTAGTAATACAGGTGAGCAAGCCCAGGGGAAGATGATTGGATGTCGGTCGGAGATGTCAGATGTTGAAGGTTCGGGTTGGGGTCGGAGTCGGGGAGTCGGGGGTCCGGAGGTTCGGGTAAGGAAGGTTGCACAAATGGGCTCCGGTCGGGCGGTTAGTATATACCTGGAGGGGGAGCCAACCCCTTTCCCTCCTCCCTAAACGCGCTTGCCGACGGCTGTGCCGGGCTCGGACTAACGTTCACAAAATCGCTGAACGAGAAGCCGAAAGGCGTGCCCTGGTTTCCCAGGGCAGTCCCGTTCCCGTTAACGCTCCCGTTCGGGGTGCTCTGACTCCTCTGATGTGCTTGTATTGGGGTTGTTGGAGGGAAGAGTACGCGCCCGGGGCCGGAGAAGGTATTGGAGGATTTTGGTGGCCGCGCAGGAGAGGGGGATGTCGCGAGGTACACTAAGGTCTCCGCGGCGTCCATCGCTGGCTGGGAAGTGGACGCACGGGGCGGGGTAGAAGGAGGCTGGCTGTTCTCCGATACGGAGAAAGGTGCTCCTAGCCCTCCTTTGGGGCCTGAGGAGCTCGTGGAAGAGGTACGGGACAGGCTCGATCCGTTGACCTTTGTTGATTGGCTTTGTGTGCCTATGGGGGAGGCGGCTGATTCCTGTGAACTGAGGAAGCTTGTGAGGATTGCAGCTGCTTCAGCCTCTTGTTGGAGCGCGCGCCCGGAAGAGTTACGCGGCGGGTGGGAGAAGCTCGCGCTCCCTGTCGTGCGCCTGTGCTTCCTTGGACTGTTGGGAGGTGGGAGGCTGCCCGCTGCGCCGGAAGTGCGTTTCCTGCGAGTGCCGGTGCCGGTGCCGCTGCCGCTTGAGCCCGAGCCAAAGCTGGAACTCTTGGGCGAGTAGTCAACAGAGGGAGAATGTTTGATTGGTGAGAACCCGTTCGAGCCTAGTGGGGCACTGCCGAAGAGGGCCATGTAGAGCGATCCAGGAGCCGGAAGTCCGGTAGCGTCTCTTGGGAAACTGTCGAGCGCGGGGTAGGCACCAGCTGAGGCGGACAAGTTTAAGTGCTTCATGCCCAGGCCGATGCCAGTCGGAGGAACATATGGGTGTGTGGCACCTGCAGTATAGGAATTTGGGCGCGCGCGCGAGCGCTTACCTCCTGCACCGGTGCGCCCGTTCAGAGAGGCGCCGCTCATGGTGCTAGATATGCTGGGTGAAGGGGAGCGGGCGGCTATCTCCTGGTCTACGAGGGGGTCGAGCTTGCTGAACGGGAGAGCGGAATAGCCTCGTGATGCTTTGAAAGAGGCGTAGGAGAGACGCATGCGGAGCTGTTCCGTCAACTGCGGGGGGGTCAGTTAGTGCAGGTGGAGCGCGTACGCGGCCAGCGCGTCACTGATGGAGTACTCACTTGGGCAACTTTCTTCCTCTCCATGAACTTCTTGATCGCATTTCTCCTCTGCTCACGCTCCTCGGGTGTGATACCCTCCTCGTTGGGGACGAGCATGTCGATATCCATATCGGCTTGAAGGGGCTGCATGATGGCGATTAAGAGGAAGTGATACGATACGATACGATATGATGTGATAGTGAGTAAGTGGAGAGATGTGGGTTAAAGTAAGTTGATGTAGTCGGTTTGGGCCAGGGGACGCGTCAGGGAGAGGAAGACGCGACGTGTGTGTGAAGGTGTTGGAGATGTATGCTACTACGTGGTGTTAGGTGGTGTGATGTCGGCGCGGCGCGGGATGTCCAGCCAGGGCGCGTCAGGCCTGTTGTTACTGTAAGCTGTAGTATTGTTGTGGAATGCGTAAGAGAAGGACGGTGAGGAAGAGGGGGAGGGGGACGTCGAGGACGTTGACGGTGATGGTGAGGAAGGTGGTGGTCAAGAGCAAGCCGTGACAGGGTAAGAGCAGGTGGATTCGCCCTTGCTGGACCAAGGCACACACACACGCGTAGAGCCGCCCGGTGAACGAAACGGCGCGTCGATCGGCCGCCATTTCTCCGGGGCTTGAAGGAGGCGTATCATCTTCTCTTCTATATTCCTTTGATGATATTATTATGTCATTAATTTACTTTAAATATTATTATTAATAATGGTATAATTGTACAATGTAGAGAAGATGATATACCGTAGTTGTAATGAGAACGCGTACAAGGGCTGAACAGATGTCCACCTGATGTCTCATCCACGCGTCAAATCTTCCCCTTCACCCGACAAATACCGATTACTCCAACTTACCCTGTTACCCTCTCATATCTCTTCCAATTCATCACATACTCCCCCCTTCTTCAACTCTGCTTAAACCCTGCCAGGCACTTCCCTGCGGAGATGAGCGTCACGCAGGGCGGTGTTCGTCTACCCGAATCCGCTGTCTTACCGCCTCGTGTTCACGTGAAGCCGCCTACTAAATGCTTCAGTCACAGGACCCACATCCCTCGTCCTCCATCTTCTGCCAAGTGTGATACCCACACAATATCATACAACATAGTATTACATAGTCACATTACATTACAACACATTACATTGCACATTGCATGGAATCCGAAGCCCACAGCGCGCCGTACGCGTCCCGAGTCGCATGATGGGAACGCGTTATGTAATACGATAGAACCGGAAGCACAAGCACCCGCCGACTACTGCGGCACTTCTCGGCCGAGCTCCGATCCTTCCGTGGCGTCATCCATCCATCGGCGCGTAATGCGGTTGACGTGACGGATTTGGCAGCAGAGGCACCGATAGAACATAGAGGGCGCGACGTGATGCGCCCTCTGTGGCTTGTGGAGATCACGCCGATACGCCTCCCGGCGTATGGATCACCGGTCTTCTGCTTGACGGCCCGCTGCTCGCCGACCTTCCCGGACACGGGTATCTATCAGAAGACGCGTAGTCAGCCTGGGAACAGTGTGTAAGGCCGGACGGCCACGGGAAGGTTATCTCACCACAGCTGGCAAGGTGAAGATGTTGGGATTTCCTTTTTCGCTATACACACCGGGCCGAGCTGCTCAGTCAACCCTGTTCACTTCTCACCGTCTGAAAATGCCAGGATACAGCACTACATGTAGTATCCCTTAATTGTAGTATCCCTTAATGTCACTTTGCATACTCTCTAAAGTCCGAGACCTTCTCGTCACCACTCACCAACCCCCTTTCTACCTGCTCTCTCACACACTCCTCCAACCACGGCCCCAACGTTTCCTCATACGCCTCCGCCCCCTTATAGCACATCAAGTCCCTTCCAGACTCGGTATGGATCTTGTATAACAGTGCCGGGAGGAGGGGGGAGTCCCGGAGCGTACTGAGCTTGCGTACGAGCGGGTGGACACCGAATATGATCCCTTTGCTTTTAGGGAGCTTGCGGAACGTTTCTGTGCTAGGGTGAGCTGGGGCTCGTGTGAGAAGTGGAAGGGGGAGGCGGACGTACGCCGATCTATCCGCAGGTAAAGGTCGCTAGGGTCGACACTGACCTTGCCACCTTTGGGAAGGAGGGCGATGTTGTGCCAGTAAAGATTGAGATCGTCGACGATCTCCCATGAGGAGCGCTCGAACGGCGCACTAGGGAGCATGCGCTTGAGTGTCCTTCGCTCCTGTATTAGCTTGGCAAGAGGGGGATAGTCAGGACGCGCCTCTCGACAGACATGAGTAGCTTGTCGTTGAACTGCGGAACAGGAGCGTGCACGACCGACATGGGCTTGTCGATCTTCTCGCTCAGCAGATAGAAGCCTGCGCCTGCTCAGTAGACACTCTAAGACTGTGGGATGACAGACCTGGGAAGGCGACGAGCCCTCCGGTGAAATAGATATGTCCATCTGGACGCTCACGAGCCATCAGGAAGTCACACTCTGTCAGCCTAGAAGGCGTGAATATCATCCCTCAACAAACAACTGAACAAGTTACCGGCTCAGGATGGTCAGCGCATCACAGCCAGATGGCGCCTCGCCCTTCTTCCAGTCAAAGCGCTCTCCAGTGACCTTATTGAAGATCCCGTCCCTGCTTATGCGGTCCTCGGTGCGCAGGAGCCGGTCAAATAATGTCGGATAGCGCTTTGGCATCCAGTCGAGTACGGTTTCCAACAGTTCTTGGCAAGCAAAATCGTTTTCCGGAAGAGAGTCAAGCACTTTCTTACCCTGGCTTCTATGTCAGTCACGGAGCTTTTCAATGAGGGGGAAGGCGTTTGACCTCCCTCTGGATGACTTTCTTCTTCTCCGACAAGTACCATTGGTAGTCCGAGCTGAAAGTTCGTTAGCAACTACGATGGTTGTGTAGGATGGACACACCTGATCTCGATCCAGTTCTCGATCTCCATCGGTTGATGTGCTGCCATCTCTGAGTGGGCGTCCCTAGGCCGGAAAGGACAGACTTACCCATAGTCTGATAGTACGGATATCGGAGAGTCTTGTTCACATAGATATAATTCCTTGTCTTTGCCGTTTTCAAGTCGAAGTCCAACAGAGGCTTGGGGTCGGGGAGCGTCTCGTCCTCGCCTGAAAGGTACAGTTAGGCATTTCCTTCATGCAAGGCTTGGCCGTACCCTTCTCTTTGTTTGCGTGCCAAATGCTCTTAGATACATGCGTGATATTCTCCTCCAGTTTGATCTCAGAGGTGACTTTGCTGCCAGATTTGACCCGCTTTTGCCATAGTCGCAAAGCAAGATACAGCCCCACAAGACAAGCGGCGCACCCAAGTCCCTCAAGAGACAATAAGACTAGGTCGTGCGCCATGACAGACCAGCTTCAATAGCATGGTTAGATGTCGCAGCGATATGCTCAGTCAGTTGATGATAGCCATGAGGTCAAACGCTTGCTTCGCGAAGCCCATCGGAGCGGCCGGGCCCTCCGCCAGCGACTTTTCAGCGTCATCGCGGTCTCCGCCTTCATGTTCCAAGTGCCGAAAGCGGCCTCCTGCTCATCTGGCGATGTTATCTTTGAACTTCCATATACGATGATCTGGTTATTCAAGGGTTACGTAGTAGTTGTCAATAGTGTATGTGGAGACCCCCGTTGCCGGGAGCTGATAACCAAGATGTTGAAGATGCTGAATTTGGGTGAATTCAGGGTTCTTCTCCGCGTAGATATGAATGCGAATCGAACCTGCCCCTGTCAATAATATTACTGCCAACTTTACAGGCCGCGGCGGCTGTGGTCTGTTTCTCACTTGCGTCCCTTAGATCTTGAACATGGACATGTATATCCTGGTTCTGGCCGGACTTTGTGCGTTATGTGGCATCTTCGGTATGTGGAGCAAACGCCGAGCGCTCAAGGACCAGCTTCCCAGCAAGACAATCACTAAAGCTAGGGATGTCAAGCTTCGTGACGAGATGGATCGGGAGCCGGGAGGTCAGTCCTTTTCGATAGACTAGCATTAAGATTTGAATATGCGATAAGAATGGCGACCCGTGGCTTTTGACTATCCGAAGTTCAAGCCTTGGCATGATTTCGATATCGACCGCACTCTTCCACCTCTCTATCGACCGTTCAGATGGGGACCCTATCAGTAAGGTTCCCGGTTTGAGGCAACTCAAAGTCTCAAGGTAGACAGCGTGACGATGGGCCTGCGGAACATGTCCTGGCCAGAGTGGATCGAATTAGATAACCGATACCAGGAATACCACACCATCCGTGCAGAGCGTATGCGCACCCGAGGATCCAAAGCCGTGCGTACGATGCCGCCGCGAGATGGTGTGCCAGGGGGAGCGGACGCTGCGCGGGAAGTGGTGCACGAGCTTGCGGAGTACCTTTCGAGGAGGTACCCGATGATGTTTCGAGTGGAGAGGAAGCAGAAACGGGAGGGAGACTGGGGCTGGTATGGTGATGGGGAGATCAGGACGATCGAGATCCTGCCACTGGGTGAGGTACATGACTTGGACAAGGAAGACCCGATGACTGTGGCTGGACTGCTGTGTGTGGTTCTCGAATCGATGTGTTTGGAACTACTAGTTGAATCGTTGCAGGGTGCAGGACGACCTTTTCATCACGCTCGAAGGCAGGGACGGGAAGTATTACTTCCAGGCAGGGTCGATTTGCACAGGCGGGTTCTGGAGAATGGAAGATAAGAGTAAGGATCATTGAGTTTCATGTTGATGTGTGCTTACCTGCTGCAGTCGGAAAGGCGTTAGACGACATCCACAGGGGCGGCAACGTCCCCCAATGTAAGTTTCTCTGTTCGAGCCAAAGCTACCTCCCAACCACTCGCAGACGACACCAAGCTCCAGCCCTCGCTTACGCGTTTCTTCCGCAAGTTGCAGACAGACAAGCCCGTGCTGCGAAACAACTACTTCATCCAAATCGACCGTGCGCTCGCCTGGTCCGAGCCTACGAACGGGGCTGAAGACGCCTTTGACGAGGGGACGCACGAGCCAAACCGCGAATTGCGGGGCGATTTCAGCCCACCGGAGCCGACGGTCGATGTAAGGACCGTGCATTTTAGGACGGAGAGACAGAGCTTGAGAAGGATGCCGAGGACCGGGGCAGTGTTGTTCACGGTGAGGACGTACATCGAGCCTGTCGTGCGTTTTCCCCTCCTGGCGTGGATTGGGGCTGAGCAAGCGCAGACTAAGCTGGTTGAAGAACCGGGAGTCCCAGGACGCCTCGCTTCTGCCGTACGTGGCTTTCCGGAAGACATATTCGTGTACAAGGCGGCGCATTTGTATCGGGATGCGTTGCTGCCATTCCTTGACGAGGCACATAGACGGCAGGTAGAGCAGGGGGTTATCAAAGAAGGAGATGAGACGAGTGCATATCCATATTGAACAATAAGCAGGGTTATAGAAAATGCTTTCGAGAAGAGAGCAACTTGATTTCCAACCAAAAGCAGGAAAGCACATGGTCGGAAGACCGCACTTTTTGCTTACAACATCACGCGTCGCGCCGTCCATATCCGCCACGTCCCTTTCTCCACCAGGGTCCACAAGTACGACGTGTAACCCTTTCTCACTTTTCATTTCTCTCGATTTACATATATCCTCCAGGATGGCACTGTTATCCTCCTGGCAGATCGCGTTATTATGGCTTAGTTGGGTAATTCTGTCCCTGGCGGCTGGGGCCGACTATTACAAGATCCTTGACGGTTCGTGTTGTCCTCACAACCTAGGATTGCCATCTGACGCTTTTCTATTGCCTAGTGGCGAGGACGGCTAGCGAGCAGGATATTAAGAAAGCATACAAGAAGTTGTCGAGGAAGTTTCATCCAGACAAGAATAAAAGCCCAGGGGCAGAGGAAAGGTTTGTCGATATAGCCACGGGTGCGTCGTCCTCCGCAGCGACGTTGTCCGCAGTGCCAGTTATTGATGCATTCGCAGCATATGAGGTACTTTCAGACCCAAAACAGAAGTTGGTATACGACCAGTTTGGAGAGGAAGGGCTCAAGAAGTCTGCACAAGGGCAGCAGCATCACGCGAATCCATTCGATATGTTTTCGCAGTTCTTTGGTGGTGGGAGTGCGTCCCTTCTCGTGCTCGCCGACCCTTGCTGACATACTTGATAGTGCGCGAAGATCAGGTCCGGAGAGGACCGACGATGATGACCGAGTTTGAGATCTCGCTCGCGGATGCATATACGGGGAACTCGATCGACTTTATGTTGAAGAAGAAGGTACTGTGCGACCATTGTCGAGGTAGCGGGGCTGCTTCGGACGGGGACGTGAAGCCGTGTGGTGGATGCAATGGGAGCGGAGTCAAGTATGTTCGACATCAGATTATGCCTGGCATGTTTGCCCAGAGCCAGATGACATGCGACGAGTGCCAGGGAAGGGGGAAAATCATCGCTCGCCCGTGTCCTCACTGCGGGGGCGCAAAGGTGCTCGATCATACCGCGCATTATACGCTCGAGGTGGAGCCGGGCATTCCAGAGGGACACGAAGTCGTCTTTGAGGGAGAGGCAGACGAGAGCCCGGATTGGGAGGCCGGTGATGTGGTCCTCAAGGTGAGGATGAAGAAGGAGCAAGGAGGGTGGAGGAGAAAAGAGGGGAGCTTGTATTGGAGAGAGACGATTGGGGTGCAAGAGGCGTTGCTTGGGTTTGAGAGGAACTTGACGCATCTTGATGGGCATGTCGTGACTCTGCGGAAAGACGGTGTCACCCAGCCTGGTATGCACACTGTTTCGCCTGGGGTTAAGCAGGAGCTCACAAGACGCAGGCTTCGTACAGCAGGTAAAAGGAGAAGGGATGCCCTTGTTCGAGCGACACAAAGAGCACGGTGACCTATTCATAGAGTACACCGTCGTGCTCCCGACTTCCCTCTCTGACCACACGAAGCGGGCGCTGCAGGACGTATTCCGGGAAGGAGGGCACAAGGCGAAGACGGAGCTGTGAAGAGATTGGAGGTATTAGATAGACTGTAATTCTTAATAGAATATATTTCACCAAGGAGGGGGTTATGACTATAACTGGAAAGCCTGTGACCTTTTATGGATGCCGATCGATCTCAGTGACGCGTCAAAGGCAGCACTCGAACACATCGTCCAATCCCTCGAGCTCACCACCAACATGCGCGTCCTCATCGTCGGTGCCGGCGGCCGTCTCGGCCTGCGCGTCGTTGACCACCTCCTCACCGCCTCCAACGAGGTGATTGCCTTCGTCCGCTCCCCGTCCCGCTTCCTCTCCCTTCTCCCCGAACCTCTGCGTACCTCCCCATCCCTCCAAGTGATAGAAGGCGATGCCCTCTCTCCCTCTTCCCTCCTCTCCGCCATCCGCGACTCTAACCCAGACGCAGTCATCAGCTCCGCGGGCGTCCCCGCCTTCTTCCCATGGCAACACTCCACTTTCCCCGGGATCGGGAAAGCCGTAGCAGAAGCGTGTAAGGAGGCGCTAGGAGGGGGGAAGAGGGTGTGGTTCGTCGCAGGCATGTTTGTTTGTGACAGACCGGGTGGAGGACTGTTGATGGATTCGTATGCCTGCTGCATCCCAAAGTACACGAGAACAGGTACTAATGTGTCACGCAGGACACATATATACACCGAGACGCGCATCGTTCTCACCCACTTGCAGACAAAGTGCACCGACCTAAACTGGGCCATAGTCTGTCCTTCACTGATGTATCACGGCTCCGTACGTCTCCCCTCCTCGCGTATTGCCCCTAAACTCATGCCCCGCAGCCCAAACCGGTCGAAGCAGCCGTCAACATCCCTCCCCATTGGCCTATCCCCGGCTGGGCGTGCCGTCTCCCCCTAATTGGATTCGTCCTCGTTAGTTTTGCGACGGCACTGGGGTATGCTCTCAGTTATGATAGTGTTGCGGCGTGGTTGGTTCAAGATTTGGAAGAGGAGAGATGGAGGGGGAAGAGGGTGGCTTTGAAGGGTTTGTAGAGTAAGTCATCCCCCCTGTCGTGCGACTGTCCTTGTTTGGACAGAATAGAAAGTCCTCTGAAGCTTCACACCAGTCCTGTAACAAATGAAACACGATGCCGGCTATTTATATCTTCAATTCATGGCTGTCGGAGGAGGATGCCACAGTGGAAACAGCCGCCCTGACAGACCAATTTTCGACCCTGAAAAAAGAGAAGAACAAAGCGCTTGTCAACGGGCTATCTTCTTTCTCTTTCTGCGGCACCGCCAAAACCCGAAATCTGACGGCGTCCGTGCCTCAAGGGTGACGTTTTACGAAATATTCTGATGATAACATTCATATGGATTGCGGACGCTCCTGTCCAGTTGCAAGTCTAAGGTCGTTATCATGCCTCACGACTACCCCCTTCTACTGTCTTTTCCCACTCCTGCCTGAGAGCGAGGGATGCTTCCCCAGCGCTCTCTACGCCTTTACCTGCTCGCGGTCTTCACTCTTGTCCTCGGCTTGCTCATTTACTTTTGGTGCTCCCTCACCTGGCCTCTATCATCCCCATCTCATCCCCTCTCATCCGCCATATCGCCAACCTGCCCCTCCCCTACAGGTCCCCTCTCTCCGTTTCCCTCAACCGGGTACACCTGCCAACCCCTCACCTCGCAGAACCCGACGTTCGACATCTCCCTCTGCTCCTACTCCTGCAATACATTTTCTCTCCATATCTCCCGCCCCTCGTCCTCCTGTTCCGGAGCCGAGTGGACCGTCAGCTCCGATCCTCGCCTGGATAGGTATATCAAGCGTTTTCTTGGGCCGGACGCTTTTCTCCTGCGTACCGATGGGGCTGAGCGCGGGGTATGGAATTCCCCGACTAGGTTCAGCCAAGAGACGTGTGTGTATGAATGGGATGTCCAGCTGAGAAACGGCGGCGCCGCATGGGCACAAGTATGGTGGGAGTTCCCGGTATGTTTCTGTTATATCTCAGTATCGCGGTGCTCGACGGCTCACTCTACAATGTGTAGAACTATCTCTCCGTGATGGAGAACAACGCCTCGTGGCCTGAAGTGATCCACGAGCCTCTCTTGGCTGAGCCCTTCCAGCTCCCAGCCTGTCCCGAGGAATGCCAAACTTACACAGCGAACATCTCCAGTGGGCGCGTGGTCCTCTCTCCTCCCCCGCCCTCCTTACTGCTGGACCTCCCGCCTTGCTCAGGCGGTGAGCCGATACAGGGGTCGTACATCCCCACTCTGGCGATGCAAGATCTCTCCCAAGTGCCCCAGACAGCGCAGGATATAATCGGCAAGTATACGTTCGTTCCCCACTCTTGTCGCTGGGCACACCCTGGACTACGGTACACCTCCCCCGAGCCTTGCACCTTCAAGCCAAAAAAGGTCTTCGTCACCGGTGACTCGCACGGTCGAGTAGCACACGACGCGCTCATGCATCGGCTGAACGGGCACTGGAGCACCCTCACAGAAAGCGAGAAGATGGGTGAGAAATCCGATTCTGCCGGGCTGGTGGAGAGCGTCTTCCTCTGGGACCCGGTGGGCGCCACGGAGCCGGAAAGGACGTGCGAGCTTATAGCGGATAAGGACGTCGTCGCCGTTAGCCTTGGGATGTGGTTCTCTGCTGCAGAGGGATCCAGGACAGCAGAAGCGCTCGACCTGATCCTCAGTCACCTAGAGGTGTATCCTCGTTGCCCTCGGCTTGAGAATCAGAAACTCATCTACCTCGGCGTTCCTGCACACCCTCCCCGGTCGGACCACTTTGTCCAAGAAGCGAAAGATCATGTCACGAACGGGCGGATGGAACTCTGGAGCGCGCTTGTGCTCCCCCTGGCAAGGCAGGAGGGGTGGGAAGTAGTGGACGCGTTCGCACTTACGAATCCGTATGTGCTCGAAACGCTTGATTTGGATAGCGCGCATTTTACGGGTACGGAGGCGCTTGATGCGCTTGTGGATGAGATTATTGGAAAGTCGGGATTGTGTGAGGTGTGAGGGCGGTGGGATGTTAGCTGGTTCGGCAAGATTTCCTGGGATTATAGATCGGTTATCTATTGGGTACCTCAGTGATCAGTACTAGTGTATATCGTCCTATCCCATTTAACGTAGTCCGGAGGGCTGCTTGGTGAAGACTCCTCATTCCACCCCTCCTCTCGGGTGGTTATTTGTCGGTGATATCCCTTGCTCAGGGATGTTATGCCCGACGTTTCCCACATGGTTCTCAACATCTTTTTCTTACTAACGCAGTGGACACTTTGATTATGAGAGAAACCTCTCTTGCTTAAGAACCTTGGAGTTACACCCCTATTCCCTTAAAGTTTGGTGCATAAATGCGCGCTGTCTTACCTCGACTGGAATGTGCTGGCAGATCAGCCCTGACTCGAGCACTCTTACCTTCACTTACCCCAGCTCGAAGATTCGCCTCTACCTCATCAAAGATAATGTCAAAGCCTCTTGTTTTGTACACCTTTGGCACGCCTAATGGGCACAAGCCCAGCGTTTACCTCGAGGAACTCAAAGCTGCCTATGGACCGGCGAAGATCGACTATGTGCCTCATTCGGTGCATATCGGGAAGAACGAGCAGAAGGAACCGTGGTACATCGCCGTGCGTCTCTCATCCCCTTGCACAGACCCGAGCTGACCTGTACGTAGATTAATCCCAATGGACGGATCCCCGCGCTCACTGATCCCAACCGGAACAACTTCAATGTCTTCGAATCTGCTGCGATCCTGCTCTATCTCGCGCAACACTATGACCCAGAGCACAAGTTCTCCTTCGATCCTGTGACGCAGCCGGACGACTACTCGGAGTGCTTGCAGTGGATTTTCTTCTCGCACGGTAGCATCGGGCCGATGCAAGGTAGCGTCACCCTCAATCCAGAGTTATCTCGCTGATGCTGCATCCTCAAGGGCAGGCCAATCACTTCTTAAGGTGTGTTTTGCCATTAAAGTGTATGTTAGGCTTTCCAGTTGACACGTTCTCAGGTTTGCACCAGAAAAGATGTGAGTCGGTGTCATCCTTTCCGCTAGAATGGGGTGAACTGATTAGCGACCACACGAAGTCCATACGGTATCACACGTTACCAGAACGAGACGAAACGTCTGTACGGCGTGCTCGAGATCCGCTTTTCCCAGAATGGAGGGAGGGAATACCTCGCCGGCCCAGGCAAGGGCAAGTACAGTATCGCCGGTGCGTCTTCTTGTTCTATCGCTGTGCTCTTCTGAGTTGGAATCTGGCTGAATGGGCGTGGTCAGATATCAACGCCTATCCCTGGGTGAACGGGCACGCCTTTGCGGGCATCGAGAGTGTCGACAAATGGCCGGGTGTCAAGGCCTGGCTGGAACGGATCCGGGCGAGAGAGGCGGTCGAAAAGGGGATGCATGTGCCCAACTGAACGAGCACGTAACACGGGACTTGATTCTGGATATGATTTGGTTTAGTGAGGCTTGGGAATAGGAAAGCGCGTACTGAGATCATAAGCAAATGAATATGGCAGTATTCGACTTGTGAAATGCCAGGCTTGTCGGCGCTGAGTAATATCTCATTACCCCCTCTCATCAATGCCCTCTCATTCCCTTGCATAAAACTGTTGATTTTTTGTCCAAATTGACTGTTGGATCAGGCAGCTGAATAACCTGATCATGAGCATCACGGTCCACTAAGACCCTAGTCCGGTTATTTAAATAACGTTAACGTTATACACAACAGATATTAGCAATCCGAAGCATTTGTCATTGCTGCGAGGCTGTCCCCAAACTCCAACAACATACGACTAAGCAGAGTCGGCGATAAGGAGCGACGACAGTCTTGTGAAGCTGTTCCCATGTGCAGCTCACCTCCACATCACCGTTGGTTATTTAGCCTTCCACGACAGCATGCATGCTGCCTGCACTTCCGCCATGTCCAAACCACTCACTCTCTGGACTGCGCCGACTCCGAATGGCAGCAAGGTCTCCATCTACCTCGAGGAGCTAAAGGCTGCCTATGGACGGGACAAAGTGGACTACCAAGTGCGCATCTTGAACTTCTACAAGAATGAACAGAAGGAGGAGTGGTTTATCAAGGTACGCCTGACCCTGCTTATGCGGACATCATCAACAAGTCTTTTTGACGTATCGGAACAGATCAACCCCAATGGTCGCATTCCCGCGCTCACCGATCACAGCAGGAATGACTTCAACGTCTTCGAGTCTGGTGCAATCTTGCTCTATCTCACGCAATACTATGATACAGAGCACAAGTTCTCTTTCGATCCTGTGACGCATCCGGACGAATATTCAGAACAACTTCAATGGATATTTTTTGCACATGGGGGCATTGGTCCTATGCAGGGACAAGCCAATCACTTCTTTAGGTGCGCTTTGCTATCATTGTGTACGCTAGGCTTCCCAGTTGACACTCTCGTAGGTATGCACCAGAGAAGATGTGAGTGGTGTTATTCTTCCCGTTAGAACAGGTTGCGCTGATTACCGACCACCCGAAGTCCATACGGCATAACACGTTACCAGAACGAGACGAAACGTCTCTACGGCGTTCTGGAGATCCGCTTATCCTCTAATGGAGGGCGTGACTACCTTGTGGGACCCGGAAAGGGGAAGTATACTATTGCCGGTATGTTTTTTCTGTTTCATTCAACGTGCTCGCTTATCCCTTCGGCGGGCAGATATGAATGCATTCGGTTGGGTGCGGACCTGGAGGTGGAGCGGCATCGAGAACCTGGACTTTTGTCCTAACGTTGCCGTGCGTTTTGAATCAAATTATGCGCGACAGACCGCGATAGTGAGGCTGATGCATGTACAGGCCTGGATCAAGCGTATTTCCGATCGCCCCGCGGTCCAGGCTGAGCTGTTGGTTGTCCCCTCGAGTCATAGTGGCAAGAAGTTGACCAAGGAGGAGGAAGACAAGATCGCCGCGGAGAATAGCAAATGGATTATGGCCGCCAACCAGGCGAAAGCCGCCAACCAGGCGAAATGAACTGAGCGACGGTGATCTCGAAGATTGTGACGAGACATTGTTGAGAGGCGTAGGTCATGCAAGTTATACTATGAAATGAAAGTGTGAAGTCATGAGAGTCCAGAGTCATTCTTATTTTGTGAGCGACGGAAGTTAGCCGCAAGTATGTTGTCAATGCCTGTATGTTGGACCTCCCGTTGCGATCATTTCGACTAGGTTGAGCGTTGAACAAGATGAGTAATTTATCCGCCTGATTGGTTTCCCCACAATCGAGATCGGGTCCGCGTTATTACACATGCACCGAAACCCGCCCATTTCCGCGCCTTCCACCCTGAGCGCGCTGTCCACAACGACGACCACAACCGATAATCCACATTTGACCTACAATAACCATTTACTGCGCTCGCATGTGCACTTGGTCATGAGTAACGACGCGTCGACGCCGAATCCACTTAGTGCGGGAGAACCGCGGCCCTCGTCGCATCAATCCCCCGAGTCGTTTTCGAGAGGTATCGGCCAACATGACGTGCGTTCGCGTTCTGTACGTTTTGATGAAGACGTCTCATTACATGCGAATGTCAAAAAGAGTGAGGGAGGTGGAGATCGGGGAGCATCACACAAGGTGAGAAGGCTTCTTTCATCTCTGACCGAGGATAGCAAGACTGACATTACCCACTCTGGATAACTCTCCCTTCCCATTCCCGTTCCAGCACCATCAGGCAATGACCCATCATGCTCATTCGCATTCTCATGGGGAGAAGAGTGTAGTTGCTCTACAGCGGTCGTATAAATACCGTGCTGCAGTTCGCCCGCTCCTCGGTCGAACGAGCGTCGTCCTCTGTGCGTTCCTCCTCATCCTCGTCCTTGCATACGTACAAGACACGCGTATGCGTCTCTATCAATTGGCAACGACCGCCCTTGGGCTGCTCGGGCTCTCGGACCTGCGCCCAGCTACGGCGCTGACGAGCAACAACCTCACCGATCTAGTCCAGTGGGATCCGTATTCGTTATATGTCATGGGGCAGCGAATCTTCCTATGGTGGGTATGCTCCTGCATTCGTGTAAACATTGTGTAATGAGGCAAGAGGTCGGGAGAATTTCACACCTGGCGCCTGCCGGTACCCGACCTTTGGCCCGACATCCTCCAAAAGGCAAAAGCCGCAGGGATGAACACGATCAGCATCTATGTTCACTGGTGCGCCCTCCTCTTTCCGAAGTTATGTCTAGCCTGAGCATGCTCACGTAGGGGACTCACGAATCCTTCGAACGGAACGGTCGATTTCACTGGAGTACGCGCTCTTGCCCCGTTATTCGATGCAGCTCTCGCCTCGGGACTCTGGGTCGTCGTTCGCCCTGGGCCATATATCAACGCTGAGACGACTGCAGGCGGGATCGCGCACTGGGTGACGAGCGAAGTCGCCGGACACCTTCGGACAAACGCGACAGATTACGAGAGCTCTTGGGTCCCGTATATCAAGGGAATTATCGAAGAATGCAAGCCGTACCAAATCACGGAGGGTGGACCGATCATCGCGGTGCAAATCGATAATGAGTACACCCAGGCGGACAGCCCCGGATGGCCCGGAAAGGCTGAATACTTCGAGCAATTGGAAGCACTCTACAGGTCGGAGGGAATAGTCGTGCCGTTGACATATAACGATCCGGGCATGGGTGAGCATTCTCCGGTCGCTCTTAGGCCCACAAGTCTGATCTTTGGGAAACTAGGTGACAACTTTGCACATGGTCCAGGTTCAGTAGATATCTATGGACTGGATTCATATCCCCAGAGCGTGCGTCCCACCCTTACTTTGCGTTCGATGTCCGACTCACAGGCCATGGGTAGTTCGACTGTTCCAACCCCTACGTCTGGAATCCTGTGGTCACAAACTACTACACATACCATATGCAAACCAGCCCAGAGGAACCGTTCTACATTCCTGAATTCCAGGGCGGAGCCGTGCGTTCAAACATTTTGCTGTATTGCAAAACTGTCGAACTGAGTGGGAATAGTTCGATCCTTGGGGACCAAATGCGCCTGGGTATGACAACTGCCGAGTACGTGTAATCGCAGAGAAAGAATTCTGATCCTGATTATTCATGTAATCAGATCCTAACTGATTCGGACTTCGAGCAAAGTGAGTACCGCGGTTCGTCGAATGCATCCTCGTCTGACTTGACCGGCCAGTTTTCTATCTCAAGTAAGTACAGCCGGTTGTACAAAATCACTGAGCCTGATGTCGACTCAGCCTGTGGGCCAACAACGTCAAGATGGCCAACTTCTACATGCGTGAGTTGCTTGTTCGGAGTGACGGGCTATTATTTGACGCCACACAGTATACGGCGGTACCTCGTGGGGATACCTCGCTTTCCACGGAGTGTACACCTCATATGACTATGGCGCGTCCATTGCCGAAACACGAATTCTTACTCCCAAATTTGCGGAGTTGAAGCGTGAAGGCCTCTTCCTCCGAAGCGTACCGGAATTTTACAAGACGGACGTGATTGGGAATACGACCACGTCTGCAGTCGAAGTTTCCTCGCCGCTCATTTTCGGCACTTACCTCCGCAACCCGGACACCGGCGCCGGGTTCTATCTCGTCCGGCAGCAGAACTCAAGTTCGCTTGAGACGGTTACTTTCACCCTCCAGGCGAATACTTCTGAGGGTGTCATCACGCTGCCCCAAGACGGATCCAGCATCACCCTAACCAGCCGCGCCAGCAAGGTCATTGTGCATGATCTGTACTTCGGTTCGTCTCATCTCCTATACTCGACCGCTGCTATCCTCTTCGCTGGCACCATCGGCGAACGCGATGTTCTCTTCCTGTATGGACCTGCAACAGACTCGCATGAAGCCGCTTTCAAGCTATCAGGTACCTCGTCTGCTATCGTCAATACCTCAGGTCCGTTAGATATCCAGACATCAACGATAATGGACGGAACTCATACGATGGTGGACGTTCTCCCCGGCACCACCGGGCTGAGCTATATCTGGGATTCTCCGTCTTCCCTTGTGCTGTTCGCAGACTCCGACACAGCTGGTACTTTCTGGGCGCCCACTATCGCACAGTCATCTGCAACCCAATTCCAACATTTCTACCAATTCGGCACGAACGAGACCGTGCTTGTCGGTGGCCCTTATCTCGTGCGCAACGCGTCCATATCCGGTGACACCCTTGAACTCCGCGGTGATCTCAACGACACCACTTACCTGGTGGTTCTTGCACCGAGCAGCGTGACCAAAGTCACTTGGAATGGAGATGAGGTTGAGCTCGACGCTGGTACTTCGAAAGTCCCTTCAGCTACTGGTGTATTGACCGCGACATTGACCCCCAAGCTGACGGCTTCAAGCATTTCACTTCCGTCCCTCAACGAATGGAAGTACGCAGACAGTCTACCAGAGGTAAGCCCCTTCCTCTGTAATCTAAAGCTCGAAACTTATGCCTTACACAGGTATCAGGGAGCTACGACGATTCTTACTGGACGACCGCCGACAAGTATACTACAAACATTCCCTACAAACCTATATACGGTGTGGTATTTGCCGTAGTGATCGAACAGGATATTGATGCAAATACTCAGGTGATGGTCCAATCTTGTATGGATGCGATTATGGATAGTACGTGGCTATGTTCCTGATCCAGATGCCTGTTCTCACGACGCTTAGCTGCGAAGGTGCAGTCCTCTGGCGTGGTCACTTCCAGGGTACCGGGAACGAAACGGGTATTGAGCTACTCATCAACGGAGGCGAAGCCTTCGCAGCCAGCGTATGGCTGAATTCCAAGTTCATTGGGACCACCTACGGCAATTCGTCCAACAACTTAAATATCCTTGAGGAAACCAACACACTCTTCCCGTTCCAAGGCGCTGTGATCCCGGGAGTGGACAATGTTGTCACTGTCATCCAAGACAATATGGGCTTGAATGAGACTCAAGATGGCGAGCGATATTATCATGACCACCTGAACGATGTTGATGAGTGTATCCAGATAATGCGGACACATCTAAGTGCCCACGAGGGATCCGTGGATACGAGATACGTGGTCACAACTACTTCACCGAGTGGAAAGTCCAAGGAAAATTAGGCGGCTACACCAAGTAAGTGTTCCATGCTGACTTTCTCATGTAATTAACTCATCATCGGATAGTTTCCCTGATAAAACGCGCGGTGTATTCAACGAGGGTGGCTTCTATGGGGAAAGGGCCGGCTGGCACTTGCCTGGCTTTGATGACTCTGCCTGGGAGAGCCGGTCCCTCTCCACGGGCTTGTCCATCGCAGGTGTAGGAATGTTTCGAACCACATTCGATCTGAATATACCTTCTGGATTGGATGTTCCAATCTCGTTTGATTTCGATTCTTCATTCCAGCCTTATCGCGCGTTGCTGTTTGTAAATGGGTGGCAGGTAGGCCGGCGAGTGGCAAATTTAGGGTAAGCAAACCTCCTCCCTCCAAAAATGTGTTATTCAGCCATGGCAGTCCACAATATAGTTTCCCTGTCCAACAAGGCATTTTGGACTATTCGGGTACTAAGTAGGCGGTTTGTTCCGTTTCATTTGCCTGAGCTGACCGGAGGGTATCATTCTAGTACCGTGGCGGTCCTTCTCTGGGCGATGGAGGATGCGGGTGCTCATGCCTCTCTCAACATGACAATCAACGGTGTCTTCGAGGGTGGTGTTGGTGCGATCACTCTAGACAATCCTCAGTGGAGTTCGCGCGGGCAACATATTTGAGAAAATCAGAACGAGCTATGTACTTTAGTTTAATGTGACGAAGAGCCCAACATATGACAGCCAGCGGGGAGATGCGGAACCCTTGTTGGAAGGCGTCAGAAAACGAGGACACAGATGGACCCCTCCTACAACCGCGCAAGCTGATTTGCTCCTTTGTGTTGAGCGATGAGCGAATGCCCTTCATTGATGGTCCAGGTAACACTATGATTACATACTCGAAATGAACAAAGGTGATCCAGAAATACGTGAGACTTCAGCTAGGTAAAGGGGGACTTCCCGGATCACAATCAAGGGGGGGATAGAGTGATAGAATCCCAACGACACTGGTTTTCGTCCCAACTGACCTGCAGATTAGAAACAGTGGCGTATCCATTCCCATCCGAGACACTTCCAGCTTGCACGCAAGCGTTGGCGACATTCTGGTTGTTGGAAGCAATCGCGGTAACAGCGGTCCAGGTAACGTCAAAATCCCATTGATTTGACAATGAGCCGTAGAGTCTACAAAAGATATGTGAGATCCTCCGGCGCCGCAGTTCGAAGTAACCTTACTCGGATTCGCATAAAAGCAGGTTGGCGGTGGGGCTAGCGGCAAAGTCTGTAGGACTATCTCAGCCAGAGTCCTGGTTCAGTATTGACGATACGAACCGGTATAAGCAACATCGAGGGTGATGTTTTGCCCGGCACAGGTTCCTGACACGCATTTCGCCGTCTGTCTCCATTGAGTCCCCGAAAAGAATACTTCGAAGTTTAATTCGTCTCCCGGACTGATCGAGAGGGCGGGTGACTGAAAGACTTCTTGGCCGTCGGTTCCAGGGACATCCCATAGCTGCAGAGTTATAGGCGAATGGAGACAGAAGAAACACGGCACATACGGATAAGAGCCACTCATAATGGCTGAAACCTCCGTAGCCCACGTAACCAGTGGGATCGTCTTGTCCCCAGCTGAGCACTGGTTGGACCACAGCCGGCACGGAACCCGCCGTCTCGAATCCACACTGCATGATCGTTTATTAGTGAAAAATTTTCATATATGAAGGTGTATTTGTACCCAGAAGAACTGAAAAGAAAGACATTAGATTGAGCAGCCAGTGGAGCGGTTATATGGCGTACCCAGACAGTTCCAGGGGTCCAACTCTCCATCGTCTGGAAGTCAGGCAACTGAGGGATGGTCATGCTGTGAAAAGCGTTCATCTCGCGCTGGCCATACAATATAACATCAATAATGCGTACCTGAAAGCCAATTGATTCCAAGAATTACCATCTGGTAGTCCCACGCCCCATGAAATGGCGCGTGTCCCACAGATGAGAACGAGAAGAACTGAGCAGAGGGGGAAAAGCATCTTCATGAGATAAGTTATTACAGTGGAGCTCTGGTTGTAATGAAAAGGCGACTAAGGGAAGAGAAATACAGCGATGGCCAACCATTTCGTTACTGGTTTCGGGTGTTTATGTAGCATCCAAAGGCATACAAGGCCAATCTCCACCAGAGCCATGAACCAGGAGACTTCATTTGGCGCGCAATAGCTGTGTATTTTGGCACCACAGTATTTACCACAGGATTCATTTTGGCCTTCCGATGTCAAGTCCGTGGTAATGCAGAAAGATGAGGGTAAGGCCAAACACTGCTTTGTTGGCCTTACTGGTCCCTGTGTGTTCTTCGGCTCCTAGTCACGTGATTTCGGGAAGGCGGACTATCACGGGAAGGAGCCAATATCGTAGAGCCACTTATTCGTGGTTTAGACACGAAGTTCAATCTCGCCCCATATTAGAACCACCAAGGCTGTCCGTCTGTTTCCATGCCGCCGCCGTAGCTGCCCATCCTCCGGAAACACAACGTCGAGCGTCCTGCAATCTATGTCAAGGCCAATAATTTCCCGAAACAGGGGTACATTACCAATACACGGCTGCGACTCACACAGGGATTGGTGGAGATACATACGGTGAAGTTCTCCAAGGTACAACTCATACTGTCCACGGTACTTCAAAACAAAACAGGCGCGCGAATCTATTGCCGTCAGACAGCTGTGTCAGACGTCAAAAACCGTGATCAAGCGCTAAAGAGATGACCCGTTCAGGAAAAAACACTCAAAAAGGACGGGGATTTCTTCATGCATCGTCTGTTACACGGCATTTCATGTTGATTTCCATATCTCGTGGTGTACATCTAGCGATCTTCAACTCGACTCTTACTTGGCATGAGACGAAACCTCCCGGTTGACTCCCGTGCTCTGCACCTCAACCTTTTTCTTCAGCACATCGTTAAAGGTCTAGAACGAAAATGTTAGTAAACTACCGTGTGGAAAGATGCACGTGCCGTGTACCTTCTCCATAAGATCAATGTCATCCGTCTCCACACGGATGATCGGCCGGTTCAGCACACGCTCAATCTGGCGCATCTCGTTCCAGCTCTTCAAGTCATGCACGAAGTTGATCGCCACTCCCTTGGCACCAAACCGACCCGTACGACCAATCCTGTGCAGGTACGTCTCTGCATCCGGCCGGCCAGATGCGTCCTTGGGCATGTCATAGTTGACGATCATGTTTACCTGGGGAATGTCGATCCCGCGCGCCATCACGTTGGTGGTGATGAGGACTTTGGTTTTGCCGTCCCGGAAGCTGTCGATTAGCGCATCACGCGCTGCTGCATCCTTGGCACCGTGTAGAGCTGCAACCTTGTGGTAGTCGTCCCGCATACGGTCGGCGATGCTGTCCGCAACAGCGCGAGTCTACGGGAGGTGTCAGTGTCTGACGGCCCCAGGCGAACTGAGGAACGCACATCACAGAAAACGATGCTCTGTCCCACCGTCAAGATCCCATACAGCTCGGCCAGAATATCATTCCTCGATTCAGCATCCTTGCAGTCCATGTAGAACTGGGCGATGTTTGCGACAGACAGCTCTTCCTTCTTGAGTTCGATCTTGTTCGCTTCGGGTGCGATCTTGTCCGCGTACATGCGTACTTCGTCGGGGAAGGTAGCGGAGAAGAGTACGATTTGCGCCTTTGTCTTGCCGTTTTCCTTTGGTAACCGGCTTGAGGGCTGTTAGTCGTAGCAGGGCAGGTGGGACGCAGTACACGCACTTCTTAACCTCCAGACATTGATCGTTCAACGCGCCCGCATCAAGCATATTATCCGCCTCATCTAGCACGAATACCTGAACTTGTGACACGTCGATCTTCTTATACTTGACCATATTCGCCACCGTCCCCGGTGTGCCGACGACGATCTGGGCTTTGGTGGGCGCACTAGGCGCGTGCATTTTCCCATCGGCGCCCATCTCAGGAACAGCGCAGAAGGTCGTGACGGGCGTGAATTTGCCCATGGTAACTACGACGTCGAGGATTTGACGTGCCAGCTCTCGGGTGGGCGCCATACAGATCGCTTGGGTGGCGTCGACAGCGAAGTCAACGCGGCTCAGCATGGTAAGCGTGAAGGCGGCTGTCTTGCCTGTGCCGGACTGGGACTGGCCGATGAGGTTGCGTGGCCTGCGGACTCTGTTAGTCGGATCTGAGTAAAAAGGCACAGGAATGCAGTCATACGGGTTCTGGAGCAGGAGCGGCAGTGCCCTCTCCTGCACCTTGGACGGCTTGAAGAAGTTCATCATCGTCAGACCTTGTAGTAGCTCTGGCGCCCTGCACAAAATCAATATATCGGTCGTTAGGGATGGTTATCGTTCGTACAGGCCAAGATCCTGGAAACGCTTGATACTATACAGTGGACTGTTCGGGTCCGCCTGCTGGTCGGCAAGGGTGACCTGGACCTCATAGTCCTGCAATGTGGACACTATCTTTCCAGTCAGCGAAGCGTTCAGAGAGCTAATTGCTACCCTCTCACCAAGATTATTCCGGTCCTCGGCATCCCCTCTCCCAGGTACAGGCTGGTTCCTCCCCTCCAGCCCTTGTTGAGGTGGCCTTTGCGCTCCTCCCGCCTTGGGAACTCCCTGCTGGGGAACACCCGCCCCTCCAAACATGGGTGCAGGAGCTCCCGAGCCCCGGGCTGCAGCGCCGAACACAGACAGCCCCTGTGCTCCGGAGCCAGCGGTGGGGGAAGTAGCGGTAGGTGAAGAGGCGCCAAGCCCTTGCGCTTGGGGTTGGGAGAACTGCCCAACGCGGCTTGCAAGTGAGGATTGAGTGGGAGCAGCGTTCGCTGGTCGGAAGGCGAATGCTGAGCCTTGGTTGGCTGCTGTGAGAAGTTGGGTAAGAACTTGTTGTAATGAATGATACGGGTAGAGTACGCACCTGGGCCTGTTACGAATCCGTCTTCATCTTTCTTAAATGACATGGTATAGGATCGTTTATGGTCGTTAAACTGATAAATTGACAAACGCTATGCTGCAGAGGATAGACGGTATAAGGCGCAGCGAACACGGAGAGAGAGAAATGAGTTGTTGTGAATAGACGTCCCTGAAAATATTGACATGAGTCGACGCTTCTGTTGTTCATCTGGCTTAGTTACGAATATCAACGACCAACTTCTTGAACCAACGATCTAGTGATCTTGTCACCTATACTATGGGTCATGTGTGGCAACGTGGACGTACGAGCCATATGGGAAGATTATTCTATCTCCAGCAAGGCACTGGCAGCTCCTTGGCACACGACTATCCTGTCCAATGCCGGGGAACGATCGACTACGTCCAGCTTATTCTCACTGGGATTAGATAAACTCCTGCATCCCTCATTCATCTATCACCACCACCTGTAACATGCATCTTCAACTAGACAACTCTGTCGTCCTTGTTACCGGAGGAACGAAAGGCATCGGACGTGCGATCGTGCAGCACTTCCTCGCCGAAGGGGCGAACGTCGCCTTCTGTGCTCGTACGGGCTCGGATGTCGAGGCATGTTTACAGGAGTGGAAGGCGGCGTGGCCTAAGCAGAGAGTAGCGGGGAGGGCGCTGGATATCGACGATTTGGACGCTGTGAAGCAGTGGGTGCGCGATATGGGCGAGGAGTTTGGTGGGATCGATTGTGTGGTTTCGAATGGTGTGCCTTTCCCTTCCTTTTCCCACCAGAATGTTGCCATTCTAAGCAGTATTATAGTGAGCGCGATGGCTATCCCCAATACAGTAGACAACTGGAAACGGATGTTCCACACCGACCTTCTCTCCGTTGTCGTCCTACTCGAAGCAGCCATCCCCTACCTGGAGAAATCCACACGCTCCCCAAGCATCGTCACCATATCTTCCGTCTCTGGGGTCGAACTCGATGGCACAGTCCCTGGACCGTATGGAGCGACCAAAGCTGCGTTGATACACTATACGCAGCAGCTGGCGCAAGTTCTGGCGCCAAAGGGGATCCGGGCGAATATCGTCAGCCCTGGCAATATCTATTTCCAGGTAGATCTCCTCCTTTTCCTTGCTCACAATGCTGACGGAGAATAGGACGGAGTATGGCACCAGTGTGAAGTACAGCGGCCAGAAGCATTCGCCCGGGCTATGGCGAACAACCCTCTTGGGAGGATGGGGAAGCCGGAGGAAGTCGCTGTGCAGGTGGTAATGTGTGCGAGCCCACTGAGTGGGTTCACGAGCGGCGCAAATATTTTGGTGGATGGGATCGAGCATAAGGGCGTGCATTTCTAGTCAGCCGTGTATGGATAAGAATGGGGATAGTAGGATATATTGTATACAACTCTTTGGAGATGAGTCATTCAAATAGTGAAGTGCGAGGGTCTTCTTAGCGCCCTTCACCTTCACCCGTCTTTCCTCCCACGACCATCCAACTTTTCTAAATCTGATCCATGGCGAACACAACTGTCAAAGGTGCCACTTCAGTGCACGGTACAAACCCGCAGGTCTGCTATCTCCTTCTCCAGAGTCGTCCTAGTATTGACCAAGGCGAATAGCACCTTATCGAGACCGTCATCCGCAGCCGTATCTACGAGTCGCTTTACTGGAAAGAACACTGTTTCGCCTTGACCGGTGCGTCCTCCTCCCCACGTCCTCAAACGCTGCTAATCAGAAGCGTAGCGGAGACTCTTATTGATAAAGCGATTGAGCTGAACTGTATTGGCGGAATGTATGGCAACCAGCGACCGACGCATTTTATGTGTTTGTTGCTGAAGTTGCTTCAAATCCAGCCGGAGAAGGAGATCCTTATCGAGTACCTATTAGTGGAGGAGTTCAAGTGCGTATATCATTCCTGACGATATCACACAGATCTGCTGATTATGATTCATTACAGGTACCTGCGAGCACTGGCAGCGCTCTACATACGTCTGGTTTTCCGCCCCGCAGAAGTCTACGAGCTCCTCGAGCCCCTGCTCAAAGATTACCGAAAAATACGCCTGCGAAACATGTCCGGCTACGTCCTTACCTACATGGACGAATATATCGACGAGCTGCTGCGAGAAGAACGCGTGTGCGATATCATCCTTCCCCGGATGACGAAGCGTGATATCCTGGAGGAGGTCGAGGGGCTCGCGCCAAGACAGAGTCTGTTGCTGGATGCGATGAAAGCTGAGGAAGGGAGTGGGAGTGAAGGAGAGTGGGGAAGGAGCAGGGAGAGGAACGGCATGAATGACCGGCGCAGTGAGAGCGAAGAAATGAAGAGCGAGCCGAGGACACCGAGCGAGGCAGGAAGCAGGTTCGTCAGTCGCAGCCCGACACGCTCACCTCGTTCGCCTGGTCAGTTCAGGAGTCGCACACCAAGTGTATCACCGGATCGTGCGTCCGCAGCCAGTTGACGATATTTTGAAAAACGAGCATGTACTTTACTTCGTTGTGAGCGATACAGATTGTACCTTTTCTGCTACAGCCGCTTATTCTTTCTCCGGCTCGATAGTGTCTTCGTCCTCCCCATCTAGCTCGGGGTAGTGCCTGAATAGCCCCACCCCAAACTTCCGCCTTCTCCCGCTTTCCACATACTCCTTGATCCCTCCCTCAGCCATGATCTTCTCATGGAGCTTAAGCACCCTCTTATACTTGCCGCCCTTGTCCAAAGCCCCCATCCGTCGGGGGAACGCATACAGCAGCCCGTCAACAACATGGAACAGAACCAGGTCTGCAGTGGTCGTCGTCTTACCGACCAGGTGCGAGTGTGATACCTTATTCTTCCTGAGGGTCTCCTCGAAGTGCGCGAGGTACTTGGGGATACGTAACTTGAGGAAGTCCTCGGCGCGGCGAAGAGCCTCTTGTTTCTGGTCTTCGTAGTACAGCGAGCTGGCAATTGGATGATGGGAGTCGTGTGCCTGCCGTCAGCCAGTCAGCATTCCGATTCCTGCGATCGCAAGTTACGAACATGCGTACTTCGACACACAAGTCCAGAGCAGTCAACACCAGCTGGTTGACAATCGATCTCTCAAACTCTGCTTCCTCCCTCTCGTCATCATCCTCCACAGCGTTCTTCAACAAGTTTCCTTTCTCTCCCGCCAACCCCAACTTAGGCGCCAAGTAGTTGAGGATCGCCGGAGTCTGGCTAAGGATCTTCCCATTGGGAAGCTCGAGCATCGGGGGTGCGAAATGTGACGGAGACGTGGAACGCAGCGTTTTCAAAAGCTTTGCACTGTCGTTTGAGTCTGTATAGCTCACCCCGGCGTACTCGAAGGCGAGTCTAACGTATTCGCCTCGACCGGGGATGCCGCCCCAGTAGTGGAGGATGTAGGGCGCGAGTTTTTGGAGTTTGTGAGGAGGAGAGGACATTGGGTTACTTGCTTAGAATATGAGGGGGATTGTAATTCAAAGGTGTTAGACAGAGGGTCAGCAAATATACTCTTGTGAGGAGTCATTAATGCCCCGCCCACGATCGGATCGGGAGAGTGTGGGGAAACTGACCAATGAGAGAGTGAGGTTTAAATGATGTCATGCCTGCTGACATCTTCTATTGCCTTTTAATCATATCAAGCCAGGATCTCTTTCCCTTCAGCAGGCCTCCCAGGCAAGATGGCCGAGCGGTCTAAGGCGCGAGACTAAGGATCTCGTCCGAAAGGGCGTGGGTTCGAATCCCACTCTTGTCAATATTGTTATTCCTTTTGCCGGGGTTGGGTCACCGTTGAAGTCTCGAAAGATTTGTGGATTTTGTCCATAAACTGCGAGTTTCATGGAGAAAAAAAGTTGTTCAGGTAGAATGGACTCTGTGGACCCTGCATCAGGGTCCACGTGTCCGCGTCAAGTGCTCAGTGGCCGAGTCTCCGAGCGACGTGTCACTAAGCCCTTACCTCTCAAGATCACTGGCGTCCTCGTCGGCTTAACTCATGGCCTCAACATCAGACGACAGTCTCCTATCAAAATTGGACAGCATCGGCGCTCCCCTCAAGTCATTCGACGCATTTCCCAAAGTACCCTCCACGTATCGCACCCGCTCATCTGGAGGGGGGTTCATTACGCTCGGCATCGCCTTACTGTGTCTCCTCCTTGTGCTTAACGACTGGGCTGAATATGTCTGGGGTACGACTACTTGGAGGTTCGTGGTGGATGACAAGATCGAGAAAGAGATGATGCTTAATGTGGATATTACCGTTGCGATGCCGTGTCACTGTATGTCCTCTACCTTGCTTACTGCCTCGCTGACTTCCGTAGACATATCTGTTGACCTAAGGGACGCGGTCGGTGACCGCCTGCACCTCTCAGACCAGTTCAAGCGCGACGGCACCCTCTTCGATGCCCGACAGGCTACGCACATTCGTGAACAGTACACAGACTACAGCGCCCAGCAGATGGTGCGCGAGGCGAAGACACGCCGCGGCAGGATTGGAATCTTTGATTGGCTTCGGCGTAGGCAGCCGAGTGCGTTCCAGCCGACGTTCAACCATGTTAAGGATGGGAGCGCATGCAGGGTTTATGGGAGCATGGAGGTGAAGAAGGTGCAAGGTGAGCCTATTCGTATGGTGTTTAGGAGGGTACTAACAGGGCACAGCAAACTTGCATATTACTACCCTCGGGCATGGATATCACAGTAACGAACACACCGACCATTCGCTCATGAATCTCAGCCATATAATTACCGAGTTCTCTTTCGGCCCATACTTCCCAGACATCGTCCAGCCACTAGACTACACCATCGAGAGCTCTGATGATCGTTCGTCCTCCCATCCTCATATAATAACAGATCTGACCTCTCCGCAGCATTCACTGCGTTCCAGTACTTCCTCACTGTCGTCCCGACCGAATATCGCACCTCCAAAGGCGTCGTCAAGACAAACCAATACTCTGTCGGCTCGCACATGCAGCATATACAGCACGGCCGTGGCACACCTGTCATCTTCTTCAAGTACGACCTTGAGCCACTCTCGCTCATCGTCGAGCAGCGCACGACTACGCTGATACAGTTCCTCATCCGCCTCGTTGGTGTTGTAGGCGGCGTGTGGGTCTGTGCGGGCTGGGCAGTCAAAGTGGGCAATAAGGGCCTGGAAGTCGCAGGCGTCGTAAAGAAAGAAGACGACATGCCGATAGCAGAGACGACAGCAACATCCCACAGGCGCGCAGCGAGCGGTCTCTTCTCGGGCGAAGCGATGACCCGCCGTCGACACCAATCCGTGGCGAGCATCTCCTCCCTCGCGGGGATGGTCACTGGTGCAGGCAGCTCGCCACTACCCACAAGCAGCTTCACACCAGGGCACACGCCCACGCCTGGATCTAGCTTCATGTCAGGCCATGCACCGACACCTTCCTCCTCCGGCTTCCCCACCCCCCGGTCGTACGTAGCCGGTCGGACGCCTTCCACCGCAGGCGGCCAATATGCGTACCAGAACCAGCTGCCGACTCCCCCGCCTATCGGTACACCGCCCGCTCAGTGGGGACATGGGCATACGAGGAGCCAGAATATGGCCCGTGTTCAGATGGCTAGAGCGGGGGCTGGGCTACGGCCTGGAAGTCCGGCAACTCCGGGGCACGCGAGAGTGCAGAGTATGGGCGGGAAACAGGAGTTCCAGAAGGACGAGTAGGGTTGGCCCGCGGGAATTGGGTTTCTGTATGCGCATTAGATATGTTTCGTTTGGTGTTGCTCATGGTACTAATGGTGGTGATGGCTATGTAGCGGTAAATTCCTTGCGTGGGGTGAAATGTACAGTGAAACCGGGGATAAGTCTTGTTAACTCCCCGAAACAGGACAAAGGATGTCCAGGGTGGCCACATGGTACAAGGGCTGGCCTGAGCTTGTCTCTGGGTACATAGCTCGACAGACCTGTTATCTCGGAGACTGTTTGTTTGATGGTATGTTTCAGCTTTGGGAGACGGGCTTAGCGTCGGCCCGTCGTCGGTGGCCGGAGCTAGTAGTGATGTGTCTCTGTTTCATCCCTCTTACTGGCGGGACGATCCGAGCCTCGCTCATGAACAGCGCGTTTGTCGTCTTTTACACAGGATGCGTCCTCAGCCTCTGCGCAACCTGCTCTGGAAACGCGTTACCTCGAGCAGCCAACGAAACTCAGACCTGCGGCAGCATTTCCTCACCTTTACTTGCTGCATACATGCACCACATATGCATTGAGCCTGTTGGTATGTGCCGTGCACATGAATGTATCCTTGGAAGACATGGTCTTCCAGTGTAGCTCATGTATGCAGGTGAACAGGTTGGGTGCGGGGTCAATGGCATGAATGGCGAAAGCCCAAGCTGCGCCAGGCGGCATAAGGTCTCCGTGGGTAACTGGATTACCATAACAGGGAATTCTGTGCCTGGCGATCAATCTTGGATCGTAAACCGATCCTGGCAGATCGCATACAGATACCCTGGAAGGTTGAATAGAGTCGAGGACCAAATGACATGGTACACTTGTGATGGCCACAGGAAAGATAGGACGTTACAATGGGTAACTCCTATTGGTGGCAACTGGGATGCAGACAGCTCGTGGCGACCGTTTCGCATCTTGCCTTCGTTTCATGTTCTCCCGGCAGACCACAATGTCATTATAGCGCTAGGTGGCCCAACTGGTGGGCAAAAACAGAAGTCGGTGAGCCAACTGAGCCAACAGTATACAGCGGGTCAAGGGCTTCTTTTCTGCCGCAGGGTTATCGGTGCCGCCAATTTACCGCCGCGCCGACTTGAAATAAATTGACACAGCCCCTACTAAGGCCATGTTTGCTGTCTTTCATTCAGTTCGTGCTTACTGTCACTCATAGCCCTTGCCTTCTCTTTCAGCTGTCATTGCAATTTGCCCTTGGAGACCTGAGCGCAGCGTTTTTTGCACATTCCTCGCAGGTGGCAACAACACAGCACGCGCCGAACTATATGAGGTGCGTTTTCCCTCAGTTTCTACGACCGATATCTGAAACCTCCCCGATTTTCAGTCTGGCACTGTCTTCTTGAATACCTTTCCGATTCTTCTCGATGTCGAGTGGACTAAAACGGCCATATGCAAACGACGAATCTGATTTGGTATGTTTCTTTCCATGGACTTCGATCTGCCTCGTAGATTTAATGCAAGCGTACAGGATTCCGAGTCCGGGACAGTCTTCTTTGGCAGGAAGGACGGACCAACAAGAAACGGAAAAGCACTGAGGGTCTCCGCAACGAATTCACGTGCCTCGAGCATCACCGCGATCACATCGCCCATCACGCTCAAATGCGCACAACTCTCTACCAGTATGTCCATGCCTTGAGCACTCTTTGCTAGGCTCACTGTTCTTTCCCTGAAGAAGATGAGTTCTTTACCATCCCTGAAGATTGCCTTCAAGAGCAGGATCATTTACTGCCGGAAGAGAGTCTCCCGGCTAAGACGACTCTTCCCGACGAGAGTCTGCGAGACGATTCGTCGGCCACAAGTTCCGTGAGCGACTGGTCTCGTGAGAATCCCCCAGCCCAGGCGCATGATCGAAGTCAAGAGAAGAATCTCTATGATAAGGAATCTTCTGAAGATCCTCCCAACTCCGAATCCCTTCCCATTCGGGTTCTGACAGACTTCATCCTTTACGACGAAAACAACAACAACCGAATCGTTTCTCTCGAGGCGCTTTATGAACCTGGGACATCACTTCGCGCATATGGCTTCGTCTCTTCCTTGCCTGTGGATCCCGAAAACGAGGAGGAACTCGAGATCGCCGACGAAGATGCAGAGTCAGAAACGTCTGACGAGAACACCTATGAGCTCAACCTCAGCGCCATCTTCTCCCTCCAAATCGACCCCAATCCAACCGAACCGTAATTTTGTGTTTTCTATTCTTGGAACGTGTTCTGATGAACCTTGTATAGAATGTTTTGGCTTCGCACTAGCTTTGCGTGGTATATCCTCGACCGTCCAGACCCTAGGTGCCTTCCAGTTTACGTTCCCTACTGGAAACACCTGTACCTGGCGCGCCTGGCTCTGAGCAAGACTCGTACAGTAACCCGGCGCTATAAGCTGACCTATGACTCTATCATGCAGGAAGAGCTGGGCGGTGCTGTCTCTCTCTTCAGTACGTCCTTCACAGACGAAGAGATCCGTGGCCTGGTGAGCCTATCCCGACAATCTGAAATTGTTGTTCTGACGATATCTGTAGGACGTCTGCTCAGAGTCTGATTTCTATGATCTTATCAACGATGTCAACGATGAGGACAATGAGAAGACGCGGACGGCCCTAGAACTAGCATACACAGAATTGTTGCTCTCAAGAGTGAAGAACCCCAAACAGCGCAAAATCACGAAAGGGCTGCCCAAACGAACCGTAGCTCGCCATGTCACCAGAGATGGTAGACATCCAGAGCTCAATCTAATGGGCAGCAGAAATACCAAGAAACACGTCAATATCGAATTCGAGGTTCTGAAGCATCGCAATCCCACATATGCGACACCTTTCGTGCGGAGTCTGGCATCTGACCTATGTTTTCGCCTGTACGGTCAAAGCATTAAGGAAGAGGACGGCGAAGAGTCAGCCATAAACCTCACCTGCGATCCTGAGACTGTTTTAGATGGAGCATTCAGTTTCTCGTCAGAGCCTGACACAAGTCTGGTCTGGAAGCTATCTGATCACCGAGATGAGGAGTATGTCAATGAAGAGGCAGTGAATTCCTACCTTTCGGCGGCATCCGGAAGTGCTACTGGACGAAAGGGCTTGTCACTGAGAGTACGTCACCGCTCAACATTCTAGGTGTAGGAAGGCTCATTTCCCATAGGCCGGTGATCTTGTAGTAGTTCGAGGTGATCCCAGGGACGAAGACCCTGTAGGGGCTAGCAAAAGGCTGGTCGGGAAGGGTGCAGCAAACGATTGGGTGTATTGGTAAGTGACTGAAGAACACTGCCCTTTTTTGAGTTTGACTTTTGTGCTCAAGGTTCGCTCAAGTCATATTCTTCTACAAGAATCCAAGGGATAGAGAATCTGAAGCTCATGTTCGCTGGCTAGCCCACAGCAGCCGCACCCAGCTGGGAGAGGCAGGCCATCCCCGAGAGCTGGTCCTGCGCAATTTATGCAGCTCAATAAACCTGTCAACCATTCTGAACAAGATCAAGGTGCAATACATTCGACCTTGGGAAGAAGAACCAAGTGGATTCCCTTACCGTGCTATTGATCGAGATAATTTTTTTTACCGGTGCGTGTTCCATCTCCTTTCTTGCATATTCATGGATCTCACTCCAAGTAGGTACGCTGCAAATCATGAGGGTGATCTTCTCTGTGCCAGTCGTTTCATGTTTCCGACTGAAACAGAAGACACGGACAGCATACATGCTTATGGATGTTTCACATGTCACTTGCGTCAATCTATCGAAGAAGATAATATACCAAGAATGCCCAAACCTGATTCCGGTCTGTTACTGTACAAAGGAGTGACCTACCACCTCTTTGATTTTGTTTACTTCGGATGGACTGACAAGAACCATGTCAATAAAGCATATCGCATTGGCCAGATTGTGAAGATTAATCGGCAAGCAATAAATCCTTCTATGACGTTGACTCTTTTTGAACGCTATGACGAGGTGGTGTGCGCTGTTGGTGAGGAATATAGAGATCATGTACGTTGCAACTCCGAATAATCATGCGCCATCTAACCTTTGCCACAGAAACGCCTTGTGGCCACGCAGCGAAAGGTGTCGATCTATGCTGAGCGTATTCGTGGCAAGTGCTATGTCATGCATCGGGATGCTATTCGAGATTTCGCTAGTTGGATGTTAGCGGATGATCGCTTTTTTGTCGATCACGCAGCACCTATCTCCAATGGCAATGCTACCTGGAGCCCAACAGCACTAACACCCCTTCCTCTTTCCGATGTGCGATACTGCCATGATGTGGACTGCAATATCCAGCGAATATCCAAGCAAAATCCTAGGCCAACCAGAAAGCTCAGGGCTTTGGACTTGTATCATGGTGCTGGCGGTCTTTCCCATGGACTGGAAAAATCCGGTGCTTTTGAAACGTGTTGGGGTGTGGATCTTTCCCCGAGTGCACATATGACGTTCAAGTGAGCCCTTCTCCTGACAACCGAAAGCCACTAACGGTGTGTTTGGGACGAGCAGAAAGAACTTTCCGAACGCCATAGCCATATTTCAGTGTGCTAACGAGGTTCTTCGCCATGCTATTGAGAACGCGCAAGGCGCAGATCACGATTCTCTCTATCCGATTGGCGGCGGGGACGTTGCATGCCCTCCTCTCCCCAACCCCGGCGATCCTGACATCATCATCTGCGGTCCACCATGGTAAGCAACCAGACACCCACCACTCTGACGGACTCTCATGACCAGATAGTCAAGGCTATTCTGTCTTGAATTCCTATCGTAGAACCGACGATATTAAGAACACATTGGTCGCCAATGCACTCTCGTATGTTGATTACTTCCGGCCAAGATTTTTTCTACTGGAGAATGTCCAGCCTTTACTGAATTCGCGTGGGAAAGTACTAAAGCCTGGAGATATTGACGAGCGCATTATTGAAAATGCTGTGCGAAAGTTCATTGTCCGGTTCTTGACTGCAAGAGGGTGAGCACATGAACGAGAGATTCCGCATTTTGGCTAACGGGTTTCTAGGTACCAAGTGCGCGTTACCGTTCTGCAAGCGGGCGAATTTGGGGTAGCTCAGCATCGAGCGCGAGTGTTCTTTTGGGCAGCGAAACGAAATGAAGCCCTGCCAGAGTTCCCTCTTCCCACCCACACATGGGCGCGTACGACACCGAGCCGGCGCGACGCTCTTGGAGGAGCGCCCTTGCCTTGCGTGACCGTCAAAGATGTCATTGGAGATCTTCCAGAATGGCATTGGTAGGCATTTCCATTTATTGGACTATTCGTACACTGACGCCAAACAGGATCAACCCAAAGAAGCTGATGCCTCGGCCTGTTGTGCCAAAGCCAGCCGGCCCTCACTTTGATGCGGTAACGTATGACCGCAAAACGAGAACATGTGGTTACGCAGGCTTCGTTCCTTACGCAACGCTACCAGCAACAGCTTATCAAAAAGAGCTGCGCGGGAATCGCAAAGGCGTGAGGTATCATTCAACGCTGACTTATGTCGGTGAAAGTGTTGAGCGGTAAAGCAGTACGTCCCTCCTATCGAGCCACACTAATATTATGGATCAGTGTCTGTAATGTTCCCCGCCCCAAAGGAGATAAATGCCTGGATGCAGGACGGGACTATCGCGGTGAGCCTCCAAATCATTCTCCCCTAGTTTTTTCTCAGCCCTCTGCAGAGCTCGATGGACGTTTTAGTGTGTGGCATCTCACCTGCCCCCATTCTCGGGCAGCCAGAGGTGGCTACGGCGAAGGTGCTCATGAGCCATTCAATATGACTCTGACTCTGTCTTACACCATAACAGGTAAATATGCTCGAGTGTATCCAGATCGCCCCGCGAGGACTGTCGTAAGTATCCAACAAAATGCAATAAACTCACACTGACGTGCCAGCCCAGTTAACGCGGAACGAGCCAACTGGCAAGCAGGGGCGGGTCCTCCACTATAATGTAAAAAGGCTACAGGCAAAAATACGCTGTACTGACTCATTTTCTTCAGCAAAATCGGGTGCTCTCCGCTCAAGAAAATGCCCGGCTCCAAGGCTTTGCCGATACCTTTACCTTCATATCTGGTACTGACGACTTGCGAGATGTGAGTATTCTGGTTGAGATGGGTGAATATAAATGGTTCTCATTTGTGGCAGATCATGCGTCTCATTGGCAATGCTGTTCCGATACCTTTGGGATACCACCTAGGCCGACAATTGGCAAGTGCGGCGTTGGCGAAGGAGGCCGAATGTGCCGCGGAGCTTGCGATCAAAGGAGAACGGTCTCCGTCTCCTGATCTATAAATCAAACTCTTATACATTGATTGAATAGATTATCACATGTTTTCTAGAGACGTCTTTACTCCGGGCTTATATTGAAAATTTGTAATGAATCTTCCCCGTTATTTACGTCGCACGTCGGAGGGAAGCAATTACATCCTCCAAACAAAGAAAGAAGTTTCAGAGTTTGATTTGCCAAGACTACGCGTGCCAGTACTGGTGTTGTTCCTGACTTAAGCGCTTCCCTGCCAGTCGCCGATGTCCATACTTTGAGCAATCCTTACGCCATTAACTTGCCGTATATTAAGGCAGTTTTGGCAGCTCTGGAGTCTCCGTCCCAAGACGCCTTGAGTCCCTCGCACAAAAGGAAACTGAGCGAAGTAATCGAGGTCAGGCCCCGCGCAAATGTCCGAGTGTATCACTGATAAATATTGTTGGAACAGGGCACACCCGAACTTGATTGGGAAGAAAACCGATCCCATTCTGATATCAGCCATTTATCTTCGCCTTTGGCTAGGCTTTCATTAACACCGGGAGTGAGCGATGCCCAAAAGGCTGCCGAAGACACGGGGTTAACGTACCCTAATAAGAGACCGAAGGGTGCGCGCCATTTCTACTGATTATCCCCATCTCTGATCGACTGATTGGCTGCTAATTACTTTACTATTCCTGATGGATGCACGGTGGAGTCCGAAGAATTATCTCTTGAGGGAGAGGAAGAAATGCCTGATCTGGCGGAGGGCTCCCTTCCTATACGAGTTCTCGATAACTTTATTGTTTCGACGAAGCTGCACAAGGGATGATGGCGTCCCTGCTTAGCTTGGAGGATCAGGAATCCTCACTGAGAATTTTCGGAAATATCCGGCCCATGTTTGTCGAAGATGACGATTACGGCCAATTCGCTGAGTTTGAGGACGCAACCACCCCGGAAACAGCGGAAGAGGGCATAGAGTTTGTGTCGACCGCAATATTCCTCTACTATCTTGAAACAGATCCATTACAACCGTAAGCCATTATTACGATTTTGTCCAAATCTTGAATATGAAATGATGGATAGATTGATATGGCTCAAGACTCAGTATTCATGGCTCATTCTGGATCGCCCTGCAGTGGAATACAAGAAGGATCATGATGGTTTTTGGGAGCAACGATACTTATGTCGCTTGGCGCTTCTCAGCACTCAAGCTGGTTTGCGGAACTTTGACTTGACTCTGAACGATGTTCCTCAGACAGAGGTCGGTGGTGCTGTACGTCTGAATGAAGAACGATTCACACTTGAACAAGTCTCCAATGCGGTGGGGATCATGTCCTCACTCCTTACTTCTAACAAGCTGACAAACAAAGTCAGATGTCAAGTAACCGTTATGTTGTAGAAGATCTTATTCAGGATGCTGCAGAAGGTGGCTGGGAAGACGCTTAGGATGCGCTGCCAGAACTATATCCCAAACAACGGAAATCATCAACATCGAAAAGATTACAGCGGAGTAGCCTTCGTACAAGGGTGATGTCTAAACCCTTGACATCGCGATTAGGCCGTACTGGGAAGCACTTTCATCCTTGTTTTACACACTCGGTTCAAGAACTGGCTTCCCATCTAGGGTTGCTACATCCTACTCACAAGACTGGCAAGCAACAAACTGGGCCGTCGAGCTCTCTCCGTCCGTTTGACTCCTCGCTCTTGGATCAAATTAGTGAATCTGTTGAAGCCCCTGCCAGGGGTGAGGAGGATGGTCTCTGGGGCATGAATTCCAGCGAGATCGAACGGAACAAGCAGAGACCATCTTCAGAGTATCACCTTCACGACTTCGTCTATTTCCGTGGTATTCAAAAGGATGACATACCCCACCCTTTTCGAGTTGGTCAAATGATGAATTTTGAGAAAACAGGACATATGGAACGTGTTACCGTACAACATTTTGGTCGATATGATGATTTAGAGGCAGCCTCCGAGGACCGTTCAGAGCAAGGGGAGAGGGATCCAGTATGTCGACTGAAATTCCTACGAGTTCAACTTTCTGATTTCGAGCAGCGTCACTTGTATGCTTCGAGAGTGTCATACAGATTGAGCAAAAATGTGCTCTGTGGGCATTGTGTCGTGCGACATTACAGGGAATTCTGCAAGTTGGAGGATGAGCTCAGGTATCAAGAAAACCAGTTCTACGTCAAGTTTCTTTCCCGTATCGCCAACCCGGCTATTAACATCTGTACGAAAAATCTCGTTCCCTTGAAACCGGACGACCTTAGGCAGTGTACTAAACCATCATGCAAGAACAGAACAGAACAAGGTGCAACCAATCCACACATACCCCTGAAATGTTTGGCCCTTTTCCATGGTGCCGGTGGGCTGAGTCTTGGACTCGAGCAGGCAGGGTGTATTGTTACAAAATGGGCCATTGATGCATACCCCAGCGCGCATGTAACATTGAAGTAGGTAGTCTCCACTGGTATGTATTTCACCTGCTGACGGTGCCACTAGGACAAACTTTCCGGACGTAGCCGCCATCCTGCAAGACACAAATGCTGTGTTGAGAAGGGCTATTGAACTGGCTGAAGGAAAACATCCACCACCGTTATTTCAGCTCAACAGCAAGACAGAGCGTTGTCCAGACCTCCCACGACCTGGTGAGGTCGACATCATCATAGGAGGACCGCCTTGGTCCGTTATTACTCTCTTCACCGAATCCTTGTATCTCACTCATGCTGTATAGCCAAGGCTTCTCGAGGCTGAACCCATTCGCAAGTGCTTTGGACAGCCGAAACAGTCTGATTGGAAACGCCCTCTCCTACGTGGACTTTCTGCACCCACGTTTTGTGCTCCTTGAGAATGTCCCACCTTTGCTCAAGATGAGTAGCACGGTACGCGACGAAACCGGGGACGAGGAACATATCGAGAATGCTTTCGCTAAACTCATTGTCAGCTTCTTGGTGCAGCGTGGATAAGTTATACCTGTATGTCGGTTAGTCGAGACGCTGATTCTCATCCAGATATCAAGTGCGTTTCAAAGTACTGCAAGCGGGGCAGCACGGAGCCCCCCAAGGGCGCAGTCGTGCAATATTCTGGGCAGCGTGGCACGGGGAAGTCCTTCCGGACTTCCCCTTCCCACTCATACGTGGCATCAGAAAACAAGCAATAGCAGAGATGAGGACGGCGGTGCACCGTATCCGGCCGTGACGGTTGAGGATGCTATTAGTGATCTTCCCCCTTTTCATTGGAATTGGTCCGTCCTTTTGATCGTTCACGTTTATGCGTTAACCAAACATGACAGGGATGCACGTGGTGCGTGCAGGCCAGACGAAGATTTACCTCGCACGGAAGAGAAACGGGTCTCGGCTGTCAGCAAGAACAATAGTCGGAGGGCAGTCGGATATGTGCATCCAGTACCGTACCCAGGGCCCGCTCGAACCGCATATCAAAGAATGCTCCGTGGTGATTGCGAGGAAGTTGAACATCATGTTACTTCAAGCAGGAGTGTGAGAGAGATTGAAAGGTATGGCATCGCAGCGCTATTTCCCAGCGAAGGACAGTATTGACTAGCACCATCAAAATCTGCAATATACCTCCACCTGAACCAGAGCGTGATATACCCGAAGGATGCGATTGGAGATGTATGTCGCTCTCAACATGGAGCAGTACTAGTACTAGCACTAATCTCGATGGTAGGGCACTGTCCACGTTTAGCCCCAGCAGATGTAGCACATCCACATGGGGCCGTAGTTGGAAACACGAACGCGAACAGTAAGTAAACCTTTTGTACGCATAATTATGTTAACACGCATCCGCAGGGGATGCGAAATACGCACGTGTGTACGCCTCCAAGCCGGCTCAAACCGTCGTGACCACAATCTGCCCTGGAGGACGGATGACGCGTGTACTCCACTACTCAGTATGTTGTTCAATATATTAAACCGGGATGTAACCGACATTGTACAGCAATACCGTGTACTGTCAGCACGAGAGAACGCTCGTCTGCAAGGATTTCCTGACTCTTTTAACTTTGTGTCTGAAGAGGACCGCGTTGACGACGTAAGTATCCATCCCAGCGCATTGCAAAAAGGCGATATTGAATTGATACAATAGATTTATCGTCTGGTTGGTAACGCGGTGCCAGTGCCCCTGGTTTTCCAACTGGGCTTGGAACTCAACAAAGCATTGGCGAGACATGAGGACCACCAACGAGACCAGTCTCCAGAACTTGAGTTTGTTGAGGTTGACATGTAAATCGGATACACCCGGAATCCTGGCGCAAATTCTTGTACGCTACACATGTTGTTGTATTCGACGCAAGAGCGTAGGATACTGTATGCTCGTGTAACAAATGAAAGTGCTGTTGTAATCCAACCCCGCGGAAAGACCACATTTTAATTAGGCGCCCAGACGGAGCACGGGTCCCTATGATGCTTCTTTGGCGGAACCAATCTATAGCACTTTTTTTGCAAGAGCTGCCTTCGGTCCATCACCCTCCTCCATGGCGTCGCTGATATCTGCGACAGCCTGGGTCGCACGGGGCGTCGCCCAAAGACACCCAACTAAATATAAACTCGATGAGGCAGAGCTTGAACGTGTCAGCAAGCTTGCCCGCATCGATATCGAGGACGCGAGAAGGGAGCTGGCGAAAGCGAGTAAACAGGTGGAGCAGTGGGATGCAGAGAAGACTGATGGAGATCTAAGTGATGAGGACGAGGCTTGGGAAGAGTGAGTTTCCTCCTACTGTTTGGTTGAAACTGTTCAAATGGGGTCCGGACAGTGAGCCGCTCGAAGTCAATGTCGCAGCCGACGAAGCGGACGACACAAAAATGGATGTTGATGAGGTACCCACAGATGCCAATGACATGTCAATATACCACCTGGAAGACTACGATCAAGAGTCCAAGTCTGTTGCAGCAGGTCCATTCAGCAATATCAAGGGACTTTCGTATTACCCCGACAACGAGGATGACCCCTACATCACTCTGAAAGAGGATCCGGAGGAAGACGAACGGCAAGAGCTCGAGGTCCTCCCAACGGACAATGTGCTCGTTGTCGCCAAAACCGAAGACGAAATTTCTCAACTTGAGATCTATATTTATGAGGAGACAACAGAATCTCTCTACGTTCATCACGACATCATGTTGCCCTCCTTCCCGCTCTGCCTCGAATGGCTCGAGTTCCCCGTCGCCTCCTCTTCCACCTCATCCTCCGACACTACAGTCAACCGAGGTAACTACATTGCTGTCGGTACTATGGATCCTGAAATCGAGATCTGGAACTTGGATACTCTCGATTCCCTCTATCCCGATGCCTTGCTTGGGCGGCCTGATAAAACCGCCGCACATGTTCCGACACCGGTAGGGACAGGGAAAAAGAAGAAGAAGAAAATGAAAGCAAGGACGACTTCCTCGGATCATCATGTCGATGCAGTGCTGTCCCTGTCCTGGAACAAAACACATCGCCAATTGCTGGCGAGCGCCTCGGCGGATAGGACGGTCAAGCTGTGGGATCTGAGCCGGCCATCAACAGACCCGGCAATACGCAGCTTAGAAGTGCACAAAGATAAGGTGCAGGCTGTGGAGTGGAACCAACTAGAGCCAACCGTGATTCTTACGGGAAGTTATGATCGCACGGTTAGGATTTTCGACTCGCGGGCGCCAACAGCCGGCGTAGGTGCGATCGTTGGTGCGGATGTGGAGGCTCTCCGCTGGGACCCGTGGGACGCAAACCGGTTCTACGTCTCCCTGGAGAATGGGATTGTTTTAAATTTCGATGCTCGCACACTACCTACAGATCTTTCGTCGCCATCACCAGCACAATTCACGCTGTCCGCACATGACGGCGCTGTGTCTGCGCTAGACGTCAATCCGCATATCCGGGGATGCCTCGCGACAGGAGGGACAGACAAGATGATCAAAGTGTGGAACATCAACGAGCCAGAAGAGGGCAAGAGGGAGATCAGTCTGGTGACAAGTCGGGAGCTAGGTGTCGTACGTATAGTCTTGGTGACAGTCCCGCAAGGAGAATCATTAACACGCTGCAGGGCAAAGTCTTTTCTGTGACATGGTCCCCAGATGACCCCCTCACGCTGGCTGCCGCTGGATCAAAAGCGAAGCTCCAGCTTTGGGAGGTTGGGTTGAACCCTGGTGTGCGCAAGACATTCAGCCAGAAGCTAAAGGATGCGGGCAGGGAGGTGAAGGACAAGGAGGGTGGAGGTGTGATTGGTGTGGATAGTGAGGGTGAGGAGAGCGGAGAGGATGAGTAGAGCATCTTATGTGTTCATGTGTATATCTACATTGCATCGTTGCATTAATAATCTCTTCTTGGATATACTTCATGCTGTCACCTCGCAACAACCACCTCGCCAACTCGTGTAGGGGAGTGGCTGTGCTGACCGTATTGAAAATATTATCATCGCCGATGCAGGCGACCATACATTTTCTCCTCTTACACTGGTTTGTCCTCGAGTTGTTACTGGAGATTATCAATCCGTCTAGACACGCTCCTCTCTACAGCTGTCACTTAAACCGCACATTGTTGTTGAAATTCACATTGATCTAGCTCTTGAGCTCTCGTTGCAGAAATACCGACAATGTCAGACTGGGGTGGGCCAATCTCATCTCTGAACCCGTAATCTTGCTAAGCAACCGCATAAGACGCATCGGACAATGAGGCACCTGCTTCCAAGGCACCCGTAGTGCATAAGAAGTCTAAATGGGAAGAGGAGGAAGAAGACGACAACGTTGCAGTACGCTACTTCTCGTCCAATCCATTGGCTGCACATCTCATTGATGACAGGATGACTGGGATGTTTCCGAAGAGGAATCTGCTGCACCTACGCCTGCTCCCGTCGCTCCACCGAAAAAAAAGGGCACCCTCAAGCAAAAAATTGCCCAGAAGGAGGCTGCCAAATCTGCGCGAGCCGCCAATGGGCTGGACAGTGATGCTGACGATGATGAGGTTGATGAGGCTGAGAAGCGGAGGCTGGAAAGAGAAATGGAATTGGCGGCCGATCTCAACAATGCAGCCGACCTGCTTGGTGGACCAAGCGCAGTAAATGGGCAAGGTGCGTCTGATCGCCGGTATTCTGCGGGATGTTGTCCAATCCCCTGTTTAGGCGCGGCGCCTTCCGAACTACACGAGATTTTGACGGCGAATCCCAAGACGAAAGAAGACTTCCAGAAGCTCTCGACCTTGATATACGAACGGCTCATCAAGCCGCACGAGTCCAAACCACTTTTTGCCACCTTCATTGAGCTGCATGTGCGTGAGATTGCGCAGTCGTTGAGGGACGTGGACGTTCGACGGGCAGCCACTGCACTGACTACGCTTTCAAACGAGAAAATGAAGGAGAAGACACAGACAGGGAAGAAAAAGACTAAGGCGGCTGCGAAGCCCATTCTCGGTGCTGCGAAAGCTGGTAGAATCGACACCTCTGCCTACGACGAGTCTTTGGACGACTTCGGCAAGGAGAAGGACGACTTCATGTGATCTGGCGTCTCCGTTCGTACGGTATCTCCCGGTTTTCAGTGTCTCCCTTATAGATCGGTTGGCTGTGCATGCTTCTCCTGCATGATACGAGGGATACCTGCCATTGTATAATGCTCCACATTTCTCCCGCTCTTAGAGTCATAGCTAGGTCCACTGTCTACGTCCACTGTCTACGACTCGTCAATGTTGTTTTCTTCATTTGCCGTACGCGCCGTGTTATTATGAGGTCGTCGCGTACAGAAGCAACCATTCAACCAAACAACTGAGGTACAAGCTATAGTTTCGCCTTCGGCGTCTCTGGAAAGTGCTCCCTCATCCATTCGTCCAGCACTTGTATCATGTCGTCCACTTCTTGTTTTGTGTTGGAGGCATGCACGCATAGCCGTACTCTCTCCAAACCCTTGGGAACTGTCGGGGCTGCAATTTGTCGGACCATAAAGCCTCGTGACTGAAGGAAAAGAGCGAGAGGGAGGGGAGGGGTAACGATGATAGGTATAATGGGCGACGCGATGCCACCAACCAATTCCGATGGAACAAGAGCAATTCCACTTGATGGGTACTGTGCGAGACACTTTGATATGGATTGACGGCAATAATTTGAGATATCGGTCATCTGATGCGCGAGCTGATAAGAAACTCTTGAGTTCGGGCACAGGGAACACCATTTGATTAATTACCTTTTCACCGATTCCTTTGTCCAGAAAATCCAGAGTGCAACTGATGGAGATGACATTGAATTGAGCCAATGCTGTGGTGTAGATGACCGGTCGGGCGTAATTGAGGAGGAAATTACGAATGAGAGGGGAGGCCAGGACGACAGCTACGACAGGGCTCAGTAAGTCACTACAACCTGAGGAAAGTGCTGACCTCCAGAAGTTCCGAACCCTTTACCGAAGGTGTTTAGCCTTACAAGTACATCCTTCTCCAAACCGAGGTGGGAAACGACTCCCCTTCCCTTTGGTCCGATTAATCCGTTTGTGTGGGCTTCATCTACAATCACGTGGCCGTTGCCTGCCGGGAAGAACTCTTTCACCGTCCGAACGATATCGGCGAGAGGTGAAAAGTCTCCATCCATACTATAGAGCGATTCCACAGCCACGAATACGCTTCGTTCTCCGGTGAGATATGGAGGGTTGGCGGCGAGGAGGGCTGCTAGTATGTCCTTAACACTCTCCACATTATTGTGCTCGAAGGCGATCCGGAGCTCTTTCGGGATTCGGGATGCCCGCATACCATCGTGCACAGAAGCATGAATGAGTTCGTCGTAGATGATGGCGTCTCCAAGCTGTGGCAGGACGGAAAAAATACCAACATTGGCATCGTAGCCGGAGTTGAAGAGCAAAGCGGCCGGCGCATCGTAGAACTTTGCAAGTCGTTTCTCGAGGGCAATGTGGTCCGCAGAGTTGCCATCCAAGAGCCGAGAAGCGCCAGATCCGAGAATATATTCTGATTTTTGGAGAGAGTCAAGGAAATGCTGCCGTAGCTCGGGGTTGCGGCTCAAGCCGAGGTAGTCATTCGACGAGAAATCGACCTTGGTTTCCGTCGGCGGATCTTCGGCGATCGTGCGCAGCGATCCGTTCTTCCGCCTCCTTTCGAGCGCAGAGGAAAGTGCCTTGTCGAGAGGAGTTTCTTCGAGCAGTGAGGACATCTTGCGAGGCTTGAAATGCCTCAAGAGAGGAACAGAGTCACTTAAATACGCTTTGAAAGAAAAGGGTGGGGTTCTCGGCCGAGAACTTCCGCGTCCGATGCGGGGTCGGGCAGCCTTGGCGACTATTCAAACTCAATTTCTAACCCATGGAAGTGCCATAGATGGGGCTAGAACGTCTAAAAAAGTATTGCTGAGAGCATAGAAGAACAAGGGATTCGTCCCCGGTTGATGGTTGGAGACGAAGACGGATTTCAGATGAACCCCACGCTTCTTCGACCTCGTGGTGGAGGCGGTGGGGGGACCCTCATCAATGGGCGCTAATTGATGTACTCTAGCAACATCTTCTTGCTTGATGAAGTCCTGACAAACCCTTCTAATAGAGTTGAGCATCTGTGATGGTGTATTACCCTTCGGCAGTCGTTCATGCGGAGGGAGCGGTGTGGAAGATATTCATCTTTGTTCCTTGGGAACAGCCAGCGCATAGAAGTCTCTATGCACTGACCTTACCAAGCCTCATCAAAGGAAAACGCACGCAATTCATTCGAAGTATTGCTTTTTCCAGTATCACATCCTCCAGTTCCTGGTCACCGTGGGTCGACAATATTGTCGAGCACCGTCGACGATGTCAACAGATCCTCGGGATCCGATCTCACGGTGTTGTTCAATGCTCAATTTGCATATTAAACCGCAGCCGCGACCGGTTAGTATAGCAACAGTACTACACCTTCTCCAATAGAACGGCGATCCCCTGCCCGCCGCCGATACATGCTGCGCCCAGGCCATACTTCACATCCAGCCTCTGCATGTTATGGACCAAGTTCGCGACGATCCTCGCTCCGCTCGCACCCAGAGGGTGGGCCAGGGCGATCGCGCCGCCAAACATGTTCGTCCTGTCCATGGGAAGCTCGAGTCCCTTAGCGACGCTGAGGAACTGAGCTGCAAAGGCCTCGTTCACGTCTATGATGCCTATTTCGCTCAAGTTCTTGCCAGCGCGAGACAGCGCCATCTTGATGGCTTCGACAGGGCCTATGCCCATGATTGTCGGTTCGCAAGCGGTGATACCCCACGAGACGATGCGTGCGAGCGGTTTGAGATTGTGTTGCTTCACCACGTCCTCGGAGGCGACGACATTGGCAGCTGCGCCATCTCCGATGCCGGAGGAGTTACCAGCAGTCACGACACCTTCCTCCTTATGGAAGACAGGGCCTAGCTTTCCGAGGGATTCGAGAGTGCTGCTTGGACGGGGATGTTCGTCTTTGTCAAAGACCGTAGACGTCCTTTTGTGCGTAATCTCCATTGGCGCTATCTCATTTTTGAATGCGCCGGCCTCCTGCGCCGCAGCCCAACGTTGCTGAGACTGCAGTGCATACGCATCACAGTCCGCTCTGCTGATACCGTACTTCTTTGCGAGGTTTTCTGCGGTGACTATATGCGCATATAATCAGGATCCTCATTTCGCACAGGAGGAGGGAGGAACACACCACCCATGGGCGTGGGCTTCCAATGTCCACGGTCTCCCGTGACCTGGTCTACCAAGCTCGCGGCTAACGAGTCTACCAGCTTCTGGTCCACACCATACTTCGTACCCCACCTCACAGACCCATGGAGCGTGTATGGCGCCATACTCATGTTCTCCGCACCACCGGTGAGGACGACGTTCGACTCTCCGAGCTGGATTTGCTGAGCAGCCGTGATCACGGACTGGAAGCCCGAACCACACAGACGATTCAGTGTCAAAGCGGGAACTGTCACAGGTAGGTGGGCATAGTGTCCGACGTGACGTGCGAGGTAGGCACCCGATGTGTCAGTTTGGACAACGTTCCTCGGAAAGGGTCAACACGGGCAATTGGGGTGTGGGAGAAGGGGGCACACCCGAACACCACTGAATCGACTTGCACATCCTTTGGGAGCGTATCCAGTGCTGCCTTGCTCGCGAAACCTCCCAGCTCAGAGGCCTTATGATCTCTCAGCTTTCCACCAAAGGTACCAAAGGGCTGTATTCGTGATCAGTTGGCGAACAAGATGCGTTCGACCTGAGCAACGTACGGTACGCTTGGATGCAACGACGAAAGCCTGAGGTGATGAGCGTGAAGCAGCCATGGTGGGGATAATGAAAGAGGTGAAGGTGGGGAGATTCGGTATTATACAAGTAGCCGGACCGGGGATGTGGGGTCCAGCATGTGATTTCTCTTTTTCGGGGACAAGCGGGACGATCAAAACTTTGCTCGTAAACGCAACATTGAATTTGCTTTTCTATACTATGTCGAGCACCTAGAATGAGTTCATAATGGAAAGAGAAACGAGAAAAGGAAACTCTATGGTCATGCGAAGTACTACAGTTACGTGCGTAAAAGGATACGAGCCTAAAAGGAAAGGATGAACGATGAACGATTGGTAAGACCATCTGGAATCATGAGTAGAGACAGTTCGTGACGGATTACGCAGAAGAGGCTTGAGCAAATGCAAGGGCAGCAGTCTGTGATCGTAGATCAGTAACTGTTGTGATGCACAGGATATACAACGTACCTCAGAGTGGCTCAGGGATAGATGCACCGTTTTAATGCCCTTGGCATCGGCGGCAGCCTTAGCATCCCCGTGCAGAACAACCAATGGGGCACCAGTGGCCTGGGAGACGATCTCGATGTCCTTCATTGAGGCAGCAGCACCCTTGGAAGCAACACCGAGCGACTTGAAGACAGCCTCCTTGCCAGCCCAGCGAGCAGCAAAGGATGCGGCAGGATCAGGCTGCGACCGGCAATAACTGACTTCTTGCTCCGTGAAGTTACGGGACACGAACATCGGGTTCGATGAAGGAACGGCCGAGATTAGTTCTACGTATTTGGATCAATGCAAGGCATCTCTGAGAGGATATTACGTACCATGATCCACACCAACTCCACTGACATCAGACACTTGGGACAGGGCCGCGGTGAGCGTAGCAGCGTTGGCAGCATCGATAGGAGCTTTCTTGGGAAGCTGCTTAGCAGTGAACGAGTAGCCCCCCAGGGCATCGCGTTCAGTACGAGCAAGAGGGTTAAGCAGAACTGGGGTCTCCAACTCCTCAGTGTAGGGCGGATGGTCTTTGATCTTCACCAAGGAGTTGGTAATCATCATTTCGCTCATAGCCTTGTAAGCAGACATGGCGCGAATACGATTCTTGTCCACATAGTCCTTATACTGCTCAGGGGCGAGGCTCGCGAACAGATAACGAGGATGGAGAATGAGGGCGAGGCCTCCAACCTGACCGAACCCGAACGAGGTCAACAAACCGGCGCTGATGCCGTCCGTATGGATCGACTTCGAAGGGAACATCAGGTACTCAAACTTGCGAAGCACAGCGTCCACGTTGTCCGCGTTCCTATTTCCTGGAACAATGCCAGACTCGATACTTTGTATAAGGCCCTGGAGCATCCAAGCGGCGGCGCCACCCTTCGGATGACCTGTCAGGTACTTCTGGGCGATGACGGGAACACAGTTCCCTGGCGTACGTGAAAGGTGACCAAACAGATCGTCGTAGATGTTCGACTCATTCTTGTCGTTGGCAGTAGTGCTTGTTCCGTGTATCGAGATCACCCCAATGTCATCGGCGGTCAATCCCCATACCGCTAAGGCACGCCGCAGGGGGGCAATGCGAGGGTCGAACCCGTCCAACATGCCGAATGTCCCCAGGGCCTCCTTGTCTTGCCGAGCAGCCTCCTCTTCAATGAAGGCGACGCGTTCTTGGACGAAGCCGTCCTCTACCTCTTCGCCGGACTCGCGCCTCAGTGCAATCTCCTCCTTGAGCACAGCACGCTCGTTCTCTAGCCACTGCGTGATCTGTTGACGACGGAACGCAAGCTGCCTAGCTCTGTACTTGATGTCGAGAAGAGGCAACGTCTTTGACGGCGAGATCTCGCGAGCGTGGGAGATGGGACCGCGTCCTGGGGCGGGGATGGATCGTCCCTGCTTGTCCCTACACGAGGGTCAGCTTTAACCTAACTGCAGATTGAGCTGAACTTACGTTGCGGTGGCTGTGTACGACACAACAGCACGGATGCTGGCGCCCATCTCCAAAGCCGTCTTAGCACTCATGACGACCTGCACACCAGTGCCCTGACTTTCCATGAACCCAGCCCGAGTGGACGTCGTTGGGCGGGACATCTCGGTCGGCTCACGGCCCATGGCAAATTCGGTTTCAGCGTTGCTTGTGGCTTTCATGTTAGCAAACTCGTTGGAGCCTTCTTCGCTGAAGTCATCGAAGCCACCGGCAATCATAACCTTCGCTTTGCCAGACAAAATACTATCGCAAGCGATTTCCAGAGATTGGAGAGCAGTAGCACAAGCTCCAACAGGTATCTTTACTGGCCCACTCGACGAGAGCAAGAGCAGGTTGACCCAACCAGCAACACTGTTGATGAAGCTGAGGTTCTGGTAAGCATGGGAACTGCAGTTGATCAAATGGAGACATACGTTTCTTGGAGGATATCCTTCTGCACGTCCTTCTCTTCTTTGCGATCCTTAAACATGGCTGCCATGCTTTCTACGCCACCCATACCACTTCCAAGACTGGTGCCGACCTGAGAAGGATGAACGTATTTGTAGAGCTCATATGGATCGGTGAAGCCAGACATGGTCAACGCTTCTGCAGTGCATGCCAAAGCCCAGAGCGCGGTCCTGTCGGTCTGCGCCACGATGTCTGGAGGAATCCCGTAACGACCCGCGTCCCAACCGGTAGGAATCTGGCCTGCAACGAGACGATCGAAATGGAAGGCTTTCGGTATGAGGATCCGAGCGCCCTTCTTCACCTTGACAAACCAAGCGCCATCTGCTTCCCAGATATCACAATTGTCACCGTGCTCATGCTTAAACTTCGCAGCATCCGCCTCCGCAACCTCTAAGGGCTCCAGGTCATAGTTTAGTTGAATCTCTTGATAGGCTATCTTCTTCTTCGGGTCATAACCCTTGAAGAGTTCTGGCTCTGTACACTATGTCAGACCAACTGAAGAACACATAAAAGTCAGGCTTACCAATCAAACGAATGCCAGCGTGAGTCAGGATGTCCTTCTCGTAATTGCCCCTGATATCCTTGTCATCGACAGACTCCTCTGTTTTTGCATCGACCCAACCAACGTAAAGCTGGCCGTTCTTCAGACGCCCATCGAAATGCTTGACGTATCCCATCATCCATGCCATTTCGATGCAACCCTCAATAGTGAACCGTCCGCGAGCTTCCATCTCCCAGCGTGTGCGTGAGGAACCCCATGGGCCAACTTCGGCGAAACCTGTGATCACAATGACCTTGTCGAGATCAACCATACCGCGCAGGTCAGCGAGATTCGCGAAAGCATCCGGCGACTCCAGCTTAGGCATCTTGAACTTGAAGTTTGCCCGGGGTGTTACTGAGACCGTTTGATGGAGTCGCTCAGCTTCCACGCCATGGACCACCTTGAAATCAGCCGATGTATCGCGGTTGACCGCCTTGCGCAGCTCCGACTCGGCATTGAGCTCGGAACGAATCCGCATAGTGATATCAGCAATGTCTGGAAGTCGATCCATACCGCCGTTCAAATCGGCCCAGATGGGCTCAACTTGGGTGATGCCGAAGAGAATAGGATGCATCAAACCTAGAATGTTGAATGCCATCTCCTTCGCGGAGAAAGTCCGCACGCCGTGCTCCTCAATCTTGTGAGCAACCAGGTTGTTGGCATTCATTAGACCAGTTCCACGCGTCCAGCCAATAACAGCGCCCGCTAAGCAGAGATACTCGCCCCAGCTTTCAGCATTCCACCGGTTGAAAAGGGTCTCCAAGGCAATCTTCGATTCGGAGTACAACCCATCATTTCCGAAGAGACCATGGTTGGGTGAAAGAGGCAACACAACTTGAGTTGGCCTCGTGACGAAGTGGCGTACGGCCTTCTTTATCTTAACTGCGCCCATAAGGCGGAGAACATTGACCAGCATGATCCGGTGAGCCAGTTCGGACTTGTCGTCGATACCATCAATCTCGCGACCATTCTCCGGAAGGGCAGCGAAAGGAACAATGTAGTCGAGATCCATCCCAAGTGTCGTGAAGATGTAGTCAACGAGAGCTTCGACGTCTTGCCGAGAACCTTGGTTGAACGGAACTACAGTCAGTGCAGAACCCCGGCTACCGACTTTTTGATAGATATCTTGATAATATTCAACAGTTGACCTGCTGAAGCGAGATGTCGTTATGACGACATGCGCGCCGCCAGAGAGCAGGCCCTTCAGAATTTCCACGCCGATCGAGCCCTTGCCAACTCCGGTCAACAGCGCGTTTTTCTCCCTGAATGTAGTACCAGAGGTCGCGATCTCCGTGAGAACATCCATATAGACACTTGTGAGGTTGCTACTGTACTGCCAGTTTGGGCCGACCTTGCGCTTGAGATGCAGAAGCGGCACCCTATCTTCTGCCAAAGTGGTGATGGGCGATGAGAGCTTAGGGCGGAGGAACTGCGACGAAGAACGGCGTGTTCTTTGGCCAGATGGGCGCAGCCTGGTTTCCGCAGGAGTCTTCCTCAGGGAGCGTACGACCTCATCGTGGAGGTTCTTGATAGTCTGCTTTTGCTCCTGGCCAATTTCTGGCTGCGACTTCACGAAATTCCAGAGCTTGGTGACATCATCGTGTACCTTCTGGTAGTTGACATTCTTTGGAATACCTGGTCCACCGCTTGCCATTTCCTGGACGTAAGCTTCGAGCTTACGGACGTTCGGGCGATTGATTTCAGAGTACACAATATCCCCTTTGGCAGTCACATCGGTGTGAGGGGCAGTAGGGAATGTCACTGGCAAGAGCATCAGATAAGAGCACAAAACATTTAATGAATCACACACCATCTTTGTAGCGGGGGGGCTCGGTGACAACTTCCTTGCAATTATCTAGCAACTGCTGGCCGAACTCCTTTGCCAGCCGGTAGGTCTCGCCTTTGGTGGCATCTACTTGATCGATGCGGTATTGCATGTAACGAAGCAAGGCAGGATCCGCGCGGTTCATGATCGCAATGCACTTAGCTGTGATTTCTCGGTCGACAGTTGTGAGACGACCGTAGATGATGTCATAGAACATCACCAAGGCATCCTGACGAACCCAATTCCATGAAGAGTCGAAATGGCGCGCCTTCAGGGGCTCAAAGACAGGCTGGATGCCCTGGATATAAGCGTCACCATGTTCCTTGTCGATAGCATCGAGCTTGGCCTGCAGCAGGGCTGAGCTCTGTTTTTCCTGATCGTACAAGCGGGCCCCGGCACGGGAGTCCTTGCCGAGATACCGCATGTAGAGCTGTATGTTCTGTTCAGCGAACGCATGCTGCTGGGCCTGGAACTTCAGGAACTCTTCGCTGTTAATGACGGCACCGCCTGCAGCAGCCCCTCCAGCCGCACCAGCGCCACCTGAAGACATGTTGATGCCAGCTTGCTTAGCGTAGGAAGTAACGACAGTATCCAACCATGTTTTCGCCTCAGCTTCGGAGGCAAGACGCTTGGGAGGCTCCATGGAGACACCGAGAAGGAGCACAGCATCCGAGCGAGCAGGGCCCAGACCCCAGGACTTAGAAAGGTAGCCCTTGATCGCCGTAGCGTTGAACCCACCCGGCATCTTTGCACCAACCATGCGTGCAACAAGGCCACTCGTGTATTTTCCGAGCGCGCCAGAGTAGCCCACGTTCAGTGCACCCCCAAGCTCTTCGAGAGGCATCTCCTCGCCCTTTTCTGGTGCGCTGCCGAACTCGAGCTGGAGATCACCAAGGATTTCGTTCTGCAGGGTGGACTTGCCACCAACAAGATCCTTGATAGTCTTGCTAAGAGGGATTTCCTCCGTCTTTTTCTTCAGCTTTTGCGCGACGACGATTCGAAGCGTATCGATGGCCTTGAGCGGCTCATCCGGCACATCGGCCGCGCCGCCGGCGGGAGGAGCGGCTGCAACGGGTGTTGCGACAGGTGCAGGTGCTGCCACCGCCGTCGCGGCAGTTGGTGCGGGACCCTCCGATGTCGTGGGCTTGGCCTCTTCCGTCACTTCATCCTCAAACTGATAGTAGATCTCCTTGATGTTCTTGGATGCGCAGAGGATCACGCGGCTTCGGCCAATAGAATCATCGTGGGTCTCATACTTCGCTTTCAAGGTACGACTAGCCATGCCAGTGAGAGTAGGGGAGGGGCCGATCTCAATGAAGCGCTCCGATTTGTAGCGGGCGAAGATAAGGTCTTGAGTCTCGATCCAACGCACAGGAGATGCAAACTGGTATGCCAGCAGTTCAACCAGGATTGTATACGCCAGCTTCTGTCGGTTCTCAGGGAGCGACCAGTTTTCTTCGTCCCAGTGACGGAGCACCTTGTCAAGCTTGGGGGATAATGTCTGATCGTAAACCTTCTGTATGTATTCGCGCGTGACTTCAAATGGCTGAGCCATCAAGTTGGGAATATACCTGCCAATCAGCATGTCGGGGTCGAGCTGAGTGGGGTTGATCTTCTTGGAGAGATACGCCCGGAATGGCATCACACCAGCCCACAGATAGCGGGAGTGGAAAGGTACATCTATACCAGGGAGAGGTATGGTCGCGAATCCCCGTTCCAGCTTGATATGTCCCTCTTTCTCCTTAAGAGCTTTCGCCATCTTGAAGCACTCATCGACGATATCGTCCAGCATTTCTTTCACCTTCTCGACAGAGAACTTCTCTGTAAGCTTGGAGGGTCGTCAGAATCTGCTATCACAAGTAGAGTAGTAATGTACCTTTGGGATGTCGATATTCTCCGTCTTCAGATAGTTGAGGACATTTGTGAGAGTCTGTAAAGACACCAGTTCGCCAGCACACACGTATTGCTGTCCTTCGACATTGAAATTAACGATTTCGAGGAGGAGTTCAGTGCGATGACCGATGACGTCCACTACTTCACGCAAGGCGGCATCGTTGAACGTTTTGGAAACACGGCCAGGGTTGACGGCACACATCGCATAGTTGGACCTGTCATGGGCATCACGCTCCACCGCACGTTGCATGGTAAGACCACGGAAGAACACGACGTCAGTCAAAGCGGATATAGGCAGAACACCTGCGATGGACGCAAGAGCAGAATATTCTCCAAGAGAATGACCCGCGAATGGACATCCCATCTGAACCAGACCCTTGGACTTCATATCCTCAAAAGCGGCCTTCTCGGTCACGACAAGCGCAATCTGGGCGAATTGGGTAGCAAACAGCAGGCCATTTGGTGAGCTGAAGGAGAACTCCAGGCTTCGATCTGTGATCTCTGGGAACAGAGGCAGCGTCTTGACGTGACCGTCTTTATCCATGGTATCATACGTCATTTGAATGTAGCGTTGGCGAATAGCCTGCCCCTTAATACCACCAAAGTGAATGGTCTTCGACTTCGGATTGTTGCGAACGATGTCAATGATGGAGAAACCATAGACATGGGTGAGATGCGCGTCAGCAGCATCCCAAACAGCCCTGGCAGCTGGAGAGCTGTTGTAGAGTTCTACACCCATGTTCTGCTCCTGCGAGCCCTGGCCAGTGAAGACGTATGCAGTAGGAGGCTGGGCCACCTCGGCCATGCCCTCAATTATCTTGTCTCCATTCGCGTTAGTTGTGAGAACCTTGATGAGCATGTTGCCACCCTTCATGCCAACATGAATGAGCTTGACGTTCAGCTCATCCCCAGGCAGGACCATCCCAACGAAGTTGACGTTGTAGCTGAGAACACGCTCTGGGTGACCTTGAGCAGCAACGCTCTCAACATACTTGCGGGTCGCGGCACTAGACCACATGCCATGGGTAATAGTGCCAGGCAGAGATGCGTAGCATGAGAAGTATGGGTTGATATGAATTGGGTTGAAGTCTCCAGACACCTTCGAGTATGGCTCATTGGTGAAGGGAGCGGTGAAGAGGGAAGGCGACTCGGCAGATGTCACGGCGTATCCACCATTCTCGAACATGACTTCAGTGCCGAGCTGCTTGCCATGGCGGTGCAGGTACGCAGTGACCGGGTTCCCTTGCGTAGGGCCACTCTCGTAATCAATCGTGGCGACTTGAACAAGTCCGCGAATTTGGTTACGAATGTAGGCAGCGCCAACGACGTGGACGCCAGAGAAAGAGGCCTTCTCCTTGTAGAATACCTCGGATTCGGTCTTGAAGACCAGAGTCGTGCCGGGCTGCAGGGGCGCAGTATCATCATCCCACTGGAACCACTCCTTGGATAGGAGCACACCGACTTGAGCGGCGGTGGTGAGCTCCACCTCGAATTGGGGCTCAACCGTCTTCTCGAACGTATTCTCGAAGTCGACGAAACGGCCACGGTACAGAAAAGCAGACGTGACTTCCATTATAGGCTGGCCGTCGCGTAAGAGATGGCCCTTGACGGTGACAGACTTGCCGCTGTCAGTGTTGTTGACGGAAACGATGCTGACCTTCGACGAGCAGACATCGCCAACCTTGAGCGGTCCAGCCCCTTCCACCTGGCGGAAACCGTTGGAAAGGTGAACGAGCCTGAGGAGATCACCGTCAATGGACGGAGGGAAGATGGCCTTCATGAGAGCCTGCCAGCCAGTGACAATGGCAAAGTCCATTGGTGCCTGCATCTCACTGTTCCTGACCCTCTTGAACGATTCGGTCTGGTTGCCGATGACCGCACAAAACCGCTCGACAGTATCAGCCTGGATCTTGACATCCGGACCAGTCAGCACGTCGCGCAGGCCAATGGTGGGCAGCGACTCGTTGTCACCGAACCACAGGCGCCAGTAGAACTCCTTGATGCGCCAATTGCGCTTCTCCATGACCTCATGGATAGGGCAGTAGCCCATGCCAGGCCGATAGTTCAACTGAAGCGTGAGGGGGATCGAGACGCTTCCACGGAGCTCGTTGATGATCACCGAAATAACCTTCCTCGTCTGGTCGTAGGTGACCTCGACAGCCTTGAACGAGTGGGGCATGGGCCCGAAGCTACGAATGGAACCGTACAGAAGGACAGAGGAGATTGCCCCGTCCTTGCGGATAACCTCAATGCGCTGCTCCGGCCGAGGCACGAAAAGACGACGCAAGGGGTTGTCGATGAATCCCTTGTCCTGGGCGATGGTGATGGATCGCAAGAGGGCAGAGAACCAGCTAACATCCGAGCCAGCGAGGAAATCAAGCCACTTTGCGACAGGCGGGAGAGTCTTGCCAACAGAGTAGGTCGTCTTCTCACCCTCCTGGCTGACGGCGATGCCATATTGCGAAGGGAGCTTGGCATCATGCGCTGCAGGGGGAGCACCAATATAGTCGATAGAGGGCACCTTGCTCTCATCACCGGCGTAGTACCGCTCAAGAAGTTTACTGATAAGGGCACTCTCGACGCCACCAAGCATCTCCTTTATAGAAACATTGGCCTGCTTTGCGTACTTGGCCGCAACGGGCCCCTGAAGGATACACACACGTTGAGGGTCCTGGTCAACGACGGCGTCGATATCCTCGGCCTGCCAGAGGGAGTCCTTCTTGAACCAGACCTCAAAGGAAGCATCGAGGACAGGGATGAAGGGGACCGGCTTCTGCCCAGCACGCTGGGAGATGGCGAGGAAGTACGCCTTATCTTCAGAGGCGACCAGCTGCTCCTTGGACGCGGGGTACGTCTCGAAGAACTTGGTGAGGAACAGCTCGGGATCATCGAGCGAAGTGAAGCTCTGCAGGACAGAGGCCTTGGGGCCGTGCCCGTTGACGCCAGCAAAGCGCTCCTCGATACGGCGGAGCCAGTCGCCGACCAGGTTGCGGAGGGAGATGTCCACCCAGCGTTTCTGGTGAGCGACGAACATGAGCTTCACCATACGGCGAACGACTTCTTCGTAGGTCATATCGCCAATATCGCCCACGACGCTGCCGTCGGCTTTGGAAGGGAACCAGGGCTTCTGGAAATCAGCGTTAAGGCGCGCGATCACCTTGTCCTTGTTCTGCGCGAGCCACTGGATACGCTTCTCCTTAGGGAGGGCGAAGACACTCTCATCGTACTCCTTCCAGAGCTTGATAGCCCGCGTGGCGATCTTGTGGATAGGCTCGCCCAGCTCGGATTTGACAGTGAGGATCCCACCAGTTTCTTTCTTGTAGGTGCCCTCCCATTGTCCATCGGATACACCAGGAGCCTTGACAATGAGCTGCTTGACGCTCTCGCTCGTGTGGGCCTCCTTGGCAGTCATGACCCAGGAAGCGAAAAGGACACCGTCAAAAGGCATCCGCTCAACGCCGAACATGTCCTTGCTCCAGTCACCAGTGATGTACGGCCACACCTCCTCGGCCGAGCCAAAGCCGGACCCGGCGACGACGGCGATGTTCTTCTGCTGGCGGATGATGCCGTACGTCGAGAGGATAGGCTGATGGAAGTCCTCGCACGAATGATGACCACCGGCGCGCCCACCCGTCCACTGCATGATGACTGGGAAGTCGGGGTTCGCAGTGGCGATATTGACGACTTGTCTGATACCGTCGACCGAACCAGGCTTGAAGGCGATGTGGCGTATGCCAGCAGCCTTGAGGGCGCCGATAATCTCCGCCGCTTTCTCAGTGGAGGGGATACCTGCCGCGACGCAGAACCCTTCGACGGGAACACCCTCACGACGCATATCCTGCCAGAGCGGGAACTGGAAGCCGAACTGGCGCTGGTTGATGTACAGCGCGTTGAGGGTGAGGCCGACACCAGCCGGAATCTGCGCCTGGATCTCGGCAACCTTGGCACGCAGCGCAGCAGGGTTGTAGTGCCCACCACCGGCGAGCTCGACGTGGTACCCAGCACGGAGAATGGCAGAGACGAAGCCGGCCTTGACAGTGGTAGGGGTCATACCAGCAACCATGATGGGCGGCTTGCCCAACAAACGGGAAAAGGGGGTGTCGATCTGGATACGCCCATCGAGCGTCTTGACGAGCTTGGGCGTGAACGCCTTCTCCCACTTCTCAGCGGTGCGCAGGCTTTCAGAGCTGTAGAGCTCCGCAGCGCCCATGGCCTTGTTCCCAACGACGACAACGCGCACGCCACGTCCTTCAAGGTTCCGCTGCGTGAGGCTGCCGATACCACTCAGGCCACCAGGCCCGAAGTCGATCGCGTGGGTTGCAGTGGAAGGGAAATCACATGCCTTCTCCCAGAAGATGGGGTCGGGGAAAATCTGATCGCACAGAGAGCGAGTGACAGACGTCTTCAGGTCACGCATGTCGGTACCATCAAACGTGTTGTAAACTGCGGTGCCAAGCTCCTCTGCCTTCCACAGCTCTTCGCCGTCCAGGTCCTGCTCGATGACCTTGTCGACACCAGCGATAACATACTTGCTATGGTAGGGAACACCAACAACGAGGAAGCGCACGCTGAAGACAGGCTTGCGCTGGCTGAAAGGGATTTTGCTCTGGTCAAGACCAGACGGAGCGCGAACTTTGCGGAGGTGATTGACTAAACCGCAGAGGGCACGAGGGGGGCCGGTGATGACAAATGCCTTCCTTCCATTGTTGAGGGAGACGATAAGCTGAGAATTCTCCGGCAGGTGCTTGTTCGTCTTTTCGATGTGTGGACGGAGCTTGCTGAGCTCGAGACCGGTGACCGCCAACATGGGCGAGGGCGTGCCCTCACCGCCTTGGATGCAGTCGGCAACAAGAGAAGGTTCCACGGTCAGAGTCGGGAACGCTTCCTGACCACGCAGACCGCACGCGAAAAGCCATCGGAGGGATTTGGCCACATTGATATTGTAGCTCTCGTACGACGTGGACGCAGCAATGCAAACCGCGCTGACAACACCCTGGGAGTGACCAGTTGCTCCCTTGATCAGGCTGCGCATCTCTCCAGGGTGCAACCCCAAGACGCGGCAGGAGATAAGGTACTGGACGAGCTGGGTAAGCCCGATAAGGAGGAACGAAATCGGTACGCTGGCGAGGTATGCTACCGGCGGGCGAGGCGTGGTACCTGTAAGCCATGCGAGTACATCGAGCCCATGGTTGTAGTATGCGTGGCCTTGCTCTTGAGCCTTGGCGGCAAGAGGAACAAGGACCTCGTACGTCGCGGTGCTGATGAAGTCGCGCACATACGCCCCGTAAATTTCGAACAGCTGCTGGAGCTCGTCAAAGTACACCTCGTTGGTGCCTTGGCCGCCGAAGAGACCGTAGATCTGCGCTTCGCCCTTCTTGGCTGCCTCGAAAAGAGTAGATTTTGGGCCCCTAGGGACCTGTTCGGCAGGAAGCGCACGCTCAAGCGCCGCAATACCGGTGTAGTAGGCAGTGAGCACTGACGCGCGGGTGTCGGGGTCGTACTCTGCCGTCAACGAATGGATGTCGGTCGCACCCAGATAAGCGGACGTGAAATGTTTGGCGGCCGAGAGCAGCACGCAGACCCTAGAAAGGGTAAAGAACTTGCCGTCATCGGCCCGATTGGCCACGAAAGCGAGGAATTGAGCAACAAGCTCGACTTCGGGTTGGGCGCTGGGCGGCTCCGACTCTTCAGCAACTTGCTCGGATGCCTGGTAGGAGGCCTGGAATTCTTCACGCAGCACGGAGGCAACGAGCCAATCATTGTTGGTTGCAGATACGGGTATGGAGATCTGAAAAGTGCATATATGCGTTAGAATTTGCGTATATGCGCTGAAAAAATGAGATGAATGCGTACCCTGAGGGGTCCAGACTGGAGGACAAGTGGACGGAGGGCAATGCGCTCCTCGTCACCGTGAACGGGGTTGCCGTTCGGGGGGCTCATGATTGCGATTTTCGCTCGCGTGATGCGGTCTATAGCGGTGTATGTACGCGCTGTTGCGGGAGGGATGATGAGGTAGAGAAAGGGGGGATGAGGGAGGGGAGGTGCGGGGGGTGGGGTGAAGGGATGAAAGGGGGGGGATCAACGAGTAGCGTGTGGGAGAGAGGGTATTTGTACGGGGCAGGACGGGTTCGTCACTGTCTGGCCCGGAGGAACGGTGAAATGTGAAGATCGTTGGGTTTGCTTTGTAATCTCGAGAAGGGGAAGTGGTCGCCCCAAAGGACCTTGCTATCAGGGCGAGCGTCCGATACCAAGATGTGACGAGACTTTTTGTGTGTCTGCGTACTACGCGTCTTTCTCTTCACTGGGGCGCGCCGAAAAATCCCAAAATGTTACCCCAACACATCATTTGATTCCGTAGGATTCTGCACTGCCACGTCTGCCCTTGCTTTGTGTCTTTACGCTGATATCCCCAAACTAACCCAGAGTGGCGTTGTGCTGGTCCTGATTTTCGCTGGTCCCTGTCTTGCCCGCACGTTTGATCTGCGGGGCCTTCGGGGACTCTCGGACTGACCCTCGGACTGACCCCAACCTCAGTGACTGCTTAGTCAGCGCCTGGGTCATTCTGTTAGAGGGGTCCGTATGCGCCGAGTAAGCCGAGGTGTTAACACGAGCGTTGTCTGTGCTTCCCGGGTGGACTGCCTAAATTAGAGTGGAGGAAATGGAGGTCCGGCGTCATGTCCGAGGCCGACATCCAACAGCATCTCTGTCGCCACGGACTGTCCACCTTTGTTTTGTGCACCTCCGCACCTCCGCCCATTGTATATGACCTCCAAAGAGGGTGCGTGACTGTAACCCCGCCCCTCCACGCCCGACGCTACCGAGACGTTGTGAGAAAAAAAGCTATAACAAGAGGCGGGAAACTGAGCCCTGGACACCAGTGCGGAGTGAAGTTCCCATATCCCCTTCATTGTCCCAAAAGTAACCGGTTCGTCATCCGCGACCTTCTCCGCCCGGACCATATTTATTCCCCTCTCTTCCCTCCTGTTCAAGCATCCTTCATTACCCCGCAATGCACCTCCCGCGGCCCACCCTCGCTCCCCTTTTCTCCCACCCAGCCCGGGTTAACGCTCTCCGCCCTCAAGCACTCCTTCGGGGGGCACACCAGCCATCTGGCGAGCCCGCCCCGATCAGCGCCGCCGCTGTAGCAGCATGGGCCGAGTCTGTGCTCGAGGTCCCCCATCATGCGCACGACAACATTACGCTCTCGACGGCGCTGAAGCTGTATGCGACGCTCCCCACCCGGTCCGGGCCGATCTACTCCACGCCCCCACCGACAGTTGCAGGCCTCCCCTTTGGTCCGGGGCACCACTTGGTCCTCTTTCCCCCGATTGCGCCGGAAGCCGAGCTCAACCCAGACGGTACGGAGCCGATGTTCACCCCTCCGCTACCATGGTCGCGCCGGATGTGGGCAGGTGGGGAAATGGAGTGGGTACCGGACAACGAACTGCGGATCGGGGATGCGGTGAAGTGCGAGAGTGCAATCGATACGGTGGAGGAGAAGGGGTGGAGGGACGACAAGCCCAAGCTGTTTGTCTGGCAGAGACACAAGATCAGTAACAATAAGGGTGTTGCCTTGGTGGATCGGAGGGCGCATGTCTTCCAGCCGATGGGAGTGGACGGAGAAGTAAGTCAACCACGGGACAAGCCCAACCCAGGTGAGCCCTCTGTGGAAATTGAAGTCATCATATACTGAATAGGGGCGAACAGACCTCCCTGACCCAGACTTCTCCGTCTCCTTCACACCCTCCGATCTCACCCTCTTCCGCTTTTCTGCGCTGACCTTCAACGCCCATAAGATCCACTACGACGCCGCCTATGCGAAATCGGAAGGACATCCGGGCCCCTTAGTGCACGGGCCCCTCACCGCGCTCCTATTGCTCGAAGCCGCAAACTTCCTCCTTCCGCCGAGCGGGAGGTTCCTGCGCTTCCGCTACCGCGCCGTCCGCCCGCTCGTTGTCGGAAAGGAGATCACCTTCTTGGGCAGCTGGAGGCCTGGGGCGAGGGGCGAGCTCACCCTTTGGGCGCAGGACGACGAAGGCCGGGTTGGCATGTGGGGCGAAGCACATATGACTGGTCTGCATTGATTGAGTCGCTTCGACGATAGTGGGGACTGTTGAACGAATTGGGTCACAAAGGCTGGAAGACCCATATCTCCAAAGGCGCTTTATCTAAGGAATTCCGGAACGTAATATGCTTCTCTCGACGCTTACCCTCCTTCATCGGTTTCATGACCTCAAATGACCGAAACAAGTCATAATCCCGCCATCCCGCCAAACCCTCGTATCTATCCATATGTCACCGCAATGTTGTACCTAATAGTAGCAATGCACTTGTTCGACTTGGTTTGACTTGGGATCTATATGAGGTGACAATTGGTTCCCATACCGATGATTAGACTTTCATCGTCGGGCGATCAAAGATCAGACCGGCGGCTCGGGTTGGGATGGAGGCTGAGGTCAATCTGGTTCTTTCCCTTATAGCCACAGGCCTTCGGGACCGTCAAGTTGGGAAGCGAACCGGAGGTCGGGCCGGGTGGTCGGACATCGGATACGACGGATGTCCGGCTCCGATTCTTGCTTCTTTTCTTTCAACCTCTTCTTCCTACCCATACAAAAAGGTCGCTTTAATCTGCTTGAACCCGACATATCTCATTTTTACTCTGTGTGTACACTTCATTTGCAGCGAACAGGTTTCTCTGACGAGAGGAATGAAAGGAGCGCCCCAAATTCCAGTTTGACAGCAACTATGTTATTAACTTGCAGGATGTATCCTTCTGCCTGATGTGATACGATCTCCGCAAACTGCTAGCGGTCTTCTCCTGTACAGTACTTCTTCCTTACAAACTCTCCTGTACGGATCACACGCTCTCCCTCAAAGTCGGACGAGAATGTGCGCTCAAATAGCTTGATCTCCAAGTTGTTCTTGCCCACTCATGCTGGAGGACAACCTGCCTGCAGTTCGGTATCGGTGGAAGAACTCGGACCCCTGACCCCCAACCGTTCGCTCCTGTTCATCATCACGCTTCGTTGATCGGGGTCAGGCTTGCCAGCCTTAATGCACTCTCGTGATTTCTCCTATGAATAATGTATGTCTTTATAAGAGCCTCGTCCCAGATGGCGTAGACGGCACGGCGACCACACGTTGTCCTCAACCACCAGGATGGTCTCGATTACCGCTACGCTGCTCGCTTGCCTTACCCTGTTGTCCTCGGTGCTGTCCGCCCCGGTTGAACTCCGTTCAACCTCTCTGGAATCCAGGCAGACTGCTCAAAGCGCGCCGCATTGGGTGTTGTACTGGGACCAGGTGAGAAATTGCATGCCCGATGCCGATACTGGCTAACCCTTAGACTAGTGGGTCAATGGGGAGAATGGACCTCCCTCTCCTTCAACCATATATGTGCGTGCAATACTCAAGTAGCCCTCGCATTTGTCATCTGACACGTAGTCAGGGCTTCAACGTCTTGTGCGCAGTCTGCGTTCTTTCCCTGGTAGCACCCTTCTCACAGGCCCACAGTATCTTGTCCTTCTTGTTGAGCACCGGACCCGCAGACCAAGTACTGGAGTGGACGTACCTCAGCAATGACACCCGAGCATCTATCAAGTCGGAGTATGAAGCTGCTGGCATCAAGCTCATGGTTTCTGCTTTCGGTGCAACCGATGCTCCAACGACGAACGGTAGGTCGTCATTGATGCATATATGTATGCTGTTCTGATGAATTGGGTAGGATACGATCCTGTGAGTCTTGCAACTACGATGGCACAGTTCGTGCTCGACTATAACCTGGATGGAATCGGTATGATCGGATCATATCGGCAAGCATATATGCTGGAGTAACTGTCTTCTAGATATCGACTGGGAAGACTTCACTGCCATGAATAAACAGAATGGACAGGCCGAATACTGGCTAATCAGCTTCACCGAGACCTTACGGTCGATCTTGCCGGCGGGTCAATATATCATCACCCATGCTCGTACGTCTCATTCCAACCAAACTGCAGATGCTGTCTGATGAGACCCTCAGCGGTTGCACCATGGTCAGAATATGTGCGCATGACGTGGGTCTGATTCTGATGACCGCGATCAGGTTCACGCCCGGAGATTATTATCCAACTGGGGCCTATACTATTGTTAACGAGAACGCGGGATATGCTATCGATTGGTACAATATCCAATTCTACAACCAGGCAAGTCCGCAGAACGATGTGGAACATCACGTCTGATACCATTTTCAGGGTGCGACCGAGTACACTAACTGCTCCTCTCTCCTGTACGAATCATCCACCACATGGCCGTATACAGCACTCTTCCAGCTCAACTCCGTGGCTGGTGTGCCGCTCGAGAAGTTGGTAATCGGAGTGAGTGATCTCCAGATCGAACCATTCCTCGCGGCTAAATTCTCTCGCAAGAAACCGGCAGAACCTAGTGACGCTTCTAATGGTTGGATCGATCCTGCTACACTTGCTACGTGCGTCAAGGAAGCCGTCAATGGAGGGTGGTCCGCTGGGGTGATGACGTGGGAGGTCAGTCCAGTTTCTAATAGCAACCTTGGCCATTCAAATGACACAACTCAGTATCCCGACGCAAGCGCCAGTTGGATTGCAACAGTGCGGGCTGACAGTTTCCCCGTGTAACAGGAGTTTGCACCGCCAGAGAAGCGGGCTCGTGCGGAACATGCAACGCCCTGAGCACTCGTTCAGGATGCACTTTCCCTAGTTACCCATACCAGATTTTGATCATGATCATGAAATGAAACAGTCGTGTCTCGCAATGATCAGAGTGATCAATCAGCTGACGAGAAGAAGCTGATTGACATGTGCCACGAGAGACTGTTTCCGCGGAGAGAAGCTGCTTGTGCGCGTGTGTTCTCAGGGGCTACTTGTTTCTGCTTATCAAGACTGTATTGGTCGAACGACACCAACGTGTGGGGTTTTCTTACCACTATCTTATTCTCAACTGATGATCCGGGACGGGCTTCAAGAAACGTGAGGGTGGCCATTTCAGCTTGTTTTCAGGGGTTGGATAACGTGTACTCGCATATCTTGTGTTCGGCGACACAATCTACATCCATACGGGCGGCTAGACTTCTCTGACAGATTTTGGTCTTTGCTTTCCTCTGCAGCTAGCGTAATACTTTGGGAGGGTGATGTGCTTATCTGGTGAAAATGTGTGTCTTCCTATTCAGGAACACCATCTCGCTGCGATAATGAAGTCGTTTGACTTTTGTCACCCTTTGCATGGACTCTTTCAGCAGAGACAAGTGTCTTATCTTCTGCATCCCGCATAGGAGAATTATTCCACGGGACGTCTGTGTTCATCTATCGGGGTGGCCCACCTTCGATCCCGTTGCAGTTCTCAAATGGGGAGCCTAGGCCTTAGCTTCTACAGGTTTCTCAACCTCCTGAGCGGACTATCTTCAGGAGGTTGGACGCGGTAACACGTTGCGCATACCCGGGAGGTATGTCCCCTTTACCGGCGGCGTGTGCTCTGAGAAGAAATCTTCCTTGGCCGTCTGCGGTGGGCGCATGAACCAACGTTCTTTTCCTCTTCGCTGGCGAGCATGTCTCCTACCCGGGACCGTTCTGAATGGCTTCGCCAACCTCGGACGATGGTGCGTGATATCTGCTATACTTCATTCGTGGAGGATCAATACCTTTTTCATGCCGAACAGTGCTATTGGCACATTGTCGAGGTAGGCGATTGTGTGGGCGAGGACACGTATGGAATTCGTGAAAGGGGTAGTTGAGAGCTCTGAAGCGCATAAATTGCGACAGATGAGAGGGTTTCCACTCAGCGGCACGAGTGACACTCCCAACTACCTTTGACCGAGCTGCGATGGTATCCGTGTCTTTTGTCTTCCTTGCCGCCTTTGGCATCGTCACCGGTGTGCTTGCCGCTCCGGTCGAGCTCATACAGAAGAGGCAGAGCGCCCAGGCTGCTCCGCACTGGGTTGCGTATTCCGACAAGGTATGTTAGCAACGAGAAAATAATTAATGAGCTGACTTCATGTTCTTGCAGTGGGTCTCTGGAGAGAACGGCCCTCCCGCCCCATCCGTTATCAATGTACGTGGCCATTTTCCCGGGAAGGGCAGCAGATCTGATGATTATGACAGGGATTCAACGTCTTGTAAGTGTAACACGCTCACGTAACATGCGCGTGCCCTTCATGCATCTCATGCAGCATCCTTTCGTTCTTGATGACTTCCGGTGCGGCGGACCAGGCTCTGGAATGGACCACCCTCGATTCAGCGACAAGGGCCTCGATCAAGTCTGAGTATGCTAATGCTGGGATGAAGCTTCTCGTGTCGGCATTTGGATCCACCGATGCCCCTACTTCTGAAGGTGCGTAGCTTTGGGTGCTAGTTTTGCGGTGAGAACCTGACCGATACATAGGATACAACCCTACGAGTCTGGCCAATACTATGGCAGCATGGGTGAAAGAATATGATCTTGACGGCATCGGTATGCTGACTTCATAAGATTGAGCCCAATCTTACGCAGTCATTACGTACCAGATGTGGACTACGAGGACTTCAACGCGTTCAACTCAGGCACGAACGAAGCCGTGACCTGGCTTGTTACTTTCACGCAAGCTCTGAGGGCTGCACTCCCCGCTGGGCAGTACATCATCACCCATGCTCGTAAGCACCGTTTCTTCGAGGCTGGGAACCGGGGAGCTTAGGAAGCTGCATAGCTGTGGCGCCATGGTTTAGCAAGTCCCAGTACCCAGCCGGCAGCTACCTCGACGTAAACACCCAAGCTGGCGGGGATATCGACTGGTACAACATCCAGTTCTACAATCAGGTGCTTATGACCCAGGTTAAGCACATCAGGTTGCTGACAACGAATGACAGGGCTCAACAGAATACACCACCTGTGCCGGCCTGCTGACGGCGTCTTCCTCAAGCTGGCCCAACACCGCGCTCTTCCAGATCAACGCATCAGGCGTGTCGCTCAACAAGCTCGTTATCGGCGTACGTCTACCTCCCACCTTACTTACGCGTCAGCCATTGACCAAACGCAGAAACCGGCCAATTCTGGGGATGCCAGTACCGGCTATATGAGCACCTCTACTCTCGCCAGTTGTGTCCAGCAGGCTCAGGCTCAGGCTCAGGGCTGGGAGGCGGGCGTCATGACCTGGGAGTATCCTGATGCCGCAAGCGCATGGATTGAGGCCGTGCGGGCTGACTCCTGGCCCGTGTAGGCTCCTACCGCTCTAACGCAATCGACCCGTGCGAGTGTGCAGAGAAGTGTTTGGGTCGAGAACAAATTTGAAGGCCCTTAGTGTTTGATCGAAAGTTACATGAAATGGAAGTGTACCAAATATGAAGTATTTTTTTGCCAAAGGATCCAAGCCAATCCATGGCAAGGACGACGTTCTACACAAATGCACGTGAGCTCGATGCGATAGAGAAGTGTACGGAGGACGCACGCCACGCTGGATCTGCCAGCTAAGCAGGATACGGGACGGGCCAACACCGTGCTTGGTTGCGATCTCGTTGATCTACATTCTCATCAGCCAGTCCGGAACCCTCACAACCACAGCAGGCGCACAATCGGATCAGCCAAGATCACCTTCGCCCTCTCCCCGCTCCCAAGGGGAGAATACGCCTCCAACAGCTGACCATTCTCCTTCGCCCACTGTGACCCCTCAGCACTGTCCTCCAGAGCAAGGGATACAGCGCACCTGGACAAGCCCATGCTGTGGCCAATGGAAGTTCATCTCCACCTGGTTGACGGCCGGCTGGACCTTGGCCTGTGAGAGCAGGTGCTTCCACTTGCGTATGTTGAAGCTACTAATCCCGATATGTCGTGCACTGCTGCCTCCCTACCAGTGCCCCAGACGTCAGTCCTGCGCATTGCAGGGAAGGAGAAGACATACAGTACCGACAAGAGCCTCCATAGCGCGCCAAGTAGTCACATAGTCCTCTGTAAGCGCATAGTCCACCACCAGATTCCCGTCCTTGTCCTTCGGCCTATCTCCAGGCTTCCCATCCGCTCCAAGGCCGAAAGCCACGGGCCTGCAAACCAAACGCATAATATTCAACCATTGTTGAGCATAGATCACTCGCGTGTCATAGGAAGAGCGCACCAATGCATCAAGTACAAGTCCAGATATTCCGCATTCAAGTTCCTGACCGAAAGCTGATACCTGCCTTCATCAGCCAAGAGTTCAGACACACAGGAAGACAGAAAGGACATACATAGCCTCCCCGTCCTCAGGCCTATGATACCCGTTCCACAGCTTGCCCGTGATCCACAGTTCTGAGCGGGGGATCCCAGAATCTCGGATCGCGGCTCCTACTTCTGCCTGTGCCGGTCAGTGCCCGACTTGCGAACGGGCGTGGGTGGGCGCACCTCATTCCCGTAGATGTAGGCGCTTGGGAACGTGAGCACGAATTGGGGGTGAGAGAGAGAACGCACCAATTGATATGCCTATACCCAGTCCGGAGCGCATGGGCAACCGCGTTACCTACTTGTCCCTACGACGATACCGTCAGCACCCCGCCGATGTACTTTCAGAGTTCTGGCTTGCGCCAGAGAAGTGACACACCTTCGCTGCTTGCCAGGTGCCAAACCCCAGTGAAGGGATAAGAGCGCCGGTAAAGAGCTTGAAATACGTTGGCAGTCCACCGGAGAGGGACATCTTCCTTACAGCAACAGCTTAGAGGATGACAGTAAGGGAAATGGTTGGCGCCAGGGTTCTTGCTCATTGTTGGCCAATATTGGTTGGAATGGGTGGAAGATTGGTTTCTGTGTTGACGAGCGGAACAAGTCATCGTGTCCCTTCTCGTAATGATTGAATTCATGCGATTCAGACTCAAATACGAGTTACATAAAACGAAGACTGTACATCCAATATTTTCGGTTCTATCCAAGCACATTTCTCACAGAGGCACTAATATCGCCGCCGCTCACTGCTTCCAATCCTGGAAGATATCCAAACCTCCCCATTGAGGGTCAACAACCCGCGCCTTGTTGGGGTAGGCAGCGCTCATCTTCTCCATTTTCTGGAAGTCTTCCTCCGCGAGCTTGAACAGGAAGAAGTTGTCTTCTATGCGAGCGGGAGTAACGCTCTTAGCGAGGACGACGTTCTACGTTATATCATGTCAAGATCGGAGCTCATACAGGGAAGCGGAGGACGTACACCGCGCTGGATCTGCCAGCTCAGCAGGACACGAGAGGGCGAAACCCCGTTCTTGGTCGCGATTTCCACTACGGTTGGGTCCGCAAGGAGTTCCTTGGATTTGGCGCCACTGCCGAGAGGGGCGTACGCCTCGAGCTGCTGGCCGTTCTCTTTCGCCCACTGCATTCGTTGTTAGTTCAGTTCGTGGTATGAATCAGGTAAGAAAACGCACCTTGACGAGCTCGGGCTGGGGCCAGGCAAAGTTCATCTCGCACTGGTTGACGGCAGGGCGGGTCTTAGCCTCCGAAAGCAGATGCTTCCATTTCCTGATATTGAAGTTGCTGATGCCGATATGGCGTGGTGCGGTCTCACTCTACCAATAGGGAGGAAGCGTGAGTAATTGTCGGTTCATGAGGAGAGCAAGAGGGACGTACACCATCGACGAGCTGCTCCATCCCGCGCCAGGTGGAGACGTAGTCGTCCGTTAGGGCGTAGTCGACGAGGACGTTGCCATCTTTGTCCCTTGGGTAATCCATAGGCTTCCCATCCGGGCCGAGAGAGAAGGCGACCGGCCTGGCTCGGTCTCAGTTCCGTTCCCCGGGAGAAAGAAGAGGAAGAGCATACCAGTGAATAAGGTACAGATCCAGATATCCCGCATTCAAGTTCTTCGTTGTCTGGTGATATCTTCCCCGCCGTCAGCACTCGCCCACAAGAAGAGGAAACGACGGACTTCTCAGCAACGTCCTGCGGCCTGTGGTAGCCGTTCCAGAGCTTGCTCGTGATCCACAGTTCGGAACGCGGGATCCCAGAGTCCCTTATCGCGGCTCCTACTTCGGCCTACACCAAAAACTCGTCAGCTTTTGCTCCAAAAGCTGAAGTGATGAAGGCAGGGAGGGGAAGGGTGGGGGTACCTCATTGCCGTAATCCCATGCGCTGCTCCACAGTCAGCGTCATGTCTGCAAGAAGGGGTGCAAGATGCGTACCAGTCGATATGCCTGTAACCTGTACGAAGCGCATGTGCAACGGCGTTCCCCACCTGGCCTTTTGCTGCCTGCCAGGTGCCGAACCCGAGGGAGGGGATGAGTGCGCCTGTGTAGAGCTTAAAATGGGTTGGTAGTCCGCCTGCCATTGGGTGTATATTCTAGTACGGGGTAATGGTGGGGGGGGGAGGAGGAGGAGGGGAAGGGGAAGATGAGGGAAAGGAGGGGGAAACATGTTGCCTATTTATGTACTTTCTATGTTGAGGACCGGAGAATGGCCAGAGATGGAGGGCGCGCCGACCGTTCACTTTTACTCCGGCAACGGCGAGTGGTTGTGCAGGCCAGACATCAAAGGGTCCAAGGGTCTAGATTGCCTTTCTTGGTCACCCGCCCGCCCAATCCCGTCTCATCGGCGCTGCGAGTGGCCCGCCTCTGCCTACAATGCTTGACTTGCACAACGACCCGCTTTCACCGAGTGGTCCATACCACAGTTTCCCCGGATGGAATGGTTTCAGTGGTAGAATGCATCGCTTTCCTCGTTGTTCTTTAACTAGAGTACAATGTTGCAGCCTTCTTTACACCTTTCCGAGCCATAACACTGTCGTTCCTCACTTCCTCACCGCACTCATTCCGCCCTCCACGGATTCGGCCTCTGGCCCAAAGCCGGATCCCGGCCCTGCATCTGGTCCGCCGTATGCTCTAGATTCTCCCTCAAACGCGCCATAGTATCCTGCGCGTCGCCCCTAGCGGCCTGTGCCTCACCCGCAGCTTGCACACTTTCAGCACCAAGCGCTTCCCCGATGGTGGAACGCACGTCCCCGATGGTCTTGTCGATCGAGGCGTCGACATGGGAGGGTTGGGAACTTGTGTAGTTGCCCGAGCTCGGGGCGGCGTGGTGGAAGAAGTTGGACGCAGCCTGCGTTGCCTGCACCCAAGCCAATCCGTCAGCGTGAGTCAGCTGGTTCTTCGAAGAGAAAGGACGAACATGCTGGAAACTCTTCTTGATACTCTCCTTGATCTCCTCAGGCATCTCGTACCCACTCTCGCTCAAACCCGCCGACTCACGCGCCCAGGGCTGCTTGTCCTCGCGCTCGTTTGACGACATTCTTCTTTCCAAATTCCGGTTCTTCGAACTTGAATACTCGATGTTGGTGTAGGTGGTCGACAACGATTAAGGAGTCTTGGGAGGCAGACCCTGCACCTTCCAAGCGCTTTAAGTACCCTCTGCAAGCCACAAGGCTACAGACCCAGAACGGTACATCGAACACCACGCTCGTGATCCGTGACGTCACATGAACGAAGCCGGTGGCACCGGCGCGGGTGCACCCGGGGGGGAGAGGCTGGGGCTGTGCCAATTTCACCCGTGGGAATGTTGGATTAGTAATTTCTCCTTGTTCAGCTCGTTTGGGTAATTCCGAACCGACTCCGACTTGCGCCTCGGTCGAGAGCCATTGGCCGATTCAGACGAATCCTGATGCACCTGGCTCGGTCGGCAAGTCCGACCCAATGCTCGGCTCCGGCGTTCCCCGCGCCGAAGACCCTGAGGGAAAAGTGGGGAAGTCAGTTCGGGCGAATGACCTCCACGCTGCTGCAGGGCGGGGGAACGTATAGCCCCGGTCACCATCACCGCTCATCGGTCACTGTCAACACCAACTGTCGACGTCGAGCTCGGTGTTTGATAGCGATTAGGATGACTGCTTGAGATGACTACAGGACCGCCGCAGCCATCTAGAGCTGAGCAATATGCTTCCAGGAACAGCGGGAATGGAGATACAAGGATGGACGAAGACCTGATCCCTCTCACGGGCCAGACGGCACCTCCTCCCCTTCCCCCTTCACCCCCACACGTACCCCAACGTTGGAGGGAAAGCGAAAGCTACCAAGTGCTCATGCGTATCCCTCTCGCCGGAGTGTCCAGTCCGTCTCTCCCCTCCTCCCTCGAGCAACTCTCGCTCACGTGGTGGCAGACATGTTCTCCTCCGCACTTACCAACCCGGTGGACATAATCAAAGTACGTCAACAGCTGCGCACCTCCCCCTCTTTGCCCGGAACGTTCTGGGCCATCGGAAGCCAGATGATCCGGACCGAGGGCCCGCTCTCGCTCACCAGGGGCATATTAGCGGGCGTCATGCGGGAGAGTATATACGGCACGATCAGGTTGGGGACGTACGAGTTCTGGAAGGAGACGTGGAAGCGATTGAGCGCAGGGAGGCTGGATGAAAGGGGACTGCCGTTGAAGGTTATGAGCGCGCTGACGAGTGCGGTTGTCGGCGCGTCCGTTACTCTTCTCGGGGTTCCTGCAAAGACTAAGGCGCCAGTAGATCACTGGCGAACCCGACAGACTTAGTGAAGAGTGAGCATTATGTCTCTCTCCTTTTACATTCACTAACCTTCATCAGTTAGGATGCAAGCCCCCTACCCCCCCGGCCATCCCCCACCATACCGGTCCACGCTCTACGCCTTCCGCTCCGTCTACCTCGAAGGCGGCGGCACCCTGCTCGGCGGCATGCGTTCCCTCTGGCGCGGCACGGGGCCCACAGTCGCGAGAGGGATCGTCATCTCTGTGAGCCAAATCGTCGGGTATGACCAGTGTAAGCAGACCTTGAAGTATGGCATGGGGTGGGGGGAGGGGCTGAGGCTGCATCTGGCTGCGAGTTTGTTTGCCGGGTGCGTCGATTGTCCAGCCGAGAAGCATTGACTGATCCTCAAGCAGCCTGCTATGTTCGATCACCTCCAACCCGGTGGATGTTGTCAAAGTCCGGATAATGAACGATTCAAACCGACAATATCGATCCATCCTCCATTGCGTGGGTACGATCCTGCGGAACGAGGGGACCACAGCGTTCTACAAGGGGTTCATGATGTGCTGGGCTAGGGTGCGTTTGCGACTGGTTTCGTGCAGGCAGGTGCTGATTAGTTGAGCGTAGTTGGGAAGCCATACAGTGGTGACGTATTTGATCTTTGAGAGACTGAGGATGTGGGCGGGGGTGAGACCGATGTAGACGATGTAGAGCAGAGTGTATGGACAAGGTTGGATTGCGGGAGAGTGTCGGTGGGTTATGCGACGCATGACGTTAGACGCGGGTACATACCGTTCATAGACAATTCACATCAGCATTGATGATGACTAACCATATTGCGTGGTGGGTGAGTAGTATCTCCGACGTATTCGTCCCAAACAAGCAAGCTTCCAACTCCAATTAATGCAAACTCGGTTGATGTCAGGGCTGAAAAGGCTGACTCATACCGTCCATGCGGTATAAAGTCGGGCACTTCCTCCTACTTCCCTCTCACCGAACAGCGTCCATGCGCACTTGGACACTCCTCTTCTTCTGTTCTTGCTAGACTAGTTCGAGTACCGTCAGACTGCTGTCTTTCTGGCTGGTATTCGCTTTCATTTCTAGCCTTGATTAATCGTCTTTGCTGCTTATCAGTCGTACAACCTTTGCTGCTGTCAGCTGTATCTCCTTGTTCGTGCCAGCAGTTCATCAACTTGCCTGCTATCAACTGTCAATACACCGCATCCATGGCAGACGTCGAGAAATCCGCATCTCCCCCCCCTGAAGCCCTGGCAGTCCAGGAGATTCACTCACGCAAGCTCGGCCTCTCCACATCCTACGAATCCAAAGTCGCCCTCCTGAACTGGCACATCACCCACGAAGTCGGGTTCGGTAGATTCCAATGGACGCTCACTGCTCTGGCTGCATTCGGCTGGTTCGTTGATAACGCCTGGTTTCAGTGTGTGTATGTGGCGACGCCTGAGGTGCAATTGGAGTTTGATATCGCTTATATTGGATGGGCGAGCTTGGCTCTCTATGCGGGGTTGATAGTGGGCACATTCGGTTGGGGCATCGTTTCAGATATCGTGGGACGTCGACTTTGCTTCAATACGACATTGTTGGTCAGCTCCGTATTCGGTCTCGCGGCTGGAGGGGCAAACAAGTGGGTTTATTTGTGCATATAGACGGAACGTGGCTGATTTCAAGTTGGAAGTTATGTGACGTTCTGCGCGCTTCTCGCATGCACCGGTCTCGGGGTTGGGGGCAACATCCCCGTTGACTCTGCCTTGTACTTGGAGTTCATTCCAGGGTGCGGTCCTTCTCCTCTCTCTCCTTCCTCCCCTGCTGACCTCGATTGCAGAACGCACCAATGGATGCTAACATTGCTGTCAATGTTCTGGTCTCTCGGTACGCTCTTCGTAGCCCTCATCGGATGGGGGTTCATCGCTACGTACTCCTGTGCCGGTGCGCCCTGCACGCGGGAGAACAACATGGGATGGCGTTATGTGTACGTCGTAAGCCGTCTACCCTCAGACGGACGTTGACAACCGATATGTAGCTTCTTCACCACAGGCTCGGTGGTGTTCGCCATGTGGATCCTGCGATTCTTCGTTTACCGAATCCCCGAATCCCCCAAGTATCTGATAGCACGTGGTCGAGATGCCGAAGCCGTTTCAGTAGTGCACTATATGGCAAAGCAAAACGGCCGGATCTCCACCCTTACGCTCGAGAAACTACGCGCGGCAGCAGGAGAGAGCGTTGATGACCTCTCCCTGAACCAAGCTGAGTTGTCCCCCACGTCGTGGACCACTGGCAAGTCGCTGTGGGAGATGACACGGCAGAGCCTGGCCCAGTTCAAGTTTGGGCATGTGAGGGCCTTGTTTGCTACCTGGAAGATAGGAAGCAACACCCTCTTGCTCACTCTTCTCTGGGGCCTCATTGGAGCTGCCTCGCCGCTGTACAACGCCTTCATTATCGTCTTGTGCGTTTCTCTCCTCTGAGATGCCACAAGCTAACGAAAGCTACAGCATATCAGAGAAAGGCGCCGAAGTCGGTCAATCAAGCATCTACACTACGTACCGGCAATACGCCATCACCTCCACCGTCGGAATCCCCGCTGCTATCATCGCCGCGGCGCTTGTTGAGCTGCCGCGTTCGGGGAGGAAGGGCGCTATGGCTTTGTCCACCGCTTTGACAGGCGTGTTCTTGTTCCTTTTCACTACATCTAGGAATGCGGAAGGGATATTGGGGTGGAACTGCGCGCTGAGCTTGACGCAGGATATCATGGTGCGTCGTCCAGGTATGATATGCTCACAATGTGCTTACTCTTCGATCTTAGTATGGAGTCATATATGCATACAGTTGAGTGGGTTTCATTGGTCGTGGAAAATAACTGACATCAATTCCTCTAGCTCCGGAATCCTATCCTGCGCCTCAGCGCGGAACAGGCTATGCCATCTCCATGACTTTCAACCGCATCATGGGTGAGTATGGCCCACCAGTCTATCGGGTTGAGAACTGACTCCTGCTCACAGGCGTCGCCATGCTCCTCATTGGTCGATTCATGGAGATCACGCCCACCAAGCCGGTCTACGTCTCCGCATCCCTCTTGTTGGTCACAGCAGTGCTCATGCTGCTACTACCGATCGAGACCGGGAACGGACGTATGGCCGTCTGAAACATGATTACTGTCTTGTCCATAGTATCTATAATAGAATTACAAATGTTGTTGTCCCGTCATGTCATTGTCCTGTCTGTCCTGTCTGGGTCATGTCCGAGCAGCAGTCATCTTGTCCATCTCACGCTGGGCAAGATCAGCACGCGTCCGCAGCCAGCTGCCAAAATTGCTGCATCTGAGGAAGTGTTCGTAGAAATCACGCTGGCCACCGCCCTGCACGCGAAACTTGAGAGGCGAACCGTGCGTCTTGAGTGACGCCATGAAATGAGGGGTATTGAATGGTTTGAGGGTAAGTGGTGTTGATGAGGCAGATCTGTCAATTGGAGTTATGTGAGGCGTGGAAATACTGAAAGGAAATCACGTACGCATCTGTGGGTATCAAGCTACCAAAATAGCGATTGAGAGGCACGAGCAGCTTCTCCGTCTGTTGCAAGAAATGTATGCGTAGCAGCCTCGAGCACTCATCGTAGTTTCGTGCTCGGATGCCATCCTCAAGTGTCTTGAGAAGTGCGCGATCCTTGGAAATGTACCGTTTGTGTTTGGAATGCCAGCCTGGGGATGGGCCGAGCAATGTTCCTTGTGTGGGCATGTCGTTGTGTCCATTCCCATTTCTTTTTGTGAAGGGTGCGGTTTGCCTGCCATCCCACCCCTTGCGACCACGACGTGCAACACTGACGACAGTAACCCATGAGTAGATGCACACCAAACACTGCAGGATACTGTATTAACACACCTGCCATCCTTCGTCAAGCTCAAGATATGTGGCCAGTGCTTGCACGCCGTCTCAAAGAACGGGTTCGTCACGCCCAAAATGAGCCCGGCAGCCGGATGTTTCTTCGTGACCAACGTCCGAAAATCCGTGTCATGTATAGTGAAGAATGGGCGGAAGTCGCCGGCGAGCGGAATGGGTCGGATGAGATCTCGAAGCCACCAGACAGCATCACTGCAAATACGCGCATTGGAGGCGTAGATGAGGATGGGCTCGCCCAGGATCACACATTCCCAGATCGACCATAACGAGGCGATGGCTGCGCTGAACACCTCGACTGGGGGCGATGGCGGGATGGAGGCGAGGATCTGAAAAGTTATCAGTTTCACAACGGATCCGTTGTCACATTACTACTCACATGGGTATGAGGCTTAAACACATCGGTGAAAGATGCCGTCTCCACAGACTGCTGTTCCTCCCCAAATGCTGGCAGCTCGGTCTTCAACACCAATCCCAAAAACCCTAGCTCCAGTGTCACCCCAGGCTTTGGATCCGGCCATCCTGCGATATTCCTGCAAGCTGTTTCGAGTAAGGGGCTTCCATGCTTGAAGTACGCTGGTCCAAGTTTGGAAGCTGTTTCAAGGAAGAGCGAGACGTGTGGGTGGTGGCTGAGGAAGACAATGGACTTTTGAAGGTAACCCCGACGCATTTGGGGATCACGCTTCTGCATAAAAAGCGCGAAGCCATAGAGATATCCATCGATGGATGGGGGATGATTATGAGAGGCAGACGGTGGATCTCGTATGCGGAACGAGTGTGAATCTGAGCCAGTGGTGAAGGATGCAGAGTCCGGAAAGGCGGAGAATGCACTATCACATCATCAGCGGAGACCTTCCATAACGACATATCAATGCGCACATATTCTCCCTTTGCTTCTCCGAGAACTCTACGGGTGGATACACATGATGCAACATTGGCCCAACATCGAGGTCAAAGTTGACAACTGCTACGCACAAAATCCATCGCTGGATCTTCACCACCTCTTCTGCCGTCAATGGAGCAGGCTCCAGTGAATAATCTATGCTCTTGAAGTAGCTTCCAGGTAGCGTTCGTGATCTTGAATGTATTGGGCTGAGTAGAGGACTGAGCGGTGATCGACGAAGCAAGTCGACAGGACGCTGTAAGTCCGGTGATGAGGGCGACGAACCCAGGCCAAGCTTCAGCTCTGGATAGAGTCTTAGCGCCCGCTTGGGCTGCAGAGTCCTGCGAGCAGCTGGGCCAGGAACTGATGTTGATGTTGTTGGGGATAAACTGAGTCCCAGACCCAAGTCTTGTTCCTCGTCGTCTGGCTCGTGATCCGAATTGCGCGCAGAGGTGGACGAAGACATGATGCAATCTGGTGGCGTGGTATTCGAGACGGTGTGATGTTGTGCGTCGGATTAGATATAGAGAGATCACTGACTCCCGGTGCTTGTCATGGTCGTCTTGCATCCAGCAGACAGCCGACGACCATTGAGCCCACCGTTGACTTGTAGCAGCACCACACTTCTCTTCAGGGCGCCGGTTGTTTCACCCTGAAATCGATTTGAATTGGACAAACTCTCATCATTGTTCTGTCCGAATAGGTGTCTGTCACGACATGAGCGTCATCAAATTGGACCGACACATTGGGCGCTTTGATTAAAGCACTTCTGGTCACGGTACTACTACGGGTGCTGCTCCAGCACAGACTACGACATAAATACAGCGGGTGGGCAAACAGCTATGAATCATGACGAAATAAGAAACGTTTTGATGCCCTTGACAACAAGAATTGGCATGAATGCAACGTAACAAGAGAGAGTGTGGAGAGGCAACGACACCACTCAAACCGAAATGAGAAAGTCATCTCATTAAATCTTTGATTGGCCTCCGATCCACCATTCAGCTGGAATGGCAGTCTAATTGCAATTAGCTGACGAGGTCGCTTGCATAAAATCACATAACCGTACCTTAACCTCTAGCAGTTTGGCATAGGCCGCATCCCCGTCCCAAGCGTTCTCACTGAGGACAGATAATGTAGCAGGTATAACAAGCCCTGTGACGTTTGAGAAGGTCGTCGCCAATTCTCGCTGACCGGGCGTCTGTGACCAGTCAACATTCGATACATTAGTGTACACAGAAACCACACTTACCAGGGATGCCATTTCCGGTGGGACTTCAGCAGGACCATTTAACGTGGGCCCTGCTGTGGGTGGCTGCTGTCCAGGGGGTAATGGTATCTGCTGCGGAGGTTGCTGGGGCTGGGACACAGCAAATCCAGTTGACATTAGTTGAGGTTGTTGGAAGGCGGGTTGCTGCTGGAATGTGGCGGGTGGCGCAGGCATTCCGAAAGCATTAGAAGACGGAACAGCCTGGAATGGGTTGGCGGCAGGTTGGGAGGGAATAGTCGTAATAGTCGCAGCTGGTGGTGCGGTGTTTCCACGAGGGGGAGCTGGAAGACCACGAGACCATGGTTTTCGCATCCACTCCTCCTCTTGGGTAATCATTGGCCCTGGAGTCCAGATGGAGGAGGACGTTGTCCGACGAATCATAAGCATATCAGACATGACAAGAACGTTCATCCCAATCTTTTCCGCACTGTCATGCTCATTAATAGGCGAACTATCTTGGGACAGTGTTTACTTACCTAGATCCAGGAGGGGCGGTGACGAAGACAAAGGCGCGGGTGAAAGAGAATACAACATCTGTGTGGGCTAATGATTTTGTCAGATCGGGATCGCAACATATGCAAGAGACTCACGTTCGGTGAATTCGCCATGGACAGACACCTCAAGCATGTCGCCGGTCCCCATATCCGGCAACAGGGTCGCATCAAATACGAATTTACTGCCATCTTGCAGGGGATGTTGACTCGGCGGCAAGTCGTTAAATAGCTGTAATATGCTAACATGTCCGACATGAAGACCCGCTGCACGCTGCTGTGCGCCAGTAGCGAACCTAAGGTCACGAGACCTAATAGTGGTTTGCATGTTTCTCAGTAAAGGGGGACTGGCGGCCGTGCCCTTTTCTGGCTGATACCGGATGGCTATTTGTCGTGGAGGAAGGGAAGGGAGGGCGGTGAATGAAAAGGTTGCGCTGGGATGATATGCGTTGATTAAGCGCTCACGGTCGTTATCGTAAAAGGCGAAGAATCTGCGGGTTGAGGGTCAGACAAACACTAAGGTCCAACATACCGTGGATGTCGTACTGAGAAAGAATACCTCCAATCATGTCACGTAGGTGCTCGTCTACTGAGCTTGAAGCCATTGGCAGAGGGTAACTGATGGGATAGGCCTGCCCATCAGGCCAAGCTCTTCGCCCAATTTGTGTGTTCTCCTGTATATCCCATGTAGCCCCTGGGATGGGCTGACCATCGACGACCTTAAGGGACCGTATGGCATTGGCCACAGTGCTGGGGTACGTCACTATCAATACTTGGTGTGCGTTCTGCATAACTTACTAGTAATATTGGTCGAGGTCTTTGTGCTGTTCGTAAACTTCGCGCAAATGGTTTCCAGCTAGCCATATCTCTTTCAAATGGCGGAGACCGCCGACACGATTTCGGGTGAAGAAGGACGATATGTCACCGAGACTATTGAGCTCGTTGTCCTTTAATGAGAGATTCCGGAGCTCAGGGAGAAACTGAGCTATTCGATGTACTTGTGCTTTTCCCATATTGTTTCTTGCAGCACTGATTGTCTGTACCTGTACGTCCATTACATTATCCCGCGGAATGAACGACATTGGGAGCGCACTGGGGGATCGAGTTCTCCAGCTGCTTTCCAGAGCGCATCTGCGAGCTTATCCTGTCCGTTAACTGAACTCCACTTCGTCATACCGCTTGCTCGCAATACTTGGTCGCCTAGTATATCCTTGTGCGATATCAGAATCCAGATGCAGAAAACACACTGAAGAGCTCACATCGAAAGCAAGGAACTGTGCCGCGGGATTGTACTTTCTTCGCACGAAGTCCTGGATTGCCTGGACGTGCTGTGTATTTTCCACGGGCATCCGAATCGAAGCATCGGCGGGCCTTCCTCGGCGATTCAGAATATCATATCTGCGAGAGCCCGGGCCGTCGTCCTTCGCACAGATTATCAGCATACAGTCAACTCTTTACAGATCATCTACCAAACTACTCACCATGTTTTGGTCCCCACCACGCAGTGCACTGGACCCTCCTCGCCGAGCGGATCCAACACCTGTGGATGCTCCTGCATCTCCGGAACCCGCCCCACTAATAGCGTTCTTGAGCTGCGTTCGACGCTTTGATTTGATTTCTTTCTCATGCCCTGTGACCGGCTGTGGTTCGCGGTATGCCCATTTCGCGTCCGCCATTGCTCTAAACGCGCAAAACGGTGCGTGAGAAGCTTCACAGACAGAGCAAACAGAAATCTGAGCAAAGCAGTAGACAATGTGCAAGTCTGACTATGCAGTTGCGGAGGCGTGAGTCCGGTAATATGCAGTTGAGAAGTGTAGAGCGCCACCACGAAGTGGTCGCATTGGGTTCACGATTTGTACTGTCAGAATGCTTCCGTAATGCGCTTCCGTTTCTGCAGCCTTGTCACTGCCACTTGCCCCTCCCAGTCATCTGCTGTTTTTAAAGACTCCTTTCTGAACGTCTTCGAATCATCAACAGTGCAAGGAAGCAAGGAGCCTACATCTCCATAGGTCTCAAACTAAGAACACGCATACAGCATGGTCGGTGAACTCGAGATGTCCGTTGATTCGTTCGGCGAAAATCAAGCCGTCCTCGTTTGGCGAAGGTGCGAAGGTCAACTTGGTTCAGTCGGAGGCTTATACAGATCGCAGGTCCATCAGGCATGCATCGAGCAATATTGACTCAACAGTCCTTGGAGCACGTCCTCTCCACGTGATGACGGGTGGTCGGCGAAGAGCTGTGAGCTTGGGAGGACACCAAGTTAGTCGACATACTTCACATTTATGACCTTGAGCTCTCCCCATCCTAAACTTATATGTTTGCTCATACTGCAACAACATATACGGCGAGCCGCGACCTTTGATGCTGTTCTGTTCGGAAAATTGGTCTCCCCAGCACTGATGAGACCTCAACGCTGTCGACATTGCTGTGGATCTGTTCCTACCATTCTTATCTCCGAAAGCACCCGCCTTCTTTTCCACTCTATTTCTGACGTAAACTGTCCCTGTGCATTCTTCCGTGTTTCGATGTATATGCTTTTCCTCCTCAACCCTGCTCCGCAATATTGACAGCATGCCCGGTAGAAATCATGCACTCAATCCGCCAATCAGGTGTGCGAAGAGCTGGAGCTCCCTAAATATGGAAGATAGCCCGGCAAAACTCCGTTGTGGTCGCAGGGGCTGAGATCACACCCGGTGGAGGTGATTCTTTCGACGACCTGGCATGTGCATAAATACCGTGGAACTCCACAACAGCGTCCTGCCGTCCTGCCATCCTCGCCAGTAACTATCCTCATGGCAAACGCAACTCAGCCTCCCGTTCAGTATGTCCGCCTCGGCAACAGCGGGCTGCGTGTCTCTGTGCCTATCGTAGGCTGCATGAGCTTCGGCAGTCACGAATGGAGCGATTGGATCCTCGATGAGGACCAAGCCCTTCCGCTGTTGAAGGCCGCCTGGGATCGTGGTGTGACAACCTTGGATACGGCTAATGGTACACCTCTTTTACAAGACAGTATCATCTTGTTTGACTCATGGGTTCTCAGTGTATTCCAACGGCGAGTCCGAGAGGGTCATTGCCAAATTCCTCAAGAAGGTACGTCGCATTGAGCTTTGCAACTTGAATCGTATCTTACACGACACATAGTACAACATTCCTCGTTCGAAACTTGTGATCTTGTCCAAGTACGAGCTCACCATCACAATGCATTGAAAGCAGGGATGACCTCATGCATAGGTGTTTCTTCCTCTGCGCGGACGGACAGCCTGGGTTGTTCACTGGAAAGCACCCGGACCTTATGTGTGTTGTGATCATATCTGAGGATCCCTGTCGCATTCTGAGCACCTCAATAGCAACACCCGTGACTGGGTGAACCAATCTGGCTTGAGCAGGGAAGCCATCTTCAACCAAGTGGAAGGTTCCCTGAGGCGTCTGGAGACGGACTACATCGATCTTCTCCAAATCCATCGTTATGACCCTAACACGCCTGTGGAGGAGACGATGTGTGCGCTTAATGACCTTGTGCGCTCGGGGAAGGTGCGCTATATCGGAGCCTCGTCTATGTACGCATGGCAGTTCAGCGAGTACAACCATGTGGCCGGTACGTGATAATTGTGCTGCCTGGTGTGGAAGCGTGGCTGACGATCGCACAGAGAAGAACGGCTGGACACAGTTCATCAGCATGCAGAACCACTACCACCTGCTGTATCGCGAGGAAGAGCGCGAGATGATCCCCTACTGCAAGTACAAGGGCATCGGCCTCATCCCATGGGCGCCGCTCGCGGAAGGTCACTTGGCTCGCCCGCTGGACGTGGCACAACACGACGCGCAGAAGACGACCCGTACTGAGACGGCGGTGTTCAAGCGCACGCTGACCGACTCGGACAAGACCACCATCTCTCGGGTCGAGGAGCTCGCAAAGCAGAAGGGTGTCAAGATGGCCCAGATCGCGATTGCGTGGATCATGACCAATGTGACTAGCCCGATTATCGGAATGAGCAGCCCGAGCCGACTGGAGGACGCAATCCCTGTTGGGATTGAGCTGACCCCGGAGGAGATCAAGTACCTCGAGGAGTCATATAGTCCCAAGCGCATTGAGGGCCACGCGTAGAGATACAGCACCTTCTACGAAATGTACGGATACATGCAAAAATGAAACATGACACGGTTATTCTGGATGCTTGACTTTTGCCCATGTCTTGCCATTCTTGAACCTCTCCCCAACCCTTCTCCTGATCCACCTTCACCTAAAGGAACCCTAAGCACTGATAGCAGACTCATCTAAGAACATGATAATAATTCTGTGTACATTAATATTGCACACGCTGTTGTACAAAATCTAAAGGTTGATTACTATTTAACGACATTTTACGAGGGTACTCCACGGTGGGCGCTTGCCACCCAGGATTCGTTCTTTCTGATTCCTACGACGAGCGCACATGTACATACCGCGGGACTCCACGGCAGTATCCTGCCATCTTGTCATCTTGTCAACGTCTTGACCAGTCACCATCATCATGGCTAACGCAGCTGAGCCTCCTGTTCAGTATGTCCGTCTCGGTAACCGCGGGGACGGTGGCCTCTTGCCGCCCAGGATTTGTACTGTCTGATTCCTACGACGACCTTGCATGTACATAAATACCATGGGACTCCACAACAGCGTCCTGCCGTCCTGCCATCCTCGCCAGTAACTATCCTCATGGCAAACGCAACTCAGCCTCCCGTTCAGTATGTCCGCCTCGGCAACAGCGGGCTGCGTGTCTCTGTGCCTATCGTAGGCTGCATGAGCTTCGGCAGTCACGAATGGAGCGATTGGATCCTCGACGAGGACAAAGCTCTTCCGCTGTTGAAAGCTGCCTGGGACCGTGGTGTGACAACTTTGGACACGGCTAATGGTATGCATCTTCTACATGACAGTTTCATTTTGTTTGACTCATTTCTCAGCGTATTCCAACGGCGAGTCCGAGAGGATTATCGCCAAATTCATCAAGAAGGTACATCGCACTGAGCTTTACAGCCTGAACCATATCTTACGCGGCATGTAGTACAACATCCCTCGTTCGAAACTCGTGATCTTGTCTAAGTACACCTTCACCATCACAGCGCATTGAAACCAGGGCTGACCTCATGGATAGGTGTTTCTTCCTCTGCGCGGACGGACAGCCCGGATTATTCACCGGAAAGTTCCCGGACCTTATGTGCGTTTTGATGATCTCTGAAGATCCCATTCGTATTCTGAGCACCTCAATAGGAACACCCGTGACTGGGTGAACCAATCTGGCTTGAGCAGGGAAGCCATCTTCAACCAAGTGGAAGGTTCCCTGAGGCGTCTGGAGACGGACTACATCGATCTTCTCCAAATCCATCGTTATGACCCTAACACGCCTGTGGAGGAGACGATGTGTGCGCTTAATGACCTTGTGCGCTCGGGGAAGGTGCGCTATATCGGAGCCTCGTCTATGTACGCATGGCAGTTCAGCGAGTACAATCATGTAGCCGGTATGTGGTAGTCGTGCCCCGTGCTGCTCAGTCCCAGCTGAGGATCACCTAGAGAAGAACGGTTGGACTCAATTCATCAGCATGCAGAACCACTACCACCTCCTGTATCGTGAGGAAAAGCGCGAGATGATCCCCTACTGCACGTACAAGGGCATCGGTATCATCCCATGGGCGCCGCTCGCGGAAGGTCATTTGGCCTGCCCGCTGGACGCCCAACACAACGCGCAGAAGACGACCCAAACTGAGACGGCGGTGTACAAGCGCACGCTGACCGACTCGGACAAGACCACCATCTCTCGGGTCGAGGAGCTCGCAAAGCAGAAGGGTGTCAAGATGGTCCAGATCGCGATTGCGTGGATCATGACCAAGGTGTCCAGCCCCATTATCGGAATGAGCAGCCCGAGCCGACTGGAGGACGCAATCCCTGTTGGGATTGAGCTGACCCCGGCGGAGATCAAGTACCTCGAGGAGTCATATAGCCCCAAGCGCATTGAGGGTCATTGGTAGGGCTACAGCACATAAGATGTTGGTATACATGGAAAAAGGAAAGATGACACGGCTATTCTAGCTCATCAGGCTCGTCTTCCTGCAGCTGTCTTGCGCCTTCAAAAGGCAAGACGTACGGTGGTCTGCGTTTGATGAAGAATTCTGTTAGTGGGCGTAGTCGCTCGATCCTAACATCGTCAGCATCTCGTTAGCATGCATCTGTGGAGACATGCCCATCCTCGATGAGTCCCACACGAACATTCCGGAACACTTCGTCCCCTCGTTCGAAGATCGTCCAGAGCGTGCACCCACAGACCTTGCAAAAGCACTTGATCTTTGGATGACCGCTGGCTGTATTCGTGAGGATGAAGGAGTTCACTAGCTTCTCCCGGTCGTGGATCGTCATGTTCCTCTCTGACCACATGGCATTCTCGGAAAGTTGGTTTCAGCGAGAGCAAGAACTCAACTCGACTTGATGACTCACTATTTGACAAGGCCCTCCGGCGTTCTTCCGACAATGTATGCAGAAACAAGAGTTGATCTCTGGAGGTTCGACCGTCATGGTGAATGAGACTCCTCCGCAAAGACAAGAGCCTTGATAGAGAGGAGTCACATCCATAACATCTGTACTCTGTTCGTTCATCGTTGACAGTGTCGAGCAGCTGTGATGGCAGAAGTTGGCCTAGTGGTTGTCCTATGTAACATGGAGGACACATGTTAATGGCTAATAAAGTGGGAGTTAGTCACATGTTCAGCAACGTTGAACCCGAGTATAGACAAGAAAGGTAACGCGCGTCGGAGGCAAAAGACCCTACTTTTACCAAATATAGAAAGAGCTTGATAATGAACCAATGCTATGGACCTTGCCCCATGGCATTGCTTAAATAAATAATTCTCTTAAATAAAAATATGATAATATCACCCTACCACTAGCCCTAACCCTAACCCCTACCCCACCCTAACCTCAACTACCCTAACCTGCTGGATGGGATCCTAACCAGTACCCTAACATCACGCAGGCGCATAGGGCAAGAATTCCCTTTTTCGGAAATTAGGGAGGTAAATTGCCTCCGACGCCCGCGTTACTACACCTACATACTACTTTTCTCGTCGTCACTCGTTGAACCCCTTGAGGCAGTATCAGCATCTCTCCTTCACTCACCATCCAAGCACCAATGTCCAGCTCAGCTCGCTATCCCTCCTCACTCTCACGAGCACCAATCAATGGCTCACAGTCCCCACCGTCATCACCGCCCGCCTCCCACTCCTCGACACGCTCAGCACCTCCCACCGTCAAGTCCCCCGAGCCAAACGCGCGTCGTTCTCCATTACCGCGGAAGGTCTCCGCCGGCGGGGGCGGAGCAAGAGACCTACTGAGGAAACATTATGGACTTGGATTAGCGAGTGCGAACGTCAGTGCATCCAGTGTTGGTTTACAGGGGAATGGGAAAGACAAGGAGAGGGAGAGGGAGTCGGAGAAACGACAGGACCCAATGGACATCGACAGCCCAGCGTTCGACCCCCACCTATATTATTCTACGCTCATCTCGGGAAGCTCACTACCTGCACTCCTGGCCAGGGAGAACGAACTGATGAGTGAGATCCGCACGCTGTATGGGGAGAGGCAGAGTTTGGTATATAATCACCATCATGAGCTGATTGCGGCCAGTGACACTATCAAGTCTGTGCGTGTGCCTCATCTATGCTTTGTTTGCCTTTGTTATTGAAAGCTGACATGCGAACAGATGAAGAAGCGTGCAGAAGGGCTCGACGTATCCCTCGACACGCTCAAAGCTGCATTTTCTGAGATCTCACGCTTAGGCGCAGAACTCTCCACAACGGACCACGAACGAAAAGAATATGCATAACTGTCTAGGGTATATCGTGCAGGTCATGACATGTCCACATCCTTATCCTCGTCATCCTCATCTACCCATTCCCCGTCATCTCCATCTCCTGTCAATTGTTCGCCCTCCCCTTCCTCCTCAGGCAGAGCCGCATGTACTCCCAAAGCCTCGAGCTCTCCCAGCAGCTCCTTCACGTGCAGCAGTATCTGCTCGTCCGGATGCTCTTGCGCCTGGTGCAGCATCGCGCATGTGTCTAAGCAGTCCCTCGCATCTCGGAGCATATCCTCCTTCGTCATCTTCTCTCCTTGCTCGCCATCCTGCGCGGATTGGGTCAGGTTTACAGCAGAGCCTTCATCTTGGTACATGAGCCAAAACGCCCAGCCCTCAAGGTACCACGCTTCGACTTCCTGGTCGTCCATCTCGAGTGTCCGCGAGAGGGAGGCAAGAGCGAGGGCGAATAGGTTGAGCTCGAGACATAGGCGGGCGAAGGAAAGGAGCGTCGGGGGAGCGGGGTGGGAGGGTGAATCTACCCAGCATGTTAGATATGGTTTATTGACATATACGAAGAGGAAAGAATGCACGCACCGGCCGCAATGCCCTCCCATGTAGACCATACCTTGTGGACACACTGCTCAGCTTCATCCGGCCGTTGTTGGCTCATCCGCACACTTGCGAGTGAGAGTAGCGCCTCGGTATTTTCTGGGTCAGTGTCCAGCGCATGACGGAGAATCTCTTCGCAGGACGACTCCGCCTCTGGTTCGAAACTATACACAAATTTAGTGTGATGACAGATTTTTCTGGAAACAGAAAGACATACCATAGATCCGTCATCCAAATATCAACCATGCTACAACACACCCTTACAACCATTCTCCGGATCTCCTCCTCTTCTTCCTCCAGCCCTTCCAGGCTCTTTTCCGTCTTCCCCTTCCCCTTCCCACCCAGCCTTGTCACGAGCAAGTCCACCGCTGTTCGATACTGTCCAAGTGCTGCACGTGGATCGTCGTCTGCCAAGAGTTGGGCAAGATACAAATGCACTGATGGTGGAGCTGGGGAGGGTGCGGACGGGGAAGGGGGCACAAGAGAGAGGAAAATTCCCTTTGCTCGTTCCGGGTTGCCAGCTTCCATCTCCACAACTCCTTTCAATTCTCTCGCCTCGACGTTTTCCGAGTCCCTTTCCAAGACCCGGTCGACAAACTGCCGTCCCAGTTCGTACTCGCATTGCACGACCAGTTCTTGTGCTTTTGCTAGCAGCGCCTCTGTGGTTGGAGCTGCTTTCGACTTGGATTTCTTGGAACTTTGTGGGGGATGAGGTGCTTCGAGCACGGTCGAATGCATTAGCCGTGCTGAGCGCACCGTCATCTTTGTCCGCCCCATGTTGTTTGTTCAACACGGTGGTCAATGCTGAATGAACAACTTGAAATCCCAAAGAAATAATTCCGAGCGCCCATACCCTAATATTGCTTTTTCATGTAAGAGAGGGGCACAGCATCGGCATCGCAATGTTCATTCAGTACAATTAAATATCTGTTTGAGCAGCGCGTTCTGTCCAAGATACCTTTCCTTACGACCACGACCAGCGACCATGCCCCAAAATCCTCGTGGGATGGAGTTCTTCGCGACCCGCTCAGCGCTCTTCATGATCCTCTTCTCTTGTATAACGCTCTACCTCATCTTCCGCGCGCCTACCACACGCGCCGACAGGCAACTCGTCGTACATCATGAACCTATCGCGGCGAGTTATACTAAGCGTATAGTTGCCGTGGGAGACTTGCATGGGGATCTGAAGAACGCGATGAAGGTGCTGAGGATGAGCGGGGTGATTGACGGGTTTGGGGATTGGAGCGGGGACGTTGACGTCCTGGTGCAGACAGGGGATATCATTGATCGGTGGGTTTGAGTTTTAGCAATTATAGACTCGGCTGATTATTTGCCAGAGGGGATGACACGATAGTGTTATTCAAGTATTTGGATGTCTTGCGGGGTCAGGCACTAGCAAAGGGAGGGACGATACTATCGATGATGGGAAATCACGAGTGGATGTGCGTATGCTGAATGTTTTGTAACTCTCTTACTGACTCAAATATATTCAACAGGAATGTAATAGGTTAGTTCACATATTCACCGTCTTTAGATCCCAGCTGACCCCCTACTGCAGGAGACTGGAGGTGAAGAGCTCGGTCCGTACTGTCGCCCTTCTGCTAATTTCGTGCAGATATGTCCTCCCCTCAGAAATAAAAACCTTCGGCAGCGTCGAAGCGCGACAACACGCCCTCTCCCATGCCGGCTGGCTCGGCAGCACTTTCTGGGCAAATTATACCCTCACCACGCGCCTCCCGATGCACCCCATGCTCGGACCTCCAAACACCGACTATACACCTCTGTCCTCTATCCCTGCTTCCATCTCCCACTCTGCCCTTTCTTTCGTACACGGAGGCCTATCTCCCTCCTTCTCCTTTCTCACACCCTACCCCTCACGACCGAATGCGCTTGGCCGGAGTCTGCTACACAAGCTGCTTACGCGTTACCCGCACCCGCTGCCTCATCCGCCGAACCCATACCCTGGGTTACCACCGGATGCGACCCCGGAGGAGCATGAGCTCTACGGAGGTGACGGGCCGTTATGGTATCGTGGGTGGGCTCTGGGCACGGAAAGGGAGGTTTGTGGACATGTTGATGACGTGCTACACAAGCTGGGTGTCAGGAGGCTTATCATGGGTCATACACCCACTTTCACTGTACGTTTTCTTTATGACATCTGTTATTGCTGCTTATTCTGTGGGAAGAATATCGTATCACGATGTGGTGGCAGGATCATAATTATTGACACAGGCATTTCGCATGCCTATGGCGGGGTACTCTCCGCCCTATCGATCCGTTACAGCCTCACGCCAAACGAGACAACGTACGACGATGAGACAGGGACGCAGGAATACATAGAGCGCGAGGTGGTCAGCGCTGTTTATGAATGGAAGAACGAAGTACTCCATGATGATAGACGGATAGTGCGCGGGTGGTGGGAAGGGTGGGCTTATACTTCGTAGAGAGCCTGAGCCGGATGCTGTATGATATTTTGTGAAGTCGCTAGTGCGGAGATGATCCCACTCAACATATCAGTTCCCGTACTGGGATGATTGGTGTCAAGCCCACCGGTCCTTCATGACGCTCCATCTCTTCATTAGTCTCTTTTGGAGAAACTGGACTTGAAGCCATTAATGAAATGAACGTACGTGAACACCCTCTTGTATTGCCGAAGCACCCCTTCATACTACTTCGGGAGCAGGGGCCACCACTATATGCCACATCGTAAGCATCTGTAAAGGATTGGCGGTCATCTTGGGCCAATCCATCTTGAACAGGAAACCAATTTACAAACATAGCGAGACATCGTCATCGAATGTAGTCACACCGCCACATGACGTCTTCTGCCCCACAACAGAGTAAAAAGGGGTGCCAGGGTCTGCCTTTTCCTCTCTCCTAACTTTCTCTATTTCTGTGTGCTACAAATGGAAACAGACCTTGACACGTCAGGCATGTGCTTGGTGGGGCCGGCGTAATCGTGCCTTTCATTTGCTCCGATGTCCGTCGAGGAGGAGTAAAGGTGAACAAGGTATAAAGAGGGCAGGTGGGGCGACGGTCGGCGTACGCCAACTCAGTCTTTCTTCATCCACGAATCAATACCTCGACAACTTGCAAGATATTATAACCAAGATGCCACTTTTCGGACACAGGCGCTCGACCTCCCCCTCTAACGCTGCGGCCACACCCACACCCGTCAACAATGCACCGGTCAATGATCCGGCTTACAATAACACGACTACGACCGGCCGTACCGGGAGCATCTTCGGCCGCAACAGGCGCAACGAGAACGTGGACGATATCAATGGATACAATAGCGGCAATGACAGATACGGCAATGGCGTGCACCTAGCGAACCAGATTGGTATGGCGAGCGGGGACGACATGGCCGAACCTCGCTGCAGCGGGTCCGGCAGCTTCTTTTCTCGCAACAGCAGGAACACATCGCTTGAGTGTGTTATCTTCTATTTCTGAAGCTCAACGATGTTTACATCCTTGTTTAGCTCTCAGAATATTCCCGTATCACTGGAGCATGCCCATGCCAAGCTTGACGCTGCCGTCGCCTCCGAGCGCGCGGCCGATTCGGCGCTCAGAGATGCTCGTGATATGGTAGACCGTATCGAGCGCGAAGCGCGCAGGGAGGCAGACGTCGCGGCGGCGAAGCTGAAAGAAGCGAGAACGATGAGGAAGACCGCCGGAGGACTGGGCAAGTTTGGAACGGCTTGAGCACTTATGGTTGGCCATCCCACTGTTGCTTCCGTAATGTCCTGTATTCCTATCGAATCGTTAGTCCTGACACGATTTCGATCTACCAATATCTCAACACCAACAATCCTTACTCGGAGCTTTACATAATGCGTTCCTTGACCAAATAGTTTGTATTTCGTATATAGCTGATCAGTCAATGCCCAAAATTACCTGTTTACCACTCATTTCTATGCACATTGTGTATGATGCAATCCTTAGACATCCATGCCCATGTCGATTCCATTGTAGATCACGTGAATGCAAGTATGGACAGCTTCTTCACCAGAAGCGGAAGCAATCAACATCGTTTCCCCACCACCATGGTGCAGCTATCCTCAAGACAATGCATTTGATGCATTCGATGACCATGGCGATGCCCGACAAGCGATGGGGACGATATCGACCAGACTTTCAGCTCTCTCGTGGGCACGCTGTTGCCTCGCGCAGTCCTCCCACCTGCTCCAACGAACGACATGTTTGACAGTGCTTTCCTTCCTACAATCCCCCCTTTTGTGCAGGATCGCGCAACACTTTATATGCTGACACATTCCTGGAACTCTTTCCTGTGCTATGGCTGACATGGAACCTTCTGGCAAATACAGTATACAATGTCTGTGCATCAAGGGTTCTTTCCCGGCGGATATGTGGCACAGGATACGAGCTTTGGACCTTCTTGGATATAGAGGCTTGACTGCGTCATTGGAACTTCTCATGCACGTTTGTGCGTACGATGTTGTTGCTTCTCTAGGCCGAATATTTGGACAACTCGTGGACATGACGGGCGATGACTCCCCAGCAGCTGCGGATTCCGCAGCCGTGTTGGACCCTTCGCCAAATGGCATGTCTTCGACAGCTTGCTGTCTATTGAAGGGACTAGATTGTTCTGTTATTTCAATGTCTTCACAACGTCATATTTCCGGATACGAAGTCCGTTATCAATGGCTTTCTCGAAGGGAACAAGCTATCCGCGAGCGTTACAACCTAACCTGAAGTATCGATATCTTCACGCACCGTCCGGCTGACGCCTCCCGCTTCATGGGACAAGTTGTTGTACATTATCTCGGGCTATGCTGACTCTGATTCGGATTTTCATTTGACGCCGATGAATGATGAGCCATTGTTATCCGCCCATTCTTCCAAAGAGAAGACAATGACAATCATGGCGATGCGTGGATAACCGCGGAAATCCTGTTATATATCGGTGCCCACATTCCCGCTTCCCCGTGGAAGAAATGTATATATGCTGATGCTCCTGCACAGATGACCTGCTGAGAAGTTCCTATACCATCTCCCCATACTGGCGTGAGCAATCGACTCGGCAATCGCGTCTTTTGCTCAGATCATTGTGCCGGAAGGAAAGCAGGTAGATGTTTCCTGCATAAATGCTGGGGTAATACATGCATTAACATACACCCAAAGTAGCCAGGCGCTGCTTATTCGACTTCGCTCAGCTGCAATGTCAATCTCAAGCTGGAGCTCTGCCGGCAGCACACCAAGCCTGTGTCGGTCCGGTACTGACATGGGAGATCAAGGCGCACCCACCGTGTCATTGGCGGAGCATGTCGCCCGTCTCGGCGTCAATCTTGCGGAATGGCTTGGTCGCGGTGGGCAAGCGAAGGTGTATGCCGTAAAGGGAGGCAAGGACGTACTCAAAGTATCGAAGAGCAAGGAGTATTCTCCAGAGGCGAGTATGTTAGTCGCGGAACGCAATGTTATCCTGATATCGTCGGAAGGATATGGAAAACGTAAAATGGCGCCAACTCCCTCCACATCGCAACATACTCCAACTCTTAGACCTCCGGATTTGTGATGGCCATTTGTGTACAGTGTCCCCTCGATATTTGTGCAATGCCAGGCTCTATATCCAACTCTACCGGATGGTAGATCGGCGTACCTTCGTACGCACTGTTAGGTATATAACTTGAAGGACGATCGCATTGAAGAGATTTATCAGATATTGGACGTACTCCATGGGCTGTGCCACATCCATGCGCACAGATTTGAACATTGCGACATAAAAGGGGTACGTGGCCCCCTCCCTGGCCTCTCTCGGGTCCTGAGACACTCTATTGACATTCAGTCTGACAGGAAAACATCCTCGTCAACCACCGGGGCGAAGCTGTCATAAGCGACTTGGACTCCCTTGCAACCGCTATGGTAGAACGGAGTTGGGTCCCTCGCACCCCGTACTGGCGACCTCCAGAATTATGGAGCTCCCCTGACGGGGGACCAAAGCCGGGGGCCGTCGGCACAGGCGACATCTGGAGCCTAGGATGCACAATCATCGAGGTAAGCGTTTCCAGCTGCCGACGGATAGCACCCCTGACACTCGTCAGCTGTACACCGGTCGAATGCCTTTTCATCACGTTGAGTACAAGAAGCTTTTGCAATACCTGCTGGAAAGCGGGTACAGGACCTGCCCCGAACTAGCACGCAAGCGAGGGCTGGACCCCGCTTTATGGGCACTGGTCCTTGATATGCTCGACCTGGATCCGTCGAAACGCCCGACAGCGCACCAGGCGCTCGCGAGACTCGACAACCTCATCGATACCGAGTCAAACGCTTGGCTGCCAGAGGCAGCCTAAACCGCATCGATCGATACTCCCCAGCAGAGAGGTTGGCCGTGGTTGCAAACATACCCGACTCCACCAATCGCCCGTCATATTGTTGAAGATGCTTCATATATTGCCTTTGATGGCAATATATGAAGCATCAGGAGCTAACTGAGCATTTGCAATGATATTACAGGCGACTGGTAGAGTCGTATATGTTTGCAGATGGCAAACGCTGGTATGTATAGAAAATGTTGCGGTTTTTGCGTTGGTCGATATGGGCTGAACATCCGGAGATTTTCTTCGGTTTGTTCGACGACATGACGATGGACGTATTTTTACGATTTTCACGACACACTCTCCTTCTTGTTGACATTGTCACAATACAGCTTTCACGTTTCTTGTCTCTAGCTCTGATATCTCTCACTCCTGCTTGCTTGCCTCACGTATTCTTTGACGACAAACACGTGCTCCTTCATTTCTTTCCCCTTCTGCTCTGCTTAACCCCTTGATTCGCCTTCATATTTATGACCTGTTTTGCCCCACACTTTGAATTGGATTTTGCTCGCCGAACTTGCACCACGATGCACGACCAGTACGCCCGCAGCAGCGTCGTACACAGAGCGGAACAGGCGCCGTAATCGGAAATAGGAGACAAACAAGTCTGGTACACCTGATCCTCGTTCACACTAACCAATATACTGTATCCCAGAAGAGCCGGGTCTGATTTCACTAGACTCAGGGTACCAGGCTTGACGGTTGCGACACGACACCAGTTGGTGCAACAAGCGCTAATGGAAGACGCCTCCACCTGCCCATCAGTTCGGGTTCGACGATTCTGGGCAGTACGGTAACAGGTCAGGGTGTCTCGGACTCAAAATGAGAATTTTCACGATGTATTTTATCAGCGAAATGATAACGTTGAACATTGGAATCCCTCCATTAATACAGGAAAGTCAACAACTGCCAGAGAGCGGTTTCCACAAGGTGCGATTGGTGAACAACAAGCGACAAGATATGTCCCGGGACCAAACACAGTGAAATGGAGCACGTGTGGCTGGCCAGCATGTGTGTTTGCATTCTTCCCCCCTGGAACTTCCCAGCAAGACGACCCGTCACATCCGACGCATCCGACGCCTTTGCAGGGCAGCAGGGCGTGTTTAGACCGCACCCCCACCCTGTACGAAATTAGCCTTCTGCAATATTTGCTAATCTCCGTTCTCCGCCTTTGGGTCGTGCCAGCAACGGGGTGTATTGCCGTCATCGCCTTAATATCGTATTTCTCCTAATCTCGGCGCAGAACTCGAGACTCCGGGCCGCTACATATCGGCACGCGTTGCCCCTCCTCCGCTTCTTCGCCGCCCAAAGTAAGGGGCACCGGATGCCTCCGTCCGTGCTTGATCATCTTGTGCAGCCGTTGACCGTATCTGCTTCATCACCCAGCACATCATTCCCCACAACCGGATTATCCGGTCATCATCGCAATCATCATCGCCATCAATATCATCGTCAACAATATCATCAGCCATATCAACCCTCCACGTCCCCTTCCTTATCCGCGGAATCTCTCCAACCTCACCGCATGGTCACCCTTCGCCCAAACCCGCCACCCGTCTCCCCCGCCCTCGCTCGGGTCATCCAAGATCTTGCTCAGGCACAGGGGATCCAGATCCCAGACCCCATCCCTCTCGCTTCTCCCTCCACGCCAACTTCTGCAACGGCACGATCCTACGCTTCTGCTACAGCCGCCGCAGAAGCTGCTTCAGAATGGTCTGTCCCCCTCTCCTTCCTCCCCCTCCTCCTAACATGGCATACTCACCTATTCCAGGAATTCCCTCCTCATCCAAGCCCGTGCTGAACGCGGCCCTCAGTGGGACGTACTAGGCCAACGATACCTCGTCGACGTCTCCTCCGACCTATACTTCGACCCAGCGGCGTTGAACCCCCCTCCCCCCGAAGACTTACCAGACGACGCCCTCACGCGTGAAGGCACCGAGCGCCCTATGGTAAATGGGATACTACATGAAGGAGTTGCGTCGGCGGCGAGTGCGAGCCCGCACTTGGGCACCATTGGCATTGGTCCTGGCGGAGGGGGCACTTTCAGCCCGAGCGTGGATGGGAGAGAGGGGAGCAGGTTCGAGACGCCTCGGAGGAGTCTGAGGAGCTCGGGCCCCAATGGTGCGTAGTTGGGAAATGAATGGACTGTGCAGTGCGGTGGGACAGTGTTGAGTTGGGCGGCGGGGCGGTTGGCTGGAACGTGACGTTTTCCCTGTATTCTTATGTAGGCTGTATGTGCAACCGCTAATTGTAGAATCTGCGCATTGCGTGATTTATGCTATCAATCGGAATGAGTGTGTGATGGCCTTCCCGACAGCCAACCCCAAAGTTCCAAACACGAGCAGAAGAAGACGGTGCATATGAGACGAGAACCGAAGGATGCCGCAAAAGGCACACGAGCGTAGGAGAAGGTTCTTTCGGCTTATAGCCTGCTACACGTAATTATGCTAAGAACTAGGGAGAGTACAATTCGGCGTCTTGTGCTCTTCACCCGATTTACCTGAAACGCATAGTGCTGGTCTGACCTTGATGCTGAGACAGCGCAGTATGCAGTAGGATCATCTTGTTTCTGGCCGGGCCTTGTGCGGTTCCTCCAACTTCAATCTCCCGATCCCTCTACTCGCCGTGGGGAAACATGCACCCATCTTGCGCCAGAATGCCGACAAATACCTCGCAAACGATTGGACACAAATGGTGCTTAACATACTCGTCAACACCAAGATCCCAAGCATACCGATACGTTCATGGCCGACCGCCGATGGAGCAGAAGCTCGTCTTATGAGTGATTCTTGCCAGCCGTGATGGAGATGACGGGGCGCTGGAGCGATGGGCGGTGGGTTCTTTAGCACGGTGGATGAGAAGTGTAGAAGGACTGGGAGAAGAGAAGAGACAGTAAATGTCACGTGATTAGAAGCTTTCTGTTCGATCATTGTATGTAAGACTAGTCCTAACGCCCGTTATACAATGCAGAGTTACTTATGATCTGAGTGACTAGTAATACTTTGTAGGAATAGAATGAGTGTAATTAACCACCAAAGGCCTACCCACCGTTCGGCCGCAAACGGAAAGAGACCCGCTCAATCCTATTGGCTTATGTATGTGACGGAGCAATTGGTCCCGTGTCCCCTTCCTCACCAGGCAGTTTCCACTCTCCTGCGTCCTCCTCGACCTCCTCCTCGACCTACTCAACAACCATGTTCTCCCTCATCCGTGCCCGCGCAGTCACCGTCGCACCCCGCGTCTCTCTCCGCGCAGTCCGCGCATCCACCGCATTCCGCGCTCTCTCCACCACCGCCCTGCGCAAAGCCGACGACCACGGGCACGCCCAGCCCCCCACACCTCTCTACGGCGAGGGCAGTACTCCGGGTCAGGTGCCGACCGATGTCGACCAGGCTACTGGGCTTGAGCGTCTTCAGTTGCTTGGGGAGATCGAGGGTATCGACGTGTTTGACCAAGGCCCGTTGGAGGTGAACAGGCTCGGCACGCTTGCGGACCCGATCATGGTTGAGTGCCTGGTGCGTTTGTTCCTTCTTATGCTTGAGATTGGTTGGGGAACGAGGACTGATGGGAGGATAGGCGGACGAACGTATTGTTGGATGCACGGGTTTCCCTGCTGATTCCCACGATACCATCTGGCTGAGCTGCACCATCCACGGGCAAAACAGGCACCGCTGCCCCGAATGCGGCTGCGGTACGTACCTCTCTCCCGGCTCGTTCCCTCCCATACTCACCCGCTTTAGTCTACGCACTCGACGACCTCCGCCCTAAGCTGGAGGAGATCCACGGCGAGCACGCACCTGCCCTTGCGCACTGATTTGTTTCTCGGTGTTGAGGAAAATGCTGGTAGGCATGCGGAAACAGCCAGCCCTGAAGGGGAAAACGAAATTGTACATATTCAGGGAATTTCATTAGAAAATCCTTTATTCGTACTTACGGAGTGTGAGTGTGAGCTGCTGTTGCTTTTGGGTTGAAAGGATCGTTATCATGATACTGGGAACTCTCGTCGTGGTGAGACGAACTGCGCTGTAAATGTCCAACACAATTCAATTAAAAAGCGACACCATCATTCTCATTCATAATTCCTTCATCTCATATTTATTATCTTTCCGTACGTACTTACATATCTGAATATGAATAACCTAGGAAGGTCGGCTATTCCGACGGTGAAGATCTGCCGGCTACGCGTCACGTTCGAAATACGCCTCGCAAATCCTTGTTCTCCTCCTCCTCCTCTCTTCCCACCATGCAAAGCCTCATATTCCGCCAATGTACAGGAGTACTACGTACCGCCGCCGTTCCTTTCGCAAGACGGCCGCTCGTGTTCTCAGGCTACGGATTTGGCCGTTGTCCGCGGTACATCTCCCAAACGTCACGTTCTCTCATGGCGGAAATTCCAAAGCAACAATCTACAGAACCTCCCGTCCCTGTACTCCCAACCAAAGCTGAATATGCCCCTCTAACCCAGGAGGCTGACTCCGAGCTCGTACCCCAGGGACCAGCCGATGGCCAGAAGTCAAAATCCAAGTCCAAGTCCAAGAATACCGCTTCCCTGCGTCGGGGTGCGAAGGACTCTGCGCCCATCCGGACCAAAGCCGCGCGGGAGATCAAGACCGTCTTCACCGTCTCCACCGCAGAGCGCTACAACCTCTCCCTCCTGCGGCTCATCCTCCCCCCTGGGTCGAGGATGCTGCCCATGCCTGACGATGGGTTTGAGGAGGCGATCTGGATCCCTAAGTGGGGCGGGGGGGAGGCGTTCGTTTTCAAGAATGGGAGCTATGTGTGCTGGGGACTGGACGAGGAGGTGGCGCTGAGGTTTGGGAAGGAGGTGATTAGCAGTGTCAGAGGGGTGGAGATCGACCCGCTCAGGAAGACAGAGACGGAGGAGTTGGACTTTGTTGCTGATCCTACTGAGTATGTCCGCTGTATGCGCATGGATCCTTTCGCGCTCACGACGCTGCTAGGAAAACACGTCTACAAGGAGACCTGATCATCCTCGGCGGTAGCTCGACAGAGGACAACCTCCTAGCGCGATACAGTTTCTCGCAAGCGCTGGCCCGCTCCTCCGCGCTCTCGGCACTCGAGTCCTCCCTAGATCACTACCTGCTCTCTACCTCCGGGCTGGCGGACACGCTCGCCGCGCACGGACATCCGAATATGCGCCGGAAGGACCTGATCCGGAAGATGGGCGAGCTGCTTAAATTTAGGCAGGGGCTTAACTTGAACAGGGAGAATTTTGGCGAGACGCCGGACTTTTATTGGGCTGAGCCTCAGCTCGAGGGTGGGTGTACAGTGGGTTTCTGGGAAGCATTCTTATGTCTCTGAAGGATACTTCGACTCTGTTAGCCGGGCGTTAGAGATCAGGCACCGTATGCGCGTAGTGAACGACAAGATCACCTACGCAGCCGAGGTACGCCCCCCCCCTTCCCCCTGTCTTTCCCCACCCCCAAAGCCTAACGATACCCAGACACAGGAGACACTTCGTCAGCTCCTTACAGACTCGTCCGCCCACTCGATGGAACTCGTCATCATAGCGCTCATCGCGGTCGAGGTTGTGCTCGTACGTCCCCCTCCTGGGCTGTACCGTGCCGTGCATCCCACTCCCACTCCCTCGCAGCGCTGATGAGAAACAGGCGTTCATCCGCGAAGGACCCGAGCTGGTGCATAAAGCGCTGGACATGTTCGGGACTGCCGAGGAGCCCAACGCCCGGGAATCGGAATCGGAATCGTAGACTCCCCAATCCCAAGTGCAGTGCAGTTCATTCCTTGTATTTCAGGCTAGACTTATACACCAAAGACCAATGAGTGGAGAGAGATGAGGGAGTGTGAGTGTGAGTGTGAGTGTGGTGTGAGTGAGTGTACGCTATGTATGGTAGTAGATAGAACGGTCGGCATCGGCATCCCCAACCCCGCTCTTTCCCCCGCTTCCCACGAAGACAGCCCAAGATCAGATCTAAGACGTAAGACGAGCCAGAATGTTGAATGTTGATTATACAGTGTAGAGAGCGTGGAGCGACAGCCGCGTGCGGCAGACTGGACGCAATCGCAGCGCAGCGCATCGGATAACGCAAACGGAAAAACGAAAAACGAAAACCAAAGATCGAAAATAAAGGGAAAGAACGAAAGCGAAAGTGGTAGGTATGTAGTCATACACCTCCAGAGCCCACGAAAATCTTCGGAAAAAGGGTATCCCGTCCCATCCCCATCCCAGTTCTCATATGACTCACTCTTGTTTCTTGACTTGTTTCTTCTTCCGCAAAGGCTAAGCCCATGCGACCTTTTTCGATGCATGGCTCATGGCGCATCTCCCAGCTCCCAGCTGATCAGCTGAGGAAATCGTCCGCATCCCTCAAGATCGCTAGTCCGTACCTGCCGTTCAAGCCAACGCCGCCTCAGCGAGCCCCTCCCTCCCCTCCCCCCCATTCCCAGCGCCCTCGCCCTCACCCTCCCCAGCCCGCCCAGCCCCAGTACCAGAAGTACCAGAAGTACCAGTCCTCGCCCACCTCTCCCACCTCTCCAACTCCGCTTTAAGCTCCACCAGTCTCTCCTCGCTCAGCGGGTGGTCTTTCCCCTCGAACCCGTGTTTTCGCGGGTCGGGGTTGGCCTGGGAGGGGGAGGGGGTGTTGAGATGGGTTTGGGATTGGGGTTGAACTTGGGGTTGAGCTTGGGGGGAACGCGCTTGCACTTGCGATTGCACTTGCGATTGCGCTTGGGATAGTGTTCGGTCCACAGTCTGCGCTTGCCCCTGATTCGGGTTGAGCTTCTCCCCCTGCCCCCTGCCCAACCCCCCCGCTACAGCTCAAATCATCCGACCCTAACCTCGATTCCCAGAACCTGATCGCGCAGCGGGGGTCGTACCCTGCGTATGCTAGGAGCCTACAGTGCGTAGTGCGTTGTTATCAGCTTTTCCTGGGAGAAGGGGGGGGGGGGAGGGGGTAGAAAGCGGGGTAAAACGCGGGGTAGGAAGCAAGGTAGGAAGAGGGGTAGGAAGCGTGTATGGGGCATGGGATGGGGTATGGAATGAAGGGTTGTAAAAGAGCGCGAGATGAGTGTGGAATGTTAGTATAGCTCACCTAGCCGACACCGCATCCGCCTCGACCTCCAAAACCCTCGTCGTACACTCCGCCTGCTTCCTCTCCACCCTCTCCCTTCCAACGCGTACCATCCTCCCCACAGCATCATTCAAAAACGGGCCAAAGAACATCGTCAGCGGGAAGATAAGTGTGCGGCCTACGTCTCCCACCATACTGAGGAGTGTGGGGGTTACGATTAGCGAAGAGGAGAGGGATTCGAGGTGGTGTGAGAGGATGAGGTGGGAGAGCTCGTGGGCTAGGACGACGGCTAGGTCTTCCGTTTGGGATTGGGTGGGGGAGGTGCGGGGGGCTGGGGAGGGGGGGGAGAGGGTGTGGAGGAGGGAAGTCCACAGGGATTGGGTCTGATTTTGATTTTGATTCTGCGTGCGGGGAGGCGTAGGTGCGTGCCGTAGGATCTCCTCTAGGAACCCTGTGTAGAGTACGATCCCCCCCGCTCCTGCGGGCCCGTACCCATGGGACAAGGCGTTACACTCCGGCTTATCGACAATGAGGACGTTGTATGGCGGTCCGAGCTGTGCATGGGGGGAAAGATGATGTGCGTGACCCGGGGGATCCTGTGCACGGCGGTGTTCCGTTGCTGGCTCGTGGGTGTCTAACGAGGGAGGGAGGGAGTGTACGAGCTGCGAGATCCTAGGCCGGGGGAGGAGGGGATACTTTGCTGGCGGAGGAACGGGGCCAGTGTGAGAGGAGGAATAGTACTTCTCGGCCGCTGCGCTCGGGGGGTCAGAAGCGCTCGCGGGGAGGATGTTTATCCCCGCTTCTAGCCGGCGGAGGGTTTCTTCTACCCAGCGCCAGCGCCAGTCTGAGGGATTGAGGATCCTGGGCATGGATCCTGTGGGAGAGGCGTCCGTCATTTGTTTTAGGACGGAGGTGTACCAGCCATAACCGCGCAGGTCGGCGTGGATCTTTTCCTCCTCTTCTGGAGAGAGCATTATCATCCTCCATCTGCGAGCGTATCAACATCCGCATGAGCAGGGGGTAGAGAAGGTCGCCCACCGGCCAGATATCGGCGTCCTCTCGGTACTAGCGATACACGTGACAGCGATAAGTGCCACAGGGGTAATAGCAAGGATGCCGACGCTCCATCTGAGGAACCCCAGCCAGCGTGCGTTCTGGCTGACGATACCCGCCCAGCGCGGGTGGGTGATCACTTCTGGGTGTTCTTGGGCTATGCGGATCGCACGCGTGGCGATGCGTTCGCGGAACCAGGCCCAGGGGAGGATTGAGAGAGTGAGACGGGCGACGGTGGATACTGTGTTTAGGGCTGCTGAGGACTGCGCGTTGGGTGTTAGCGGTTAGTTGGAGTGCACTGGGTGAGGGCGTACTTTGAGTAATGCGACTAGCCAGAAAAGGAGAGGAGGAGCGCGTTGTACCCCACTGGCGTGGAACCATCTCGAGCTGCCTTCTACACGGAGTACGAGAGCAGAAGCATACTTCCTCTGACTATCCCACGCTACCTTTCCCGTCAACTGGAGTCCACTCCCCACAAGGAGATCTTTTGTCGTCAGATGGAGTCTCCTGGGGGGGATGAGAGCGCGAGAAGAGGAGGAGATGGAGCGGACTGAGTTTGCTAGGAGAGGAGTGGATACGCTGTGCAGTCTTCTGGGGAGGCAGGGTCTTGTGCGTGCGACTGAGTATGAGAGAGAAGCGAGAGCGGAAGTGTAGTATGGGTTATTGGGTTGTGTGAGGGGCATGGTGACCCACCCGGTGAGGAGTGGGTAAAGGATTGATGGGATGTGCGATGGTGAGGATGAGGATGGCGGAATAGAAGTGAGTGAGTTGAGTGAGTATAAGGTCACGCTTGCTGACTGCGCTCACTGTGCACTTCAAGGGAGGGAGTGTGCCACAACATCACATAGGTGACTCGCACAGTGAAGACCCCTTCACACACAACGCCGAACAGACGCGCACTCTCTGCCGTACATCACGTAATCATTTAACGTAAGCAACATCTAATCTCTAATCTACTTGAGGGTCAGAGGTGTTAGAAATAAAACTAGCCTCATTGAATAACGTTCCCTCAACCACAACAGCCTCCTTCCCAGGCATTCTAACCTCCATCTTCGCAGGGTTAAAATACTACCAAACCATCAGCCTCTCCCCTCCATCCGGGAAGGCCACTCACCTGGTAGATATACGGCTTCGTCCCAGTCGCATAATTGATCACCTTCCTTACCATATACGGGATCTCAGCCAACACGTCCACTTTCTCCAACAACCCCCTAAACCCGCCTAGGTCACTGTGCACCTTTGCGCTCACCGTTCCTTCCCCTCCGAGCGAGGGGGCACTCCAGCTCCAGTCGATAGCCGAAGGGACAGAGTACCCCGTCTCCTTATCCACCATAACATCTCTGTGCTCAGCCCGGCTCACGACTCCCGTCTTCTCCCCTTCAAGCTCATCAACCCACTGCGTCTCCCCAGTAACAGCCGCCAGCTTCCCCCCGGCGACTACACATCCAACATTGACCTTCACCTGCCCTTGCACCCCCTCCCTCCCCTCGACCTTCCGTCCATAACTCTCCAGCGTACGGAACTCCATCTGTATCGCGCTCACCCCTCCAAGAACGTCGTTCCCACTGATGAAATGCGCAAAGTTCCATCTTTCTGCCACCAAATTGGGTCGCATCCCCTGGATAGCATGCACGAACATCCCCTGCCCAGAGGCAGACACCGCCTTGCCATTAACGAGCACGACGCCAGACGTTTTCGTCCGGGGCCAAAACCGGTGCACAACACATCCGTCAGGCTTGTCCATTTCCCCAAAATAGCTGAACCCCCCTCGTGCCCCAGCACCAAACTTGAACCCCTCTATCTCCCTGGGCCTTTCCACTAGGAGCGAAACGTGAAACCCTTCGTCGGGCTGGGCATCGACTTTGTACGACTCTAGTTCCGTCGCTGTTGCGGGGGAATGGATGACCCTGAACTTGTCTGCTTGGGAAGAACGGCGGTCGTACGTCCTCCCTTGGGAGGGAGGGGGAGGAGTGAGGAAGTGGGAGACGTTGGCGGATTTCCAGATTTGCTCGTTTGTCTGGGGGTCGTAGAACTTGCATGTGAACTGCACTTGGGGGCTCCAGAGTCTGCGTCTGGGGTTAGCAGGTTCCTCCTTAGCTAGGCGAGCGGTAGTGCGGGTGCGCATGGGACGCAGATAGGACGCAGATGGAATGGGATGATAGTAGCACTCACCCAATAGACGAATGGATAATCTGACAAAACATAAACACCCCATTCTCAAGCACCTCATACCATATCTGCGTCTCGGTCGCAAACCCTCCTCCGGCGGTCCACTCGGTGTCTTTGGCCTCCAGAGGCCCGAAGAGGGAGTGAGGGGGGTAGGCGGAGGTGACGGGGTGGAAGTTTGTGGTGGTTTCGGACCTGCGGGGGGGGGTTAGTGGGCCGGGGGGAGAAGAGGAGGGGGGATAGGGGGGCAGGGGGAGAGGCGTACGAGAAGAGGTTTTTGAACATCTTTAGCTTGTATCTCTAGGAGTGAGCAGCGAACAGTAGTGAGCAGAGCAGCGAGCAGAGCAGTGAGCAGTGGTGAGAGGGTGAGCAGTGGTGAGGGGAGCTGCAAGCTGTGATGCGTTGGTTGCTGCCGATTCGGCGATCGGACGGAACCTGAGGGGTTTTACGTCATCCTCGTTGACTGAGCGGCTGAGCGGGCCATCCTGTCCATCCCTCAGACAACCCAATTTGCTTCTAGTGTTCAATTACCTTACTAGTCTGTCGGACCTGGGGGAAAATGATACGGGTCGTTTGATTTGACTCTTCTAGGATTACATGGGCATGAAGCGGCTCAATGATCTAATGGAGACATGGATGCACCAGTGTATGCCTGAAAACAATCCAGCCCACATTGGCAGTTGATTGTACAAACCATTGGCATCAGCCATTAGATTTTGACACCCATGAACTCCATCTATGATGTGTAGGTTTCAGCCTAAGGTTTGATAACATTCAATAACTTCTTCAGGTGGATACTACCCCGCCTGTCTATCCCTCAGCATGATCTCTATATCAGGTGACTGGAGAAGTGAGGAATTCCCCACAGGACATACCTACACCTCTTCCCCCACCCAAACTGAAGCTCACACCCACAGAGTCACCCACACGCTGTCCTCATTCATGAACAGTTCCATCTTGGCAAAGCAGGGCCACAATTCTCTGATGTTCCCATTGAGCCCTAGGGTATGACCATGGTCTATGCACCTTTCGGACCTTGCAGAAGTCAATGCAATCAACATGTGAGGTGACAGAGATAGTCATCATCCTCGGTGTGCTGGCTATTGGCATCAAACTGCTAGAAATCACAAACTCCTGCAGTTGTGGGATCTCTGGTCATGAATCACTTGGGAATGGTTGAACTGCAGAGGTGAGCAAACCTTCCTCCCTCTATGAATGTCATTGTTAAGCAAGGAACAGTGCTTATGTTTGTCTGCGGACTCCACTCTACCCTGACCCTATCCTACCCTATGATGCAGGTAGGTCTGCTCCATTAATGCAGAGTTGATCATCCAGAGATCACACATGGAATGTGGTGGTGAATGATTGTAAATACCCCCTTTGGCTCTGATGGAAGTGCCATAGGCTTTCAATCCTTTTGCTTATGATGTCACCAATGAATTGTTCACATAAGGCACAACTCCTCACTTTCCACCACCTGCAGACTGCTCTTTCTCCTTCAGTCACCTTCTGTGAGTATATTGTTCACTGTAAAATGCCCTGCCCTCACTTAGTTCTAGTACTGTCACCAGAGCCTGAATAAAAGATCAGCATCGAAGCCCCAACATGTTGTCCCTGTTCAGCACCAAGGATGAGGAGTATAATAAGAAGGCCAAGGATATCGATCTGACCAGAACCAAGATGGAGATCAATAAAGCCACCATGTGTGATTGGTTGGGTTGATGAAGTGTTATTCACCTCACCACTAATGTAGAATGTCAACAACCCAAAGAATGTGAGCGACCAAGAGCATAAAGGGTGGGAGAGGTGAGTAAGGGGGTGTAAGCTCACTTCCCTGATGTCTTCCATCAATTCACATTTATAGTGTATGAGTGTTCTTCCCAAAATGAGATAGAGTGCAATCAAACATGCCAGTGCATTGCCAAGTTGACTGTCCCTGGGTGAGTGACAGTACACATCTGATCCAGCATATGATTGGTAAGGGACTAGAACAACACCTGATCAGCACACATATGAGGAAGGATGTGTTAGGGCAACACAGGCTGACTAAGTCTGCTCACCTAAGAGTGCCAAGAGTCTAAGCAGGCAACAAGGAAGTGGAGTAGACCTGATGACTAAGACCTATCTACAGTATAGGTATCTGTGGATGATCCTAAGAGACCAAGTCTGAAGAGACAGTCCCAGGCAGA